TAAACATTTCGCGAACTTCCTCCGCCATCCACCTCACAGCATCGAAGTATGCTGAGTCACTCGCTAAGCGTTTCAAGATTCCTACAAATTACGTCGCTACACCGTTTCGGTCTACACCCACCAGGTACATCCTAAACAACACCAAACTTTCGGCAGTTGGTCTACAACTGTACCAGCAGCAACTCGGATGTCTTCTCTTCGCAGCAGTCACGTGCCGTCCCGACCTCGCTTACGTCGCAAGCTATCTCGCACAATTTTTACGCTGCCCAAAAGAAGAACATCACCTCGATCTTCAGCGCGCTCTACACTACTTTGTCGCAACACCCACAGTCGGACTGATTTTCAACACAGGAAAACCGACCGACAAAATATATCACAGCGGATATGTCGACGCAGACCACGCTGGTGACACGTCAGATCGCCGGTCACGAACAGGCTACATTTTCCGTCTCGAGCCCATTGGTCCAATCTCATGGAACTCATCAAAACAGGAACTCGTGTCACTTTCCTCGGCTGAAGCAGAATTCATTGCCGCGTGTGCTGCAACTCGAGAAGGACTATACTTACAGGAACTGCTCGACGAAGCGAAGTTCGTTACACCAAATCAGTTTACGTTGCAGTGCGACAACCAGAGTGCGATTACCATCGCCAACAAACCCGGCTTCGTCAATCGCACGAAACATATTTCACTTCGTTACTTCTTCGTCAAGGATGCGATCGACAAGGGGAGAATGCGCCTTGTCTACTGTCCAACTGGTGACATGGCAGCTGACTCACTTACCAAGAAGCTGACGCGACAGAAATTTCACCACTGCAACCAGCTCAGCGGAATTTCCGAGACAACCGGATAACTACACCGAACTCCTAGAAGTGAAGGGGAGTGTTGAGATAATATCGAGACTTAAGCACTTCAAGGAAATTCGTGTAGTACAGTAAAGTACCGATAGGCTGACGTCAGCAAAGCGCTACGCGCCATAGGATGACGTCAGCACGTAGCTATAGACCTCGCGAAAAGTTACGTACCGTTTCAGAACAAGAAAAGCACAGTACAGTAGGCGAACAGGTACTTTACTCTAGCTATATATTTTGTATGTTTGTCAATTTATAATATATCTGATTTCAGAGACACTGATCCTGAAACATATCACTACATGGGCTTTTATTCAAGTCCAGACAAAGCTTTCATAACAGGCTTTAACTCATATAAGACTTCCGCTACGACAGGAAGCTATCATCCTAAGTAGTACGATCCTATTCAATCACTTCAAATTCTAACAGAAATATCAGAGTTTTTTAGGCATATCAGAGAAATTTCTCTGACTTCTGGGGGCCTGCATGCAGCACATACTGAAAACAACATGCACGCACAGATACATCACCAACCCAAAACCAAAACAGACAATCAAACGTCTCTATCTTATGAGTTTTTCCTAGCCTAGCAACAGGACTCTCCCCCAGAATAGGTGTCATGTACACAGCTCCTGCACGCCCTGCAAACCCTAGCAGATTCTTAATCAACGGCTCAAGATCAGCTGTCCGATCGACGACAGGGAACACCCCAAACGCCAGCAGCAGAAGCAGCCATAGAGGCGAGAAAATTGCCACCCATTGCCAGGAAGCTTCCACTTGGCCTTGGGGCGGGAGCCGCGCAGAAAAGCCGAATACCGCACCTGCAGCTACGGAAACGCCGAGCGTGAGGAAGTAGAGGTCGTCTACCAAGCCGGGGACCTTGAGGCAGCCGTTAGGTTCGGCAAGACAGGTTCGGATGGCGTCGACGGATCGAGTGAGAGCTTCGGACTCGCCCTCTTGCCGGACGAAGAACTGATTGCCGTACCTGACGTGGAGGTACGGGTTCGGGACACAAGGGTTGGACGAGTGAAAGGAGGAGGGGTTTCTAAGGAAAGCAGGTAATTAAGCAATGCAAGTGAGAAGAAGGTTGACAGGTGAACGGAAGGATGAGAGGGGAGGCAGAGGCGAGGCAGAAGGGAGATGGAAGGGAAGATGGATTGAAGGGGGAGGGAGATGGAGGGGAGGAGGCGGAGGGGGTAAGAGCACGTGGTGGTCCGGGTGAAGAACTGGCAGGGCAGCTTGGATAGAACAGCCTTGCCGCTGCACCCAGATGGTAACTGCAATGAGAAGCGCCTTGTAGTGTAGTACCAGTTCGGTATGTATACGTACCAGTTAATAAAATTATGCAACATATATGCATTAACGCACCTAGACTGTAGCTCTGTGAAGAACTGGTAGGGCAGCTTGGACCGCACAGCCTCTCCAATGCTGAAGCTGAGGATGTTGGGTGATGCCACGTCAGCCACCACGATCACCGTCCAATCTGACAGCTGCAACGCGAGCGGAGAAAAATGAGAGAATTGAAGGGATTGATGAGCTAAGGAGTTCAGTTGCGAGACTTGCTAAATGAGCGACCAGAGGTGTGATGTGAGCAACAAAGGGGAGGGGCACCTCTAAGTATTATGAAAATCTTGCCATGAGTTGGAGATGTGAGCAACGAGGGGAGGGAGGCATGAGTTGGAAAAACAAAACATAGAGTTTGAGCATGGAAGATTCGCGACCTCTAATATCTGTTTTTTTTTTTTTTTTTTTTTTTTTGAAGAAGCTCCCAGGCCCTCAGGCTCATCCTCGTTATTAATTAAGCACTGCTCTCTTGAAGTCACAATGTCGCGCTCCTGATTTATATCCTCCAAGGTTCACAACTTTCCAGAGTTCAATGCCGACACCATTCCCAGTCACTGGTTCCTACAACCACCCATTCCCCAGCAGTCTCCCCTCACACCTCTCACTCTCACTCTCTCTTGTCCTCGTAAACTCTTATTCTCCTACCGTATTACTCCCTTACCCTCAACCATGTCTCAATCACCCAACCAAGGTCGCTACTATTAGCTGATAGACCCACTTCCTTTCACACGATCACTCAATACCCCACAAATTCCGCTCTTCATTCCTCCCACCCCTCCACCCCCCACCCCCCCACCCTTCCCCCCTTTTCCCCCTCTTCCAGCCTCTCACCTGCCACAAGTCGCGGATCTGTTTGCCATCTAAACCGCTCTCCACCCCGTACCGCGTCGCCACGCGGATCCGCCACCCGTCGCGCGACTCCAGATCCGACAGCTGTCGCAGCATCGCGCCGCGCTGGCTTTCCGTCAGCAGACGCGCTCCGTCCAGCACCTTGGGAGCTTCCGCCGTCTCCGCCGCCGCCGTTTCCGCAGCGTCCGTCGTTTCTAGGATGTCAGTGGATGTGACCGTTAAGAGCGGCGCGGTTCGCAGTTGAGAAGCCGCGACTCGCGCAAGAAACGGAATGCCGTTTTCCTGGCGCGACGCGTCGCTTGAGCGTCGAATATCCTGCGGAAACGGAGCGCTTGCCACGTCAACTGCCACGTCATCAGCGGCTACCGCGGGCGAGCTGCTGACGAGGAGTGCGACGGAGGCGATTAAAGAGGCCTGGGCTGCGACAGATATCGACCGAGTCGCGAAGTTCTCGACGGCTGCGGTTAGCGCGTTGGTACCAGCGGCACCGCCATTGACAACTTTTACTAATCTCGTAACAGCAGCAGCATCCGCGGGTGGCGCTGATACACCGGCCGTCGCGGCTGCGTGAAGGTTAAAGCAGCGGTTTAAGCGGCGATGGAAGAGGCGGAGGGGAGAAGAAGACTGGTGGGAGAGACGCAGGGTGAGGCTGGCATTACGGAGGGTGGACAATCCTCCTTGTGAGCTGCACTGAACTGTCGCCGCCATGACACACGGAGCGACTAGCCGGCGCGGGTATCAAGCGATTCAGTTGCGAAGTTAACGAAGACGGTTGCGTAGTACTGATCAGTACGAAAACCCGCGAAAGCTAGCCGTGTTCCCAGGGGAAGGATGTGTTTCAGCAATCGCGTATATATTCAGGAAATGGTAAGTAATATATACATATTCACGGATCGCGCATTTAGTGAGGTGGCTGAAGGAGCTGGTATCATCTGATCTCCACCACTCATGAGCCTGAGGACGACAACCCATTTCCGCGGCTAGTTTAGTCCGCACCGACGAGCGAAGCTTCTGCAGCAGCAGCGCGTAGTATCTGCTAACGTGTCACGCGGCGGGGGGAACAACTAACGGAAGTGAGCAGCGAGAGAGGGAGTAAGGAGCGGAAATGACGTGGATTCGGAAGGCACACGCGAAGTTTAGCAGTGAGTGAGCAAGTAAATAAGCGAGCAGTGGCCACGGGAATCCCTGCTGAGCATGACTCAGGGCGTATTCTGATGACAGGCCGGTCCACCAAGAAGCACCACTGACCTTTCAAGCCAGACTTAAGCTGCTAGGCAAGTCAGGCTGAGATATTTACCACTTACGTAAACTCAAAGGCGCTAAGCGGAGGGAGCACAAGCTCGTTTCAATCCGTCACGAACAGAATCGTGATGCGGTGTGGAGTGACGGCATCCGTCCATGAAGCTGCACGCGAAGGCTCACGGTTCATCGCATGGACAAACACACAGCCCAGTCGCCGCGCGTGTGCCTCCACGTCATCCGTTCTGACAGCAGAGAGCACAAGACAATCCTACTCAAGAGCATACATCGGTACGGCTTCGTAACAGGTCATGGCGATGTTCAGTTATAAACAAACAAGTCTAGGACGAAACAAGTCTAAAAGGGCAAGGAAGCTGCAGTTAGAGAATATACTATTTCACACAGATAGTCTACAATGGTACTGCAATCTGAAATAATTTTGCCTGTAGATCCAAGTTCCCCTCCACCTTACATCCCTCATTCACATGCCCATCACATACCCATCCGTGCAGAGGCAACCGGAGCAGAGGGCGAGCAGTGAGAATCATCCACCCTGTTTCTCGTATCCGACCCCCTCTGGCCTCTTGGCCTCTGCTGCCCTTGTCCCTGCCCCTGCCCATGCCCATGCCCATGCCCCTGCCCTTGCCCCAGCCCCTGCTCCTGCCCCTGCCTCTGCTCATGTCCCCGCTCCTGTTCCTCCTCATACACCATCTCACTGAATGAGTGAGACCTCCCTCGTGCCCTTTCATTCCCTCGTTCCTGCTGCTGCCTTGACCTACCCTCCACATACTGCGGCGGCTGCTGCTGCTGCTGCTGCTGCTGCTGCTGCTGCTGCTGCTGCTGCTGCTGCTGCTGCTGTGACCGACCATCGGCATACTGCTGCTTCTGCTGTTGCGAGCTCTCTCGTTGTCGCACATAATCCACCCTTCTCCTCTCCCCCTCTTCCAAGCGACTCTCTTCCTCTCCATCCCCTCCTGCCCTCCTGCTTCCACCACCATTCCCCGCCTCCCTTTCCCCTCTTCCACCCCCACTCCCTCCCTCCCACTCCCCTCTACCACCACCACTCCCTGCCTCCCGCTCTCCTCTACCTTCATAACACCCTTCCCCTTCAAGACTAGGTCTCCTCAGATGAGACGACTTCCTAGTCCTCCTCACCCCCTCCCTCATGCTCTCCCTCCCACCACCTGCCGGCCAGGTATCACTCACTGGGGGCCCACTACCTCCCGCACCCACACCAATACCCCCAGAAACCGGGGGTAAATACAGCTCGTACCCGTGCCCGACGCTCCTCGACCTACGGTACGACCCGTCTTCCGAACCTCCCCCTCCCCCGACGTCCGGCATGGCGGTGGAGGGTCGGCGCCGCGTCACCTCGGTTCGGTTCCGCCGAACCTGCGGCCGGTTGTACGGGCTACGTCCGGGCGAATCGTCGTCAGCCTCGACATCGTAATCCCCTCTACCACCACCACCCCCATACCCTTGAGAACTCTGCTGCTGCTGCTGGTACTGCTGCTGGTACTGCTGCTGATACTGCTGTGGTGGCTTCCCGTGCTGGTGTTCCTCTATTGAAGCGTGCATTAAAGCCCGGCCCACGAGCCCATGCTCATCCACAGACACCGTCCTGCGATGAGGAAATGCAGGCCTGTGGTAGTGATGATGCCCATGGGAAGAAGCACCCAGTGGCGGGAGAATCACAGCTGTGGAGGATCGGGGAGGGCGGACACGCGAGGAGGAGGAGGTGGAGGTGGAGGTGGGGAGGGTGGCGTGGGGGGAGTATGTGCGTCGTTCGGAAGAGAGAGGGCTTCCGGGGTTGGGGGAAGAGGAGGAGGGGAGGGCGGGGAGGGTGGGGGCTTCGGGGGAGTTGGTCCCGTTGAGAGTGCCGATTCCACTGAAGGAGCGACTCCTGGTAGTGAGGGATGGGAGTGGGAGGGGCGTGTGGGAGCGGAGTGTGGTAGAGGAAGAGGTGAATAGGACGAGAATGGGAAAGGAGTGAAGTTTGGAAAAGAGAGTGCTAGAAAGGAAAGTTGGGAGGGTGGGGGCTTCGGGGGAATTAATCCTGTTGAGAGTGCCAATTCCACTGAAGGAGCGACTCCTGCTGGGGAGGGAGGGGAGTGTGGTAGGAAGATGGGGATAGCCTGATAGGGGACAAGGGAATGGGGAAGGGGTTTTGGAAAAGAAAGAGCGAAATAAGATCAGGGGGGAAGTGTCGGGGCTTTGGGGGAGTTGGTCCAGTTGCGAAACTGCGACTCCTGGTGGGGAGGGACGGGAGTGGGAGGGGAGTGTGGGAGGCAGAGAGGTGAAGAGGACGGGAATGAGGACGGAAGGTAATGGGGGAGGAGAAGAGTGTGGGAGAGGAAGTAGGGCATAGGAAGGGAATGGGAAGGGAGTGGAGTGTGGGAGAGGCAGAGGTAAGTAAGGGGGGGTGGGGAAAGAGAGATGATTTTTGGAATGAATGAGTGAGGAAAAAAGGAGAGAAAAAAAAGGCACTGGGGTATGAAGAGGAAAAAGGGGGTTCGTGTGCGGCAATGTTACTCTCCCAATTTTACACAAACTTGCAAAGGGTCTCTCTGTGTAGGCTTCTGGTAAAAAACAACCACATCAGTCATGTCATTTCCATGTGCTCCTTTCCATGAATTATACGTTATGTCTGCTTGGCTGATGAACGTGCTATAATACGCATCCAGATTGTACGATATGCCTGTTACATTTATGCCTAAATCGAATAACCATATTGTAGGTGACATGGTGCCGTTTTGACAAGTCATGCTATTGTGATAACGAAGTTATTAATCACTGACACTTACCTGAAGCCTTTGCTATGCCTCGAAACTAGATATAACTCGCGCTTGTTCATGGTCAACATTACTACTAAAATCACCATTCAAGGGAACACATTTTTTTGGGAGAAAACCTACTTAACATCGTTGCATGCTTGTGTGATTTCAAGATTCTGTTGATAGCGTGTTAATTTCATCAAGAGTCATTCACTGTACACTCACCTGAATCCTCGTCGATGCTTTGACGAAGCGTCTCTCGTGGGAGTCAACTCGCGCTCGTCCTCCTTCCCCTCGCCATAGTCACCGTCCTGCGTAATCGTCACTTCCCACGCGCGCGCGCTGCCTTCCCCCTTTGCTCCCCGCGCAACCCCGCTCCGCCGCCCGCTACCGAACTCGCCCGCACACCCAATCGGCCCCGCCTGCGCCATGCTTTCGAAACTCCCCCCCTTCGCTCCTCGGCGCAACACTTGCGCGCTTCCCTCCGCGTTTCCGCCAATTTCCCCGGGCCATCCCACACCACCGCCAGCCCCGTTCGCGTTCCCACCATCCCCTGCGCCTCCACCCGCGCTAAAGCCGCTACTCGAACCAACGCTCGCGCTTTTAAAGGCTTCCCTCCTCCGCCCCTGGCGGGACGCCGCCTCTTCTTCCGCGTCCAGCTGCTCCGCTTCCGCCACCGCTTCCCGGTGCCGGTCGAACGAGAAATATGCCACCTTTGGCGGCGGAGCTGGCGCTGCAGCTGCGCGCGAAGGCGCGCAAATCGGGGACCTAGGCCGCGGAAATGCAGGCGATCTAGGGCGAGCGTTAATAGGAGAAGAGTTAGCGCCACCGCTGCCACCGCCGCAGCCGCTACCGGCACTGCCGCTGCTGGCGGCAAAGCTGATGCTGCGCTGTTCTGCACCATTATCGGCGGCGTCGCTGCTCGCTTCCCCCCTCACGCTATCCCGGTTGCTGTTCCGCGATTTCCCCGCGGAATCGCTCCGCGTCTTCCCCGCGCTGCCGCTGCGGGGATCCTGCGGGGGGGACTCCGCGCGCCCCCCGCAAGCGGAACCGGAAGCGAGACCAGACGCCGCCCATTGCTGCTGCGACAGCTGAAGCTTTTGATGCTGCTGTTGCTGTTGCTGCTGATATTGCTTGCCTTGCTGCGTCAGCTCGAGCGAAGCGGCGTCGGAAGTGCAAACGGTTGCGGAACGGCGGAAAAATTCAGGGAGGGATTCTTCCCCGTCGTCCGCCGACGTGGAAACGGGAATTGAGCCGCTGTTGCTTCCGCCAGCGCTGCTTCCGCCCGTGCTGCTTCCGCCTCCGATGCTAGTCCTAGTTGTAGCGCGCGTGAATGTCGCAGACCGCATTGGTGAAGGCGCGTCGTCTTCCGCGAAACTTCGGCGACGCGGATTGGACCACACGCGAGCTGCTTGCCCGCCGGTTTTAATTACCTGCTCAAGAAACCGCTCCTTCTTCCCGCTTCCCCCGCTCCTGCTTTCCGCGCTCCCCGTCGTGCCGCTTCCTCCGGTGCCGGTTCCCCCTGTCCCTCCGCCTCCTCCATCTCCCCCTTCTTCCGCCCCGCGCGCGCCGTTCCGGAACGACCATAGGCGCTGAAATTTTCCACCTCCGTCCTTTCCGGCCCCGCCGCTGCTTCCCCCGCTCGACGAGCGGCCGCTTCCCCCACCCGCGGACTCCGTAACCGTCTTGGTCTTGACGAAATTTGCGAAGTTTCGCAAGTCAGATTCGCTGATCTTGGACGAGGTTCCCCCCGGGCGCGAGTGCAGCGGAGACGTGCTGCTGCGCGATCGGGGGACAATGTCGTGCTGGGGGGGAACAGAGAGCGGAGTTTCGTCCGCCAGGGTCTCCCACGCTTCGTCTAATAATTGCCCCGAGTCTTTCCGGTAGTGCCCGCCGGCTGTAGCTTCGCTCCCATCATCGTTAAAGTAGTGTCTGGATACGGGGCTGCTGAGGGGGCTGTAGCTCAGCGGGCTGTAGCACTCGTCGCGAGCGGCCATGGTTAACTACCTTTTTTATAACACAAATGCTATGATTAACGCGTACTCAAACGCGCATGGTTACTAAGCGGGACTGGGGAAAGGCTCAACGCGAATGGTGCTGCCCTTCGTAGACTTTAGTACCTCTCATAGTCTCAGGAGGTGGTGCCGACCCATTGACTCATTGACTCAACACCGACCTCGATGGGTACTTTATGGCATCTTAGCCTGTTAGACGATACATCCAGTATATTGAGCAGCTAACAATCACCGTGCGTCCAGTAACCGGCAGTTTGACGCGGAAGGAATTACTCAATGAAGAGCCGTTTTGGCGAGATAACTACCGATTTATTATCTCTCTAGTCAACGACGATAATATACTATGGTAGATTGATGTGCGGGTAGGGACTGACTCTCTTTGCACCGCTGTACGGTGGTTGGCGCAGTTTAGGGCAGTTGAGCACTGATGGAAGGAAACAGATAACGGCGACTTTCGCCAAAGCGGCTGTTGCGTCTCGCCGAATTATTCGTGACAGAGTTACAGATACACATGCCTTGGTGTTCCCACTGGTCTGCGAGCACCTGTGGTGGTGGGGAATGGAGCATCCAGTAACCAATCGGATGTTGGCAACAAGCCCAGTGGAGAAAATTAGGCCACTCTGCCCGATGATTTTCCAACCACAAAACGAACCCCCACTGGCCACCACAGCTCAAAACGGGTGGTGGAAACCCTAAGAGTTTCGGTCAAATTCATGGGCAGACTCGACTGGCAGTACAATCAAAACAGCTCCGCTTCGAGTCAACGGCAGAGGTTTCTTGGGCCGGGTAGAAAGGCAACTGTACCCATTCAGAGGTTTCTCACTTTACAGAAGTGGGACTACTGTATTAAAAGCTGTGGGTAATTTGCAAGGGATTGCAAAATTAATGCAAGCGCTGCCGCCACAGAACTGTGAGGGGCGGATGGAAACTCTTCAGTCATGGCCCGGCTGGAACCTAGCTGGCAAGGTTTTGTCGTCACCTCCGGTACAGTTCACGCATGTGAGGTACCGCGGATTCCAACAAAGAGCTCAGTGTATATGAGCAGTGTACTTTTGAGTTCAACACATTCCTTTACCAAATAGAATTGCAAAATATGCTAAGGACTAGTTGAGATGCTACTTATGCTTTAGAGAGCACACGAATTTTCAGAGGGGGTTCTATAATACACACGCCCATTCTCGGTGAACGTGAAATAAACTGAGCCACCAAAAGTATCCTCGGCTTGTCAGCACCACCACCATGGCATAATAGGTACCGGTATCACATGTACATCATCACCACAAGCAGCACCAACAACACCCATCACCACCACGACGACGAGGACGACGACGACCACCACCACCACGACCACCACCACGACGACCACCACCACGACACCCATCACCATCACCAACCCCCTTCAAGCACCAGGGACGGAACGACTAGCAACTGCAGCCGCCTCTGCCGCATCTGCTGCCTCTGCAGCCCCTCTGTTGCCTCTGCATCCCCTTCAGTCTCTGCAGCTCCCGCAGTCTCTGCAGCCCCTCTGCAGTCGAGAATTTTCATAAACCAGGCCATGACGCGCGACTAACGACGAGCTGGGTGAGGCTTCACAATGCCTGCTGCCGCCTCTGCAGCCAAATATACCTGGTCCTTGTTCAGCAGCTCGTCCGCTTGCTCCTGTGAAATAAGGAGGGGAGGAGAGGAGGAGCGGTGGGGGTGTTTATGAGTCGTCTCTCTAATGCCTGCTGCCGCCTCTGCAGCCAAGTACATTTGGTCCTTGTTCAGCAGCTCGTCCGCTTGCTCCTGTGGAAGGGGAGAGGAGGGAGAGGAGGGAGAGGAGGGAGAGGAGGGAGAGGAGGGAGAGGAGGGAGAGGAGGGCCGGAGGGGGGAGGAGGAGGGAGAGAAGGCAAGGTTTTGAGACGTCTGCTGCCTCTGCAGCCAAGTATACCTGGTCCTTGTTCAACAGCTTGTCAGCTTGCTCCCGGGGGAGGATGGGAGGCAGATGGGAACGGATAGAAGGGTAAGGGTAAACTGCATTTAGCTGGTAATTCACTAGTAACCGAGGGTAAATCACCAGTTACTTGTGGCAAGGGTAACTTACCTGTTCGTGCAGTATATGCATGAGAAATATATGAACGAAACCCTGTAATCATTCAGAAGGCAAGTCAGAGATATTTGTGGCAGGGGGGATTTACCTGTAATCTGTGCAGCAGGTACATGAGAAATAGATGAACAAAGACCTGTGGTGATAAGAGTGAGGGGCAGAGACAGATAAGGAGATAGTGACTTTTGAGGTGCCTCAAAAGTTTACCTGTAATCTGTGCAGCAGGTACATCAGAAACAGGTGCACAAAGACCTGTGGTGGTAACGCGACGAGGAGAAAATGATAAGATACTGGTGATGGTGACGCCCGAGAGAAAACAGACGGTACAGCACGGGCACAAAAACGAGCAAAGGAAAATATGAACAATAGCATGGGCACGATTGAGAAACACAGGAAGGGTACGCAATGATGTAGGTGTGTGCGATTTTTTGCTTTTCTTTGCCAAGACCACAAGGTCCCACCCCTAAGGCTGACCTGAAATTAACATGTTTTTGTTTTTGTTTTGGGTGGGGGAAGAAGGGAGAGGGGGAAGGGGTGGAGGAGGGGGAGGGTGGAGAAGGAGGGGGGGTGGGGTTGAGGGGGGTTGTGGTGGGGAGGTGGGGGGGCGACCAAGTACCAAGTAGCAGACAAGTCCAAGGCGGGCAAGTGGGCGGCGCCACAAGAAGCGGCCGGCAGTCACTGTGCCATGATCGATGAGCTTTGCTGCTTGCTGTAGAAGGGGTGGGGGGTGGGTGGAGGGGGGGTGGTTGGGCCGGCACTGTGTGGAGGGAGCGGCCGGCAGTCACTGTGCTGTGATCGATGAGCTTGGCTGCTTGCTGTGGCGAGCACCAACGGGGAGAAGAGGAGACAGTGGGACAAGAAAGGGGTTACAAGACAGTGGAACAAAGGGGTTACAGGATGAAAAACGGGGGAAGAAAGGAGATGCATTGGAAGAAGGTGTGGTGCGGACATAAGCCTTCCTATGCGACGACTTTTGAGACGCCTCAGAAGGTGCGGACCGCACCTTTTGTCCGCACCGCACCTTTTGTCCGTACCGCACCTTCGTCCGAAAGGTGCAGACGGAAGTCTTCTTCTGAGCCTTGAGGTCCAGTGAGTGACTGACACCCCTACTGGGATCTAGTTTTGCGACGCGTCAAAGGTCCCGCTTGTGTCCCCTCTCACCTCACCTAATTGAATTTCTCCCCATCTACAAACCGCGAGGCATGAGCCTAGTTTTGAGTCGACTCAAAACTAGGCCCCGCTTGTGTCCCCTCTCACCTCACCTAATTAAATTTCTCCCCATCTACAAACCGCGATGCATGAGCCAACTTTTGAGGCGAGGCACCTCACCTCACAGGTAACGCTCCTACTGCGATCTACGGCCCCACTACTAGTGTCCCTCTCTTTCTCTCTCTCACCTAACTTGAAACTGCTTTCTCTATTGAGGTTGCTTACTAAAATGAAGTTGCTTTTTCAGATGCTCTGTAGCCAAGTGACCCCACAACCTCCCCCCTCTCCCCCACTTCCCCCATTAACCCCCTACCCCCCTCCCCCTCCCCGCTTCCCCCTCCTTCCCAGGACCTAAGGCATGACGCTCTTGAGTATTACCTGAATCCTCTTGCCTATGAAGCGCCGGTTAGGCAAACCCACGGACCTGAGGGGGGTGAGAAGCGGTGAGAAGAGGTGAGAAGAGGTGAAAAGGGGCGAGTAATGGTGAGATGCAGTGAGAAGGTTGAGAAGCGGCGAGGAGCTGTGAGATGCGGCGAGAAGAGGTGAGAAGCTAGAAAGGAAATACGTGAGAACTAATTATTCCAGATTTGAGACGTCTCAAAACTAGAATACGTGAGAACTAATTATTCCAGACACTGAATCTCGCTGTCTACTTCTTCTCTTTGTTGCCCTGGTGCCCAGGATGGGGGCTCACAATTCCACACCAACACCACCACACATCACCACCACACACCACCACACACAAATCGCCAGCCACATCAACACCGCCACACCAAAACCACCACACCCAGCATCGCCACACCACAGAGCACCACAGAGCACCACAGAGCACCGCAGAGCACCAGAGAGCACCAGAGAGCACCACACAGCACCGCAGATAACCACACAGCATCACTCACTCCAGAGACTGCATTTCACTGTCCTCCTCGTCAGCTGCCATCAGCATTGACCGGCGTGCCGCTCTGTCCCTCTCCGCCTGTGCCTGAAAGGGAGGGGAGCACAATGGAAAGGTTAGGTGGAATAGCGCTTAAGGTTAGACCACGCATCAGCATCGACCGGCGAGCCGCTCTGTCCCTCTCTGCCTGCGTTTGAGAGGGTGGGGAGGGAAGGAGAGGGAGGAGTGGGACGATTTTCGAGTCAACTTTAAAATCGCCTCTGCTTGGGCTTCAAAAGGCGGGAAGGAGATGCATTATAGCGAGACATTTGATTAAGTGCTTTACCTTGGCCAGTTGCAGCTCTCTTCTCTCCTTGTTCAGTTGCAGCATGGCCGCCTGCCTCTCACTCGTCATTGTCTCTAATTGACTCTGCTTCAGACACTGCCATGTAATGTGGGGGGGTAATGGGAGGGAAGAGGTGTGAGAGGGGGCAGAATGGGAGGGTAAGGAGTGAGCAGAGGGTATTTGATAACGCACACTGCTGGTCACGCAAAAAAAACATAGTGTGGGTTGGGAATGGTGGGTGGAAAAAAACAAATCATGCAAATGGTGGGTTGGGAATGATGACTTGGAGTGGCAGGAGCAGCTGGTTGATGACCTTCAATTCAACGATGCGGACACGTGAAAGAAAAAAAAATGTTTTGAGATGATGATTGCAAACATCAAAACGAATCTTTCTTGCAGCAGCTGGTTGATGATGATGCGGCTGCATCTTCATGTGCAACTGGTTCATGTTGGATGACCTTCAACGATGCCATCACGTGAAAGAAGATCTGTTTTGAGACATCTTCGTGCAAAACAAATCTTCTTTGTGCAACTGGTTGTGTTGATGACCTTCAACGATGCAGTAAGAAACCAGAGGCTCTGTCAACACATTACAATCAATAACATTAACAGCGTCCGATAACACATGAACTGACTCGATTGACTCTCTGACAAAATCTGTCAACTCGCCAGGCATCTCTGCCAACTCCCTAAGAAACTCCGTCAACTACCTAACAGAGTATGTCAAACTCATTAGAAGCTTTGTGGGCTCACAGAATGATTCTGTCAACTCACCAGCAGCTCTGTCAACTCACCAGCAGCTCTGTCAACTCACCAGCAGCTCTGTCAACTCACTAGCAGCTCTGTCAACTCACCAGCAGCTCTGTCAACTCCTTGAAGCGCTTTTCCATCTCTGCATTGGCCTGTGCAGGTATAGGAGAGGAAAGGAGAGGAGAGGAGAGGAGAGGCGAGGAGAGGAGAAGAGGGAGATGGAAGAGGAGGGAGAGGAAAGAGGAGGAAAGTATGAGAAGACATGAGCAGAAAAGCTCCCACCCAGAGGAAGAAAAATGAAGGGCACAGATCTGAATGCAGAGAAAGTGGATGAAAACAATCCAGAGAATGAACAGCACATGCCTGTACAGTGGATTAATCTGAAGTGGAAAGGATAGAGAACATGCCTGTAACGAGGATGAGTCTGCATCCCTCTTGTGAGCCTCCACCTCCACTCGCAGCTTCTGCACCTCTGCCTGCAGGCATGGGCCAGGGGAGAGAATGATGGATGAGTTGTAAGGTGGGTGAGGAATACGGGTAGGGCTACACATGCATCAAAGACTGCGAATGTCGACGGGTTGACCACCAATTGTCCCTCTAGTAGCCTCCACCTCAATCGGCAGCTTCTGCACCTCTGCATGCATGCGTGGGCCAGGAGGGATAGGGGGATCGGGGGACAGGGGGATAAGGGGGAGAGAGGGAGACAGGGATCGGGGGGAAAAGGGGGAGACAGGGTAGGGGGATAGGGGGATAAGGGGGAGAGAGGGAGACAGGGATCGGGGGGAAAAGGGGGAGACAGGGTAGGGGGATAGGGGGATAAGTGGGAGAGACGGAGAACGGGATAGGGGGATAGGGGGAGAGAGGGTGACAGGGAGAGAGGGTGACAGGGGGAGAGGGCTGGGAGCCGGGTGGGAGGTAAGGGTACAGATGCTTTTCCACCTCTCTATACGCTTCTCACTTCTCTGCCAGTGTTTCCCCCCTCCCCTTTTCTCCCCTCCCCTCCCCTCCTCTTTTCTCCCCTCCCCTCCCCTCCCCTCCCCTCCCCTCCCCTCCCCTCCCCTCCCCTCCCCTCACATCCCCTCTGCTCACCTCGCTGCCCTCAAACTGAGAAACGGGTAGAAAGCAGCCTGCTCGTTTGACCAACCAGTGATGACTAATCTGAGAGGTACTAACTCACTGAGTACTAGGCGAGAACACGTGTAGGTAAGCGAAGTAGTATTTAATCGGTAGATTACAAGTGGTTCAGAGAACGTACGCGCGTTTTGGCTTTTTAGGCCTTCATCGGCGTTTCCGAATCCTCCCACCCGCCTCCCTCTCCTCACCCCACCCTCTGCTCACCTCGCTGCCAGTGTTTCCCCTCTCCCCTCCCCTCCCCTCCCCTCCCCTCTCCTCACCCCACCCTCTCCTCAACCCACCCTGTGCTCACCTCGCTGCCTGCCAGCTTCCCCTCTGCCTCTCGTAGCAGCTGCCTTGCTCGCTCCGACTCCTCCTTCCATGCCTGCACCTGCAGACACACAAGGGCGAAGAGGGGGGAAGAGGGCGGTGGGTGGGTATTACAGGTGGGGAAGAAGGGCGGGGGATTCATACAAGCCTGCATCAAAGCAGCTGCCTTGCTCGCTCTGACTCCTCCTTCCATGCCTGCACCTGCCAGCACACAACGGGTGGGAGATAGGGGTGGGGGAGAATAAAAGGGACCACGGAAGGTAGGAAGGATCAAGGGGAAAGAGGGAAGGAGGGGGAGTTTTTACATGCCTAGAACAAAGCAGCTGCCTCGCTTGCTTTGACTTCTCCGTCCATGCCTGCATCTGCCACCACGTGAGAACAAGGGAGGAGGGCGGTGGGAGGGTGTACGGGTACGGAATAGGGGAAGGGGGGTTATACAAGCCTCAAAGAGAGCAGCTGCCTCGTATATTGAAATCACTTTTGAGAATTCCTGAAATCACTTTTGAGAATTCTTAAAAGTGATTTCAATGTGTACGGGTACGGAATAGGGGAAGGGGGGTTATACAAGCCTCAAAGAGAGCAGCTGCCTCGTATATTGAAATCACTTTTGAGAATTCCTGAAATCACTTTTGAGAATTCTTAAAAGTGATTTCAACGTGTACGGGTACGGAATAGGGGAAGGGGGGTTATACAAGCCTCAAAGAGAGCAGCTGCCTCGTATATTGAAATCACTTTTGAGAATTCCTGAAATCACTTTTGAGAATTCTTAAAAGTGATTTCAATGTGTACGGATACGGAATAGGGGAAGGGGGGTTATACAAGCCTCAAAGAGAGCAGCTGCCTCGTATATTGAAATCACTTTTGAGAATTCCTGAAATCACTTTTGAGAATTCTTAAAAGTGATTTCAATGTGTACGGGTACGGAATAGGGGAAGGGGGGTTATACAAGCCTCAAAGAGAGCAGCTGCCTCGTATATTGAAATCACTTTTGAGAATTCCTGAAATCACTTTTGAGAATTCTTAAAAGTGATTTCAATGTGTATGGGTACGGAATAGGGGAAGGGGGGCTATACAAGCCTCAAAGAAAGCAGCTGCCACCCTCGCTTCAACTACCATTTCCATGCCCACCACATGGTCAGACGAATCTGGAGCGCCTTCAAAAGAGTTCCACCATGAGCGGCGAGCAGCACACCTGGGCGAGCAGCACACCTGGGCGAGCAGCACACCTGGGCGAGCGGCAAACGACCCTCCGTCCTCGCCTGAGAGTGTGAGTGGACGGAGGGTCGTTTGCAGCGAGTGGTCTGGTCGCCTGAGATCCCACTTTGCCCTTTCAGCGAGCAATGCGCACAGCACACTTGCATGTGCGTACCAGCCAACCAAGGTGACTTTTGAGTCGACTCAAATGCGCACAGCACATTTGCATGTGCGTACCAGCCAACCAAGGTGACTTTTGAGTCGACTCAAATGCGCACAGCACATTTGCATGTGCGTACCAGCCAACCAAGGTGACTTTTGAGTCGACTCAAATGCGCACAGCACATTTGCATGTGCGTACCAGCCAACCAAGGTGACTTTTGAGTCGACTCAAATGCGCACAGCACATTTGCATGTGCGTACCAGCCAACCAAGGTGACTTTTGAGTCGACTAAAATGCGCACAGCACATTTGCATGTGCGTACCAGCCAACCAAGGTGACTTTTGAGTCGACTCAAATGCGCACAGCACATTTGCATGTGCGTACCAGCCAACCAAGGTGACTTTTGAGTCGACTCAAATGCGCACAGCACATTTGCATGTGCGTACCAGCCAACCAGCTGACCAACCGTTCGGCCATCCGACAAACCAACCAACTACTTTTGAGGTGCCTCAAATATTACGCACCTGGGCAAGGACGGAGGGGTCGTCTGCTGTGACTGGCCGCCTGAGATCCCTCTTAGCCTTGTCGTCGTGTGCCTGTAGCTCGCTGTTGAGACTGCTGCACTCCATCTGTAACCCGGTTACCATGCATGCACACACACAGATTCGTGTACATGCACACATACATGCAGTTACACACACAGATTCGTGTACATGCAATGCCAAACATGCATGGACAGGCAGACAGGCACATGTGTATGCAAAAGTAGTCACACGAACATTCATGAACACTTGTCCTTGCAGAAGAACGTAATACCTGCTCTGCCACACAAAATTCAAAATAGGATTAGATAAGTCCCCACTTACTAAAAAACTAATCATGTATGCATAAAAACTATTCGAATAATGCCCTCACCCACCCACCCTCACTCACTGTCAATCCAACCAACCTTATCCTCATTCCAATCTCAACCGCGACCCTCACACTCACCTCAAGTGAAGATATATTTTCTTCCAGGGACGAGACTCGCTGTGTGCTCTCCTCCACTGCCCTCTGCATGAGAGAGAGCGCCGCCACGCCCTCCGCCACCTGCTCTACCCTATGCTGCTCCAACTGAAACACTCTCGCGCTCTCACCCTCTCTCTCACCTCAAGAACAGATATCTTCTCTTCAAGGGATGACACTCGCTGTGTGCGCTCCTCCACTGCCCTCTGCATGCGAGAGAGTGCTGCCACGCCCTCCGCCACCTGCTGTTCTAACTCCAGCTCCCGTGCTGCTGCTTCCTGTGGGGTTGATGAGGGAACGAGTGCGAGTGTGAGTGAACCAGGAAGTCTGAAGGGGGTGGATGAGTGAGAGTGCCACCACAGCCTCCGCCAAAAGCTGCTCCAACACTAGTTCCCGTGCTGCTGCTTCCTGTGGGCAGGTTGAGAGAGAGAGACACTTGCCAAGCAGCAATCAGGGACACTTGCCACTTGCTAGACTTGAAGCTATATGAGTGTTCTCAAAAGGCCGATGTACCCTGCTTGATATTATTTTTTTAAGAATCCCAAAGGTCGCTCTTCCTTTGTAGGAGCCTCACCTGTCTTGTCACGAGGTGCGCTGCGTGCTCATCGTCGCACCGCCTCTCAGCAGCAGCCAGCTCCTCCCTGAGCGCCTGGATCATGCGCGCCTCTGTGGAGTCCCGGTTCTTGGACAGGGCTTCAGAGCTCGCCTGCATTGGGATGGTGGCAAGGTGGGATGATTGGAGTGGTGGGGGGCGGTTGGTACCATGCCATTATGCCATGCTCCTCCCTGAGAGCCCGGATCATGTGCGCCTCTGTGGAGTCCCGGTTCTTGGAGAGCGCTTCAGAGCTCGCCTGCAGTTGGGTGGGATGGCATGGAATGGAGGGGTGGAACAGCGTGCGCTTCACAGCAGTGGCTGCGGCGGCAGAAGCAGCAGCCAGCTCCTCCCTGAGAGCCTGGATCATGCGCGCCTCTGTGGAGTCGCGGTTCTTGGAGAGTGCCTCTGAACTCACCTGCAGTTGGGATGGTGGTGGCATGGCATGGTGGGATGATGGATGACTGGTGTGGTGGGATGATGGATGACTGGTGTGGTGGGGAAATAACATGCTACGATCAGCATGAGCCCTCTCGGCAGCAGCCAGCTCCTCCCAAGCGCCTGGATCATGTGCGCCTCTGTGGAATCGCAGCTCTTTGACAGGGCTTCTGAACTCGCCTGGAGTTGGTTGGTGGGATGGTGTGGGGTGTTGTGCTGGGCCAGCGTGGTGGGGTGAGTGAGACAGGATGGTGGTACGAGAGGCGCTATGCCTGGCTGAAATGGTGGGGTGAGACAGTATGACGCCTCTCAGCAGCAGCCAGCTCCTCCCTGGGAGCCTGAATTATACATGCCTCAGTAGAGTCCCGGTTCTTTGATAGGCCTATGGACTTGCCTGAAACACTCACACCCTCACTCTGGCTCTCCCTCACTCCCGCTCTCCCTCACTCCCTACCTCCCTCCCTACCTCTCTTCCTCCCTCCCTCACGCTCACTCACACGCACCTGCAGGGAGGCGAGCTTGGCTTGGAGAGCAGCGGAATGCCTCTCAGCATCCTCTAGCGCGCTACACAGAGCCTCTATCTCGCGGTTCTTCGCCTCCATCCCCGCTGCCACTGCCTTTCCACTCCCTCCCTCCCTCCCTCCCTCCCTCCCCTCACCCACTCATACGCACCTGCAGGGAGGCGAGCTTGGCTTGGAGAGCAGCGGAATGCCTCTCAGCATCCTCTAGCGCGCCACACAGAGCCTCTATCTCGCGGTTCTTCGCCTCCATCCCCGCTGCCACTGCCTTTCCACTCCCTCCCTCCTTCCCTCCCTCCCTCCCCTCACCCACTCATACGCACCTGCAGGGAGGCGAGCTTGGCTTGGAGAGCAGCGGAATGCCTCTCAGCATCCTCAAGCGCGCCACACAGAGCCTCTATCTCGCGGTTCTTCGCCTCCATCCCCGCTGCCACTGCCTTTCCACTCCCTCCCTCCCTCCCTCCCTCCCTCCCCTCACCCACTCATACGCACCTGCAGGGAGGCGAGCTTGGCTTGGAGAGCAGCGGAATGCCTCTCAGCATCCTCTAGCGCGCCACACAGAGCCTCTATCTCGCGGTTCTTCGCCTCCATCCCCGCTGCCACTGCCTTTCCACTCCCTCCCTCCCTCCCTCCCTCCCTCCCCTCACCCACTCATACGCACCTGCAGGGAGGCGAGCTTGGCTTGGAGAGCAGCGGAATGCCTCTCAGCATCCTCTAGCGCGCCACACAGAGCCTCTATCTTGCGGTTCTTCGCCTCCATCCCCGCTGCCACTGCCTTTCCACTCCCTCCCTCCCTCCCTCCCTCCCTCCCCTCACCCACTCATACGCACCTGCAGGGAGGCGAGCTTGGCTTGGAGAGCAGCGGAATGCCTCTCAGCATCCTCTAGCGCGCCACACAGAGCCTCTATCTCGCGGTTCTTCGCCTCCATCCCCGCTGCCACTGCCTTTCCACTCCCTCCCTCCCTCCCTCCGTCCCTCCCCTCACCCACTCATACGCACCTGCAGGGAGGCGAGCTTGGCTTGGAGAGCAGCGGAATGCCTCTCAGCATCCTCTAGCGCGCCACACAGAGCCTCTATCTCGCGGTTCTTCGCCTCCATCCCCGCTGCCACTGCCTTTCCACTCCCTCCCTCCCTCCCTCCCTCCCTCCCCTCACCCACTCATACGCACCTGCAGGGAGGCGAGCTTGGCTTGGAGAGCAGCGGAATGCCTCTCAGCATCCTCTAGCGCGCCACACAGAGCCTCTATCTCGCGGTTCTTCGCCTCCATCCCCGCTGCCACTGCCTTTCCACTCCCTCCCTCCCTCCCTCCCTCCCTCCCTCCCCTCACCCACTCATACGCACCTGCAGGGAGGCGAGCTTGGCTTGGAGAGCAGCGGAATGCCTCTCAGCATCCTCTAGCGCGCCACACAGAGCCTCTATCTCGCGGTTCTTCGCCTCCATCCCCGCTGCCACTGCCTTTCCACTCCCTCCCTCCCTCCCTCCCTCCCTCCCCTCACCCACTCATACGCACCTGCAGGGAGGCGAGCTTGGCTTGGAGAGCAGCGGAATGCCTCTCAGCATCCTCTAGCGCGCCACACAGAGCCTCTATCTCGCGGTTCTTCGCCTCCATCCCCGCTGCCACTGCCTTTCCACTCCCTCCCTCCCTCCCTCCCTCCCTCCCCTCACCCACTCATACGCACCTGCAGGGAGGCGAGCTTGGCTTGGAGAGCAGCGGAATGCCTCTCAGCATCCTCTAGCGCGCCACACAGAGCCTCTATCTCGCGGTTCTTCGCCTCCATCCCCGCTGCCACTGCCTTTCCACTCCCTCCCTCCCTCCCTCCCTCCCTCCCCTCACCCACTCATACGCACCTGCAGGGAGGCGAGCTTGGCTTGGAGAGCAGCGGAATGCCTCTCAGCATCCTCTAGCGCGCCACACAGAGCCTCTATCTCGCGGTTCTTCGCCTCCATCCCCGCTGCCACTGCCTTTCCACTCCCTCCCTCCCTCCCTCCCTCCCTCCCTCCCCTCACCCACTCATACGCACCTGCAGGGAGGCGAGCTTGGCTTGGAGAGCAGCGGAATGCCTCTCAGCATCCTCTAGCGCGCCACACAGAGCCTCTATCTCGCGGTTCTTCGCCTCCATCCCCGCTGCCACTGCCTTTCCACTCCCTCCCTCCCTCCCTCCCTCCCTCCCCTCACCCACTCATACGCACCTGCAGGGAGGCGAGCTTGGCTTGGAGAGCAGCGGAATGCCTCTCAGCATCCTCTAGCGCGCCACACAGAGCCTCTATCTCGCGGTTCTTCGCCTCCATCCCCGCTGCCACTGCCTTTCCACTCCCTCCCTCCCTCCCTCCCTCCCTCCCCTCACCCACTCATACGCACCTGCAGGGAGGCGAGCTTGGCTTGGAGAGCAGCGGAATGCCTCTCAGCATCCTCTAGCGCGCCACACAGAGCCTCTATCTCGCGGTTCTTCGCCTCCATCCCCGCTGCCACTGCCTTTCCACTCCCTCCCTCCCTCCCTCCCTCCCTCCCTCCCTCCCTCCCCTCACCCACTCATACGCACCTGCAGGGAGGCGAGCTTGGCTTGGAGAGCAGCGGAATGCCTCTCAGCATCCTCTAGCGCGCCACACAGCGCCTCTATCTCGCAGTTTTTAGCTTCCATCCCGGCAGCCACTGCTGCTTCTGCTGCCACTGCCTCTGCCCGTGCACTTGCCAACTGCTGCTGCAATGCTCGAACCACACTATCCACTGATCCACGGTTGTTCCTCTGAGGGGAGATAGTGTTAGGTGGGGGAGGAGCAGAGGGAGTGAGAACCTTGTTGCTGCTGCCACTGCCTCTGCCCGTGCACTTGCCAACTGCTGCTGTAATGCTCGAACCACACTATCCACCGAACCACGGTTGTTCCTCTGAGGGGAGACAGGATCAGTCGCAAGGAGGGACGGAGGAGGGAGAGGGGGATAGAGAGACGGGGATTAAGACAGAATCTACTTCTTCTGCTGCCACCGCCTCTGCCCGTGCGCTGCTCAGCTGCTGCTGTAGGGCCTGAACCACACTGTCGACTGACCCTCGGTTGTTCTGCTGAGGGGGGATAGTCAAAGGGAGGGGGGGAGCAGAGGGAGAGACAACCTTGTTGCTGCCACTGCCGCTTCTGCTGCCACCGCTTCTGCCTGTGCATTTGCCAAGTCCTTTCATGTACCTATGTACGTCCAAGCCCCACCTCCTCGTGAAGCAGCTCCTCCAGCTGCTCGTTCTCTGCCTGCAGTTTAGGAAAGGTGATGCTCATGTGCCTCATACTTGTAGTACCTCGCTGCACCTCACACCTCACTGCATCTCCTTGCACCTCCCATGCACCACTCCTCATCTCCATGCACCACTCCTCATCTCCATGCACCACTCCTCATCTCCATGCACCACTCCTCATCTCCATGCACCACTCCTCATCTCCATGCACCACTCCTCATCTCCATGCACCACTCCTCATCTCCATGCACCACTCCTCATCTCCATGCACCACTCCTCATCTCCATGCACCACTCCTCATCTCCATGCACCACTCCTCATCTCCATGCACCACTCCTCATCTCCATGCACCACTCCTCATCTCCATGCACCACTCCTCATCTCCATGCACCACTCCTCATCTCCATGCACCACTCCTCATCTCCATGCACCACTCCTCATCTCCATGCACCACTCCTCATCTCCATGCACCACTCCTCATCTCCATGCACCACTCCTCATCTCCATGCACCACTCCTCATCTCCATGCACCACTCCTCATCTCCATGCACCACTCCTCACCTCCTCATGCAGCAGCTCCTCCAGCTGCTCGTTCTCCGCCTTATACTCCTGGAGCCGCGCTGATAGCTGTGCACAGATCTGCCAAGGGCATGGAGAGGGAGAGGGGCCAAGCCAAGCTGAGTGAGTGAGGCGGGTTGCTTGTGTGCTAATTCTAAATGACGCAATTCAAAGTCGCTTCAGCAGCTCGTTCTCTGCCTTCTACTCCTGCAGCCGCGCCGACAGCTGTGCACAGATCTGCCAAGGGCATGGAGAGGGAGAAATAGAAGGAGAGAGGCAGACACAAGAGAGAGGAGAAGAGGGAAGAAGGCTGTAAGGAAAACCTTCTAGTTGCTGACTCTCAGTCACCGCAACTGACTCTCAAAGTCACCCCACACGCATCCCTCATCCTTCACCCTTCATGCATCCATGAATCACATATCTCCATGCAAGCCAAGCCAGGCCTCCTTCGTTTGCCCGATGCCTGTAGTGTAGCCTATCAGATAAGCCCCTTCCCTTGGCCTGCCATGCCTAACGCACCACCAAACACGTGCATCCCTCATCCTTAACGCGTCCACGCGCCCATGCCTTCCCACACACACACATACCCATGTAAGCCTAGCCTCTTTGGTTTGCCCAATGCCTGTGGTTGATTCAAGGATGCCCCTTGCCCTGCCATACCTAACGCACCACCAAACGCACACATCCCTCATCCTTCTCCATCCCTCAAACATTCATGCCTACCCGTGATAGCCTGGCCTCCTTGGTTTGCCCAATGCCTGTAGCTGATCGAAGCAGTCCCTTGGCCTGCCAGGAACGGCCAGATCAAACGAGAGAGGACGGAGGAGGGAGGGTTTGAAAGGGAGGAGATTGGAGTGGAAAACTAAAGTTGCTGTGCTCATAAACAATTCTGAACAGTGCTCCAATCCAACCGGATTGTCCTGCCTGCTGCATCCGTAAACCCTTTCTGTCAAAATTCTTGGATACCTTTCTCACCTCTTCAAGGTCTCGTGGAGTGGAGTCTCTGATTTGACCACTCCTTGTAAAAATTCACTCACCTCTTCAAGATCCCGTTGAGTCTCTGACGCTTGCACCACCTTCTCCCTTGTCTTTCCAATAACCACCATGCTCCTGCTTTACAAGTGCAAGCAAGCAAACACAGACCCATACTCTCAACTCAACTCCCTTCAATATAGTTCACATACCTCCTCCAGATCCCTCTGAGTCTCTGATGCTTTCAGCACTTTCTCTCTCGTCTTCCTGTCCCTCTCCACTCCCTCCTCCTCCGCTTCCTCCTCCTCTTCCTGCTCCTCACCCCCATCCTCCTCCCCTTCCTCCTCGCCTTCCTCTTCTTCCTCCTCCTCTCCTTCCCCTCCATCCTCTTCTCCCTCTGCTTCTTCCACTCCGCCTCCCTCCTCCATTTCTACCCCCCCTTGCTCCCCTACTCTCCTCTCCCCTTCCCCATCCTCTTCGTTTCCCCCATTCTCTAACCTCCCCTCTCTAACCCCTCCCGTCATTCCCTCCTTACTATCACCCCGTGCTCCCTCTCCCCCTGTCACATCGGTGCCAGGAATCCCAACCCCAACCCCAGCCTCAGCCTTTACACCGTTCTCCACCCCTTCCCCCCTCCCGTTATGATCACTTCCCATTTCACCTTCCACCCCCTCCTTGCTACCGGCCCCTTCCCCCACTCCTACCTCACTTCCTCCTAACTCTACCTTTCTCCCACTCCTCACCCCCTCTTCTGATCCTGATCCCATTTCCCCTGCCGATTGACCTCCTGTTATAAGCACCCCGCCTTCAGCTGCCACTGAAAACTCCTCATCCACCGCAGCATCTTGCTTCTCTCCCTCACACCCTCCCCTCTCTGTGACCTTACTCTGCTGTGCAGCCATGTCACTCCCTCCTTCGCTCCCTACCCCTCCTTCGCCCATTCCTTCGCTCCCTACCCCTCCTTCGCCCATTCCTTCGCTCCCTACCCCTCCTTCGCCCATTCCTTCGCTCCCTCCTGCCCCTCCTATATCTGTTGCAATCCCAGTGTTTACAGCATCCGAACCTGTCACTGCCTCAATCCCCAAACCACTGCTCAAGCCAGCATCCGACCCAGCTGCCGAACCAGCAGTCGTGCCAGGTGCCGAACCTGCATCTAGGCCGGAACCTGGGCCATCCAAACCTGGCCCGCTATCTGCGGGCGTGGCAGCAGCAGTAGCAACAGCAGCAGCAGCTTTACTAGCATCTGACCTCACGTCCCCATTCCCTGCTGCCACTGCTACTCCTCCTGTTGCTCCCCTTGCTTCTCCCCCCCCTGCCCCTCCAGCTGCTCCTGCTGCTGCTCCTTCCTCTGCTCCTGCTTCCGCACCCGACCCCCTCTTCTCAGCAGCTGCATCAGTGGTTCTTGCAGCTGCTGAAACTGAAAGGGGCACAGCTGCTTTAGCCTCCGCAAGAAGAACGTCTGACCCCGCACCAGCAATTAAGCTCCCAACAGTCAGAGTCGCACCTCCTCCAGTTAACCCCCCACTGGTCGTTCCTCCTGTAGCTGATCCCCCACCAGTTGAACCTCCACCACTTGAACCTCCACCAGTTGACCCTCCACTAGAGCTCGCCTCGACCTTCTTTCTCCTGCCGCCCCCTGCACCCTTCCCCCCTCGCACCCCTGCTGTGCCTGCTGTCTTTCCCTCTGTTTCGGAGGAGCTTCCAGGCTCGTCCAGGGATGGAGCACTGACGGACCCTTTAAGAGCTGCCCCGTTAGTGGCTCTGGTAGAGGTTGGTTTTGATTTCGACCTGTCCGGCTTGGCCTGTAAGCATGTGAGTTGACAGAAAGAATGTTGAGGTTTGGGGGAAAGGAAAAAGGAAATCAGATCAGAGTCAGCAAGAACAAGAGGGGAATGAGACCTAAAACAGAGTGAAAAAAGTAAATGACACATCACACCACACCAGATTCTCATGAGGTAAATGACAGCTGCTCCTTTACCAACGTATGGCCAGCTGGCAGCAGCTCCCCTTTTGAGACGTCTCAAAACCAGCTGGCAGCAGCTCAGCTCCCCCTTAATCCCGGCTGCTGTGAGCCAGCCACCCACCTTCTCCCTTGTTGCTGGTGTCTTGCGCACTCCCACGGGCTCCAGTGCTGCTTCCAACGCACAGGGAGGGGAGGACAGCTGCTCCCCGTACCAATGTATGATCACACATACAACCGTATCCCCCTATCAATCAGCTGCTCAGGTAGGTACGGCTGTTACTGTGAGTCAGCCCACTCACCTTTTCCCTTGTTGCTGGTGTCTTACGCACTCCCACAGGCTCCAGTGCTGCTTCCAGGGGCACCACAAAAGACAGAGGGGTGGGAGGAAAGAGGGGAACGGAAGAGCCGGAGTTGGATGCTTGAGAAACATTGACTGAATCGCTGATTGAATATACCTCCCTCATTCTGACTCAAATATCCCTCCCTCATTCTGAATTCAGATAATTATCCACCCTTCCCAACCCAGCTTAACCGCACTGCGCTCTTCACCTTCAGACAGCTTCTACAGGAGACGTCTTAAGACGTATCATAGCGTCCTCCACCCCTACCAGCCCAGCCAAACCGCACCCAACCGAACTCAACCTCCCGCTTCACCTGCTAGCTGCTCCTCCAGAGCTGAATCCTCATTGCGTGTCGCCGCACTCACTGTTTGATCCTCTGCTTCTCTAGAGGAGGTCTTGAGACATATCAATCGAAACACCACCCATCCTTACCAACCCAGCCCGACCGCACCCAACCGAATTCAACATCCCGCTTCACCTGCTAGCTGCTCCTCCAAAGCTGAATCCTCATTGCGTGCCGCCACACTCACTGTGCGATCCACCGCTTCTAGCAGCTCTGGGAGGGAGGGCGGGGGAGGGGGGGGGAGGAAGGGGGAGAGAGGGCGTTTCTAGCAGAGCAGCAGGCGGAAAAGATCCCGTGCCGCCACACTCACTGTGCGACCCACCGCTTCTAGCAGTTCTGGGAGGGAGGGCGGGGGAGGGGGGGGGGGAGGAAGGGGGGAGAGAGGGCGTTTCTAGCAGAGCAGCAGGCGGAAAAGATCCCGTGCCGCCACACTCACTGTGCGACCCACCGCTTCTAGCAGCTCTGGAAGAAGGGGGGAGAGGAGGTGTTGGGAATGCGGCTGGGGAAGGAGGGAAAGATAACAGAACAGTCACCGTCATTGTCTACCTTCACGACATGAGCACAAGGGCGAACACCTGTTCGGTTCGCCTCGAACACGTTCGAGGCGAACCGAACAGGTTTGTTTTTTTTGCTTAAATTGTTCGCCGAACAGTGTTCGATGTTCGCCCGAACACGTTCGTGTTCGGGCCGCTGCTGCAATTTGCCCCGCGACGAACACGAACGTGTTCGATGTTCGCCCGAACATGCCTTCACAGGCGAACGGCGAACACGTGTTTTTGCTTAAAGTGTTCGCCGAACCGAACAGTGTTCGGTTCGGCAAACAGATGTGTTCGTCTAGGGGCGAACACGAACATGTTCGTGTTTGCCCCTTGCTCATTCTTGCCTTCACCCCCGAAATAGTCACTGTCACAGGACGGTGTCATTGCCTACCTGTAGCCCCAGAATAGCCCCCGTCACTGCCTACCTTCACTCCCGACATAGTCACCGTCAAAGTGACGGTGTCACTGCCTACCTTCACTCCCGACATAGTCACCGTCAAAGTGACGGTGTCACTGCCTACCTTCGGCCGCTCGCAGCCATCCTGCCATTGCGACAGCGTATCGCCCAGCGAGCTCCCGCGTTTCACGGCGACTAGCTTCGGGAAGATGATGGATTCAGCCAGAAGATCGGCGAGGCGTCGCGATTGATTTCTCTCCGCCTGCCTATTGCTAGATGATCAGTTACCACTGCTCCGGGAGGAGTAGTTTCGATCACGCAGCAGGTGTCCTAGTAAGCTTCATGATGGACGAAGGCAAATACGTCGCGAATCGTTCGTAACTTTGTCGCCAACCATTCGCACGACTCCTAGCGAGCTCTCGCCGCATCGAAAATCGTCACCTCGCGGACATCCTTCGCGTATTTCATTAGCGTATCACCAAGCGAAACCGCCTCGTACGTGTTCGCCGCTTCAGAATGAAATGTGCAGCTACGGCGTGGTTACCGTTTGATACGCTGCGCTAACGCTTGACGTAGAAACCTTTAAGTCGGCTCAAAAGTAACTACGGGGTGGTTGCATTGGATTCGCCGCACGAATGCTTGACGAAGGGTTTGCACGAAACGAGCGAGGTCTCATTCAACCGGCGTGGTTACGTTTGAATCCACCCGGCCTGTAACTAGCCTCGTCAAAACTCAATGTGCAACTGCGGAGTGGTTACGCAGGGCACTTAAAACCGGGGTGCACATTCAGCTGAATGTGCATCAAAGGTTATCCCTTGACTGAGTGGGTTACGAGGTGTGCTTTCAACCCCTTCAAGTCGAAATTCGTTTCCCCCCTCCCCCGCAATTTCGTTTCCCCACGCCCCCGCAATTTCATTTCCCCCTCCCCGTCGAAATTCGTTTCCCCCCTCCCCCGCAATTTTGTTTCCCCCCTCCCCCGCAATTTCGTTTCCCCCCCCTCCCGCCAATCTGTTTCATCCCTCCCGCCATTCGGTTTCACCCACTCCCGCCATTTCACCCCCTCCCGCCACCTACGAAATGCCCGAAGCTCTAGCGGAATCATTTTTTTGTCGCCCCTCGTGAGCCAATCACTGTTTTTCTCCAAACCCCCTTCCCAACATCTCAAGCCGAACCGCGTTGAATGTGCACCCTGGTTTTAACCAGCTCCGTTAACACGCGGGCCGCAAAATGGCGCCGAACACGGGCCGCTTGGTGATGGCTAAGTGAACCTGTCAGGAGTAACTAATGGAGTCGCAGGTAATTGCTCAGCCTCTCTCCTAGGAAAGCTATGGAAATGCGAGCTGAAATCAGAATAGGGAAATCCTGAAGGAATTGGGTACGGTGGTGTGCAGTGTGCCGTGGCGGAAACGGTTTTGATGTTGGAAGGAGCAGGCGACAATATCGTTGGACTGGAGGCGACAACTTCGAGGGTAGTGTACTAGCAGGAAAGTCAATATCCTCGTTATCCGTTACTGGCAGTCTAGCCACCGAATAGACTAACTACACCAAACAAAACAAACTAGAACCGATTCACTACACAGCTCAAGCACTCCAAATCTGGACTTGCGATAACACTCTCTCAAACCTCAAAACCATGTGGAAACTAAAGCTGGTCAATTCTTGGAGAGACCATGTGCTTGTGCTGCCCTGGAGGGCGGGACGTACAATCCAGCCCCCGGCTTACCACCCGCCGAACCACCTCCCTTTTTTTCCACAATCCCATCCTCTTTTCTACCCCTCCCCTCCCCCTTCGCCTCATCCTCATCCACCATATCCGCCCAGCTCAGCTCACAGGGCGAGGCTATGCCAACTTGAGGAGCCAAACCAGACGCCGCCGCGTCACCAGAGCCAGGGGCGAGACTAGGCTGGTTCAAGGCGTCATGGGGAGCAGGAGTAGGAGCAGGGTGAGCAGGAGCAGGGACAGCAGGAGCAGGGACAGCAGGAGCAGGGACAGGAGCAGGGCTCGCAAGGTTACGACCAGGTGCATGGGCGGGGACAGCAGCAGGACAGGGAGTAGCCATGCGTTCAGGAGCCTCAGGGGTACCAGCGGCAGGATCAGGGGTATGGGCTGGAATGGGGGTTGCATGTTGTGGAGTCCCACTTGTGCTGATTCCGTGCACTTGAATCTTGCTACCCCTTGCAGCAGCAGGCGGGGTGGTGGTGGTAGTGGTTGGGGCGGCATGAACCGCAGTGGTGGCACCTGCTGCTGCTCCTGCTGCAGCTCCTGCTGTTCCTGCAGCACCGAACAGAAACGGACCGCTCCCCACTCCTCCTTTCCCCTTCTCCTTGCTCTCATCACCAGTCCTCGCCCCATGTGCTTGGTCTTGCTGTCCATCATCAGTCTTTGCCTGAAGGCTCAAGCGTGAAAACGGCAGCGAGCTGACCTCATCTGCAGCCTCGTCCTGCTCTCTTCTCTGCTTCTGCCCTGGCTTCTCCCCTCTCCTACCCTCCGCACTCACAGGCCTATCTGCTGTCACTGCAGCCACACCCACCATACCCCCCCCTGCACTCCCCTCTAAACCCCCCCCTGCACTCCCCTCTACACCCCCCCCAGCAACCCCAGTGCCTCGAGCCCTGCCCCCCACGCCAGCACCCCTGCACCCCCTGCCTGCACCTCGGCCTGCTCCTGCATGGAACCTCCCCTGGTTCACGCCTCCAGAAGGAGAGCTTCCCGGGTGGAAACCACCAGGCTGCGCGCCACCAGGATGGAAACCACCTATCACAGGGGCAAACGCTGCGTCTAGAAGGCGGTTACCGCCTCCCAGCCCGCTCACCCTCCTCCTCCCCCCCTCTCTTCCAACAGTGCCGGCGCTGCCATCACCGCTGGTACCAGGCCCATCCGCCCTCTCTCTTTCACTCTGCTGCTCGTTGCCCGCCTTGGATCGCTCTTCCCCACGCCTCTCCTCCCCACGCTTCTCTTCAACACCCCTCCCCTCCCCACTCTTCCTCCCCCCACTCCTCTCCGCCCTACTGTTGCTCAATTCGAACCTTTCCTGCCTGCTGCTACCCCCTCCCCCTCCTCCTTGCCCAGTACTTTTCCCCCGCCTCCAATCCACTTCTCTCTTCTCCTCCCGGCTACCCCTCCCTCCTCCCCTCCCCCTCTCATCCCCTCCGCCTGTCTCTCCTGTCCCTTCCTCCAAGTCTTCCACAGGAACCCCTTCCCTCTCCTTGCCTTTCCTACGCGTATCACCACGCTCCCCTCGCTGCTCGCCTCTCTGCTCGCCTCTCTGCTCGCCTCTCTGCTCGCCTCTCTGCTCGCCTCTCTGCTCCCCCCTCTGCTGCTGGTGGTGCTGGTGCTGGTGCCTCCCTGCTCTTCGCTCCCCATCCTTCCCTGATTTCATCCCCTCTCTTCCCCCCTCCCCCGGACCCACCTGCTGCTGCTCCTTCTTCGCTCCTCCTTTCACCACCTCCCTCCCTCTCTCTGCTTCTTCGCCTGCCCTATCTCCCCTTCCCAACCCCGCTCCTTCTCCCTCCCTATCTCCCTTGCCCGCCACAGCTCCCCCCTCCCTCATCTGTTTCGCAGCAGTGGCAGCAGCAGCAACAGGTGTGATGCCAGTTGCAGCGGCAGCTTGATACAGCCGCTCATATACCTCCCTGTCCTTTTGCACTTGCACCTGATGGGCAGGGTTGGGGTGCATCGAGGAGTGATCGAGGCATGGCTCAGTCGTTTGGCAGCAGTGGCAGCAGCAGCAACAGGTGTTGTGCCAGTTGCAGCAGCAGTTTGGTACAGCCGCTCATATACCTCCCTGTCCTTATGCATCTAAACCTGATGAAAGTGTAAAGCGGAGGAACAGTGGAAAACAGATTGGGTTTCCAAACAATTCAAGGGTTGTTCGTACACCTCCGTACCCTTCTTCACCAACACCTGAAGAGGAAAAATTTTGGAGAGGGAAAAAAAAACAAAAAAAACACCATCGCAAGAAGCAGAACCAGCAGGATTTCCAAGTAACAACGCAGCAGCACTTACAATGCCCTTCATAAACTGGTGTTGACTGTCTATCCTCCGTCTCCCCGTTCCTCCCTCCATCCCCACCCCCGTCCCCATATTCATGCGCCCTTCTCCCCCACCACCACCAGCACCGCCAACAGCAGCACTACTCGTGTCATCCCTCCCTCCCCCCCTGCCACCCCACTCACGCCCCCTATCCCATCCACCGTTCTGCCTCCCAATCCCCCTTCCTTTTTCCCAACCACCAGCAGCAGCAACAGCGGACGCACCACCACGACCAGCACCAGCAGCACCACCAGCAGAGCTTTCCCCCTCATATGCTTCACGCCACAAGGGGTTACCCCCCCACCCTCTCCCAGATCGTGTGCCGATCCCTTTTCCTCCCCCGTCTGACCTATTAGACTCCCCCCCGCTCCCTCCCCCTTCTCCCTCCTCCTCTTCTCCCACTCCCTCTCCTCCTCCCCCCTCAACCGGCTTGCTTCCTGCTGTGCTCTCGTCACTGTCACTATCGCTATCACCACCACCACCACCACCAGAAGCAACAGCACCAGAGCTATACCTGCGAGCGCCTCTGCCCCTGCTGCTGATCACCCCACCACCGCAAAACCCGCTCTCCACACTGTCACTATCGCCATCATCACCCCCACCATCACCACCACCACCACCACCAGAAGCAACAGCACCAGAGCTGTACCTGCGAGCGCCCCTGCCTCTGCTGCTGATCACCCCACCACCGCAAAACCCACTCTCCACACTATCACTATCGCTATCGTCAACCGTACTGCCTCCTTTTCTTCCTCTTCCTGCTGCTGCTGCTTCTCCCCTACCCTTCTGCCCCTTCGCTGTTCCGTCTACATTCCCCTTCACCTTCGCGCTCCTGCCTCTGCTGCCGATCACCCCACCACGAAACCCACTCTCCACACTATCACTATCGCTATCGTCAACCGTATTGCCTCCCCCTCCCCCTCTCCCTCTGGCTGCTGCTGCTGCTGTTTCTCCCCTTCCCCTCTGCACCTTTGCCTTTCCACCTGCATGACACTTCCCTTTCGCCCTCCTTGGTGCAATCCCCCTTAACGCATCTTTCCCATGCAAACTATCAATCGAGCTGTCTCTACTATGCACCGACCCTTCATTACTATTCATGGAACCTTCTCTGCTATTCAATACGCCCTCACTGCTCAAATCAGCACGGTTATCCTGCTCACCGCGTTGCTCCACCCATTCCTTCTCACCTGCCTCTTTTCTCTCCTCCCTTGCCTCTCCTTGCTTATCGTCCCTAACAGCCCTTTCATTTCCCTCCGCTCTACCGTCCCTCTCAACCCCCATAATATCCCCCGTGCGTTCCTCTCGAGTGGTCTCCTTGCTTCTTTTCCCCTCCGCTTCGTCGCTCTCCCCTCCGCGTCTCCCCCTTTCGGACCCTTCACGTCCCGTCAGGTGCATATCTGAGCGGGGTGAGAGATGAATGGTTGGGAAAAAGATATATCCTTTCTTAGTACACGTTTCAGAATCTTCGATTCGACACAAAAAACTCTCAAATTCTCATCAGGTGCATCTCTGAGCGGGGTGAAATGAGTGGTTTGGGAAGGCAAGCGCTAGAAAGGGCACGGGAGACGGGGGGACATGTATTGCTAAGGCACATGCAAAAGAAGGGGAACTGGGGGAAAAACAAGGCAGAGCGAGAAATTCAGAAGCCACACGAGGAAATGGGGACGGAACGCCCTTTTTCTCTCCCTCATGACCCCTTCACTTTCGTCCCAAGGGTATAGCCGAGGGGAAGAGTGAGGAGCGTTACAGCAGACGAGGGAGGAGTTAAGAAAGAATAGAGGTTACGGATTGACGACAAATTTTAATGGATTTTATTTTCACACTAAGGGAGGGAGAGCATTATGAATTGGACAACCAAACAACCCGGGAAGGAAACAAGGAGGCTGACTCTCCCCCCTCATTCTTCCATCCTCCTTCTCTTTCTTTACATTTTTTTTCCACCATCATTCCCCCGTCCTTCACCCCTTCCATAGGTCGCAAGCACACCTGAAAGCTTCGCATCAAGCCGTTCCACGGAATCCGTGCCTCCTCCATCAACGGCTGTCTCCAAATCCGTATTTGTTAGAAGATCGGATTTCCTATCAACGGATGGTTCAGATCCTCCATCAGGCAACGGCTCGAGTCGTCCATCAATCAACGGCTCGGAATCTCCATCAGTCAACGGGTCGGATTTATCATCCGTCAGCGGCTCGGAATCACCATCTGCGGAACGGCGACCGCTGACGGAATCCTCAGCGCAAAGGTCACTGCTGGCGGATTTATCGGCGTCCGTAGGAGACGGCTTCAGCACTTCGCCGCTGCTGCAGCCATTGGCTCCCTTATTCTCATCCTCGCATCTGTTACTCTGGCAGTTATCATTCTCCATTGTGCGCTGTAGGAGGCAATCCTTACGGAATGGCCTACTGAAGGTCTCCAAACAATACGAGGGATATTTGGTACCAAAACAACTAAGTAGAGTAATATCTGAGCTTGGACCACTAACCCTATGCCTGATACATTGATAAGTAGGGTAAAATATAGATTGATGATACATGCGATGATATTGGTGGACCTTAGCGAATTCTGCAAGTTGTGCGATGAAATTGCTGCACCTGAGCGATGTGTGCGAATCAATAGGCGGGCCAAACTGACAACAGAGGAGCAATTTCGACCAAACATTGCTCCCAGCCAAATCGTGTTTCCGTAACCAGTTTCGTTCACGTTCGCTGCTTCTTCGCCGCGGCTATCGTCCACCTTGCCAGGAGGATGACATTCGACAATGCTAATTGGATATGCTAGATGTTCCTGCAATTTTAGCCGTCGATGCAGCTCTAGGGATAATCGAGTGGCAGACTGCCGTCCAAGTCCTGACCACGTGGTTTTCCGATTTCAGTTTTCAGGTAGGGAATCCGGCGAGGTGGTGCCGTGTTGTTGCATGTATGACTGTGGAGGTACTTAAAACCCGGGTCTCATATTTCCTAGTGTATTACACTTGGTTGGGCTAAAGCGCCTGTGATTGGGTAACGATAGGCGAGATTTGTGACGAGCAGTTTGGAAAACACAGACGACACCTCAGTTCGTCTACGCAAAAACCAAACGAGCCCCTCAGGCATGGAAAGCTCCCACACCTAAAAAACAGATCCGGCAGTTCCCTGCGACCAACTGAAACGACAAGACGCAATTCGCCCACGTTCACCAGGAAAAGCAGAGCAAAACTCTCACCTGTCAGTCTTACAACCTCCGCTTAGGATGGTTCCTACGTATGTACCTCCACATCAAGATGCTGGCCTTAGTCGCTAAAACAGTGATATTAGAGACCATTTCGGACCAGATAACAGGGGACTTGCGAACAAATTCTGGTTGCGGATAACGCACTAATTGGCGACTAAGGAATCGTCCAATGTCGGGAACGGTCGCAACGCCATCGCTTGTTACGAGGTAGCCAGTCCGTAACATTCCGAAATGCGTTCTTACTCTTCTATTTACAGCTGTGGAACCCGGAGAGGTGATGTCGCATTTCAGAATGCGCTCGGGTCGTCCATCTACGACAAGCGCGATTGCGTGAAAGGTCTGTGTGCGAGTGGCATGTGTGTGGGGTGTGTGTGAAAGCTTGTGTGCGTGCGAACGTGCGTGCGTGCGTGCGCGAGCGTGCGCGTGCGTGCGTGCGTGCGCTTGCGCGTGCGCGTGCGGCGTGCGTGTGTGCGCGTGTGCGTGCACGTTTGCGTGCGCGTACGCGTGCGTGCGTGCATGCGTGCGTGCGCGCGCGTGCGTGCGTGCGTGCTTGCGTGCACGTGCGTGAGAGCAAGCGTGCATGCGTGCGTGCGTGCGCGTGCGTGCGTGCGTGCGGGTGTGCACCTGTTTGTATTCTTATCATTCAGTGCATGTGCATAAAAATGCACAAGTCATTTTGCCACACGTCCCTCAGCCTTCACATCCCGGTGCTCACACCTCCCTTTCCCCCAACTGCCATCTGCGCCTCGAGACACAACACACATCCTTCCCTCTCTCCCTTCCCTCTCTCCCTTTCCTCTCTCCCATTCACCCTCTCCCCTTCCCTCTCTCCCCTTCCCTCTCTCCCCTTCCTCTCTCCCCTTTACCCTCTCCCCTTCCCTCTCTCCCCTTCCCTCTCTCCCTTTCCTCTCTCCCCTTCACCCTCTCCCTTTCCCTCTCTCCCCTTCGTCTCCCTGTTAACTCACCCTCACCCCCTCCCCTACCAACTTTCCTAATGTCTGCAGCAAGGCTTGCTTGCCAGCCAGCCCTCGCCACGCGCTCACCCTGCTAGCTTTTCTGCCCGAAATCAGGTGTATGTAAGCAGGGGAAGGTGAGGAGGGTGTGGGTGTGGGCGATGGTGAGAGAGGGGAGGGGGAGTGGGAGTAGGAGTTGGGGAGGTTGAGTGCTGTGTTTAGGGCCATGAGTGTGTAGAGCCCTTTCCTTCTCCATCTGCCCTCCTTTTTTTTCATTTCCCCTACTATGCCTTCCCATCTCCTGTCCCTTCCCTTCTCATCCCCTCCCATTCTTCTCATTTGCCCTCCCTTCCTTCCCATCTTGCGTGCCAGCCTCCCTTCCTTGCATCACCCCTACCCTCTTTTGCTCTCCCCGTTCCCCCTTTTTACCACGTTTCTCTTCCTTCACATCTCAACTGCCCTTTTTCTCATCCCTGGAGCCTTCCTTCCTCCCGTCACCTCTCCCTTTGTTCCAGTTACAAGCAGGACTAAGCTAGTCCCAGGCGAGCCTGGCGGAACGGAAGGGACAGGCAAGCAGCAGATGCACGGCCAGATGCACGAAGGCGAGATTGGCGCTAGAGGAGAGATGTACCCCGTATCTTCAAGATATTGCACAAGTGTATACATTCAATAAGTTCTTTAGGTCAGTGCTGTGCTCAATTGCTACAAACTAAATGGATGCATTGAAACCATCTGAGCATCAAGTGTAATATGCTATGAAAGACAAGAGACTAGGCGGGTTTGGCAAGCCTACTTTGCCAACAACTGAGTTTTGAATCTACGCACTAGTCACAAAACTAAGGATGAACTGGTTCTTTGTGGCGCCATGCTGGAACAAGCACATCAACAGGGGGGAGAAAGGGGGGAAGCAGAGGGGAGACAAGTGGGAAAACAGAGCTGAGGCATGGGAGGAAAGCGAGGGGAGGCATGGCATGGGGAAAGAAAGGAGGCAGGGAGGAATTGGGGAAGTGATTGCTTGGCGGAATAGTGTGTGAAAGCAGGGGAAAAAGGTGAAAGGGTTGGCGAAGTGTTGGCTTCATGGGAGGAGCTGGTAGCACGGGATGAGAGGTGACAGCAGAGGGGGAAGGGAGGTGGTAGCACGGGATGAGAGGTGACAGCAGAGGGGGAAGGGAGGTGGTAGCACGGGATGAGAGGTGACAGCAGAGGGGGAAGGGAGGTGGTAGCACGGGATGAGAGGTGACAGCAGAGGGGGAAGGGAGGTGGTATCACGGGATGAGAGGTGACAGCAGAGGGGGAAGGGAGGTGGTAGCACGGGATGAGAGGTGACAGCAGAGGGGGAAGGGAGGTGGTATCACGGGATGAGAGGTGACAGCAGAGGGGGAAGGGAGGTGGTAGCACGGGATGAGAGGTGACAGCAGAGGGGGAAGGGAGGTGGTAGCACGGGATGAGAGGTGACAGCAGAGGGGGAAGGGAGGTGGTAGCACGGGATGAGAGGTGACAGCAGAGGGGGAAGGGAGGTGGTATCACGGGATGAGAGGTGACAGCAGAGGGGGAAGGGAGGTGGTAGCAGAAAGAGAAAAGAAGGTGATAGCAGAGGGGGAGGGAAAGGGGGATGAGGGAAGGGAAGGGGGATGGGGGAAGGGAAGGGGGATGGGGGAAGGGAAAGGAGGATGCAGGGAAGGGATGGGGGATGGGTAAAGGGAATGGGGGATGGGGGAAGGGAAAGGAGGGTGTGGGGAAGGGAAAGGGGATGTGGTAAGAGAAGGGGGATGGGGGAAGGGAAGGGGGATGGGGGAAGGGAAGGGGGATAGGGAAAGAGAAGGGGATGGGGAAAGGGTAGGCGGATGGGGAAAGGGAAAGGGGATGCGGGAAGGGAAGGGGGATGGGGAAAGAGAAGGGGGATGGGGAAAGAGAAGGGGGATGGGGAAAGAGAAGGGGGATGGGGAAAGAGAAGGGGGATGGGGAAAGAGAAGGGGGATGGGGAAAGAGAAGGGGGATGGGGGAGGGGAAGGCGGATGGGGTTAGGGAAAGGGGATGTGGGAAGGGAAAGGGGTATGGGGATCGGCGCGTCTCCTACGTTTCCTCCCGCCAGTCCCGTCCCGCTCCGTCGCGTTCCCTCCCGCTCCGTCCCGTCATACATCCCGTCCCATCCCGCCCCATCCCGTCCCGTCATGTCCCGTCCCATCCCGTTCCGTCATGTCCCGTCCCGTCACGTCCCGTCCCCTCTCGTCTCGTTTCCTTCCCGTCCCGTCCCGTCCCGTCCCGTCCCGTCCCGTCCCGTCCCGTCCCGTCCCGTCCCGTCCCGTCCCGTCCTTTCCCGTCGCGTCCCCTCACGTCCCATCAGGTCCCCCCCGTTCCCGTCCCGTCCCGTCGTGTCCAGTAGCGTCCCCTCCTGTCCTCTCCTCTCCTCTCCACTTCTCTCCTCTCCACTCCTCGTTGCATCCCACAGTATCCCTTCCTACCCTTTCCGGCTCCCCTTCACGCACCGTCCCACCCCTCCCCTTCTCGTCGCATCCCGGAGGTCCTTCTCACCCCTTACCTCCCTTCCAGTCCCTTCCCTCCCAACCGTCCCGCCACACCCCTTCGCGACTCTCCCCTTACCCTCGCATCACGCCCATCCCTTTCTCCTCGCTTCCAGCCATGTCGCGTCGCTTCCTGTAATGTCGCGTCGCTGCTTATCGAGTCCTAACCCTCGCCTTTCAGCCGCGTCGCTGCTTATCCAGTCCTAACCCTCGCCTTTCCGTCGCGTCGCTTCCTATCTCGTCCTAACCCTCGCCTTTCCGTCGCGTCGCTTCCTAACTCGTCCTAACTGCTGCCTTTCCGTCGCGTCGCTTCCAATCTCGTCCTAACTGCTGCCTTTCCGTCGCGTCGCTTCCTATCTCGTCCTAACTGCTGCCTTTCCGTCGTGTCCCTTCCGTCCAAATTCGACAGGGGGGAGCGTTACTGCAATACACCTTGGTCCAAATAGAGTGGTGCATCTTATTGCAATAATGAGGACCAGCTCTGGCGATGGACGGACTATACGTGCGTAAAAGCAAATGCAGGCGCGGAGTGACCAAAGATAAAAATAAACAACGACAACGAGAGGTACAAGATATTGTCACGTTTGACGCTGGAATAAACCTAGGGAAAATAAGATGCTGAAATGAGACTTAGTCGCTAGAGAAATCGGTGCGAGTATGTTTCTCCACCTACAACCTGTCTGGGTTTGCAGTCTCATATTTTTCCAGCTCTGTAATACGCTCGGTTGTGGGCTGTGCGTCCCATTCTCAGTCCGTCGCACATGCAGTTGCCTGTTTCTCGCAAACCCGGCTTGGTAGTCAGGCACCTGCCTCTACCAAACTGTTTGGTTTGCAGCCAATCACACCTGCGCCAAACCAAACGCGAGTGTTTTGCGAGTGATTGTTTGGTTACCCGGTTTCAAGCGTATTACCTTTGGTTGGAAACAAGAAATATGAGACGCGGGTTTTAAGAGGTCTGGCGACGAGAAATAACTCACTGCGGTGTCTTTTTTTTTTTCTGGACCGCGGAAAGACCGCGTCTCGTTCTGGCATTCTTAGAAACCATTTTAACTCACGGAAGCGCAAGGAGTCAAAGGGATGCAGGTGTAATCATCCCTAACGACGCTCAGATGGCATTCTTCAGATTCGTCTAAGGACGTCCGCTAGACTCCCCCGCACAGGACTAGTCAGTACTTCGATCAGCACGAATATTCATGCGAGTCGAGGCGTCTTAAAAAGCGGACTTAGCCAGTGAATGAAATTCTCTTCGCGTTAGCCGTCTTCCGCGAGTTCCGTGACTCGAACCGCGTTAGCCGTCTTAGCCATTAGTGTTGTGTTTCGGCGAAGGAACATCCTTGCCTCTCTCCTCAGTTTCCTACTCGTATCCGTCATTCTCAAATCCGCCACGTCATTTTCAAATGCTCCACGTCACTCCTTAGTCCTCACGGTTACCACATTTCGCCGTAACCACATTTCGCCGTGACCTCATTTCGCCGTGACAATCAGACCCTCCATTACCCACTCGCCTTCTTCCCGCCATGACCATTTTCGACCCATCCTGTCCCGCGGCCGTGATTCCCCCTCCGGGATCGCCGCCGTCGGGCTGTTCCCGGTGGAAGTACCTAGTTTTCGGGGACTGCGTGTGCTCCACGCGCGACGCCGCGTCGCTCTACTTAGGTCTTTTTAGTATCGCGTGCTGGGCGGTGGCGGAGGTCCCGCAGGTGATCGCCAACTGTCAGGCGTCGCGCAGCGGCGTGGAGCTTGAGGAGGTGCCTCTTGCGCTGGTGCTGACGTGGATCGTGGGGTGAGTGGACGGTGCTGACGTGGATCGTGGGGTGGGTGCATGCTGCTGACGTGGATCGTGGGGTGAATAGCGGTGCTGACGTGGATCACAGGGTGATGAAGAGGTCCACCTTCCTTTGCTAATATGCTCATGTTTCATTCGAGGCGACATTGCACTTTAGCGAAACTTCTGGCATTGAGGCGCCCCAAAAGTCGAGGTGACATTGTCTTTTATCTAAAAGTCTGGCATTGCCCATGTGTTCACCGTCCGTCCGGTCTAAAACTGGTTACTTCTGCTTTCCACCACCCGTTTTCCCGCCCTCCAGAGATGTCTTTAATCTCCTCGGCTGCCTCCTTGATCCTGTCACGGTACACTACTACAGAGCCAGATCTCTTTTTCTTTTAATTCAATCCTGTCACGCTGCATTCCCACTAGTGTGCCAGCCCCTCGTTTCCTTTGTAAACTGCCCGTTTGCCCGATTCCCATTCAGTTGCTTTGTCGCTCCATTCCCATTTTCCCTCAGTTTCGCTTCTCTCGTTACTTCTCCTCCTCATCCCGTCTTCTCCCCTCCCCCTTGTCTTCTTTCCCTATGTCACTCCCTCTTTCCTTCCCCTGTGCTCCCTCTTTCCTACCACTCACCTATCATTCCATCTCCCTGTGCTTCCCTTCCCCCACCTCTCCCCACTCCCTTCTCCCATTCCCTCTTCTCGTGCGTCTGCCGGCACCAAATGCCTGCATCTCATCCCTGCAGCTTCCGACCCAGCTCTTCACAGCAATCGTACGTCCTTCCCTTCCTTCCTTTCCCTTCACATCCTAAGCCCCTCCGCTCTCTTCCCTCTTTCCCGCTTCACATCTATCTTTCGTTTTCTGGAACGACCCAGTACCTACCCATTTCGTCCTCCCGCTTGTGCTCTGCTTTTGAGACGTCTCAAAAGCCATCATCTGTGTCCTTGATACGAAGGATGAACTCTGTCCTTGATTTGATTCATTACCTCTTCCCGCTTTTGCTGGTGCTGCAGCACGTGCTCTCTGCAGCGTGCAGCAGAAAGGGAAAACCGTCTTTCCTCCTCTCCTGTCCCTCATCCCGCGGCTCCTCGTCCTTCCCACTTCTCCCAATCCCCCCCATACTGTCACATCGCAGCTCTACACAAGCACCACGTGTGTGCTAGTACTGCAGCACGTGCTCTCAGCGTGCAGCAGGAAGAGGCAGCAGCGGCGGCGGGAGAGGAGAGGCAGGAGACTCGCGACCCCCAGCAGAAACGCTCCCTTGCTAGAAGGTCCCCTCCCTGTCGGAACTACCTCTGCGTCTGCCGCTGCTGCTGGTGGTGGTGCCCCTGTTGGTGCTGATGATGGTGGTGATGATGATAGTGACGATGGGGATTATATTGAGGATGATTACGGTGCACCCAACGGGCTGTATCACACCATCATTGATGAGGTACGGGATTCTATTCTGATGGGATTCTATTCTGATGGGATTCTATTCTGATGGGATTCTATTCTGTTCTGACAACGGGATTCTATTCTGTTCCGACAACGGGATTCTATTCTATTCTGACAAGGTTTGAGGTGCTAGCGATGGGATGCGATTTTTGAGTCGACTCAAAAATCGCCTCATCACGTACGGGATTCTATTCTGACAAGGTTTGAGGTGCTAGCGATGGGATGCTAACGGGGTATGTGGTACTACTGAGGTCTGTGATGCTAGTGAGATCTGTGATTCTAACGATCTTCTCCAAACCTTTCTCCTTCCTAAGGAATTGAGATGGCTCAGAAGTTCCCTCCTCAGCTTACCTGGACACATCCCGATAAGAGTCGTGTTTTGAGTCGACTCAAAACATGAATTGAGATGGCTAAGAAGGTTCCTCCACAGCTTACCTGTACACATCCCGATAAGACCAGTGCCCTTCTTTTTCCCATCTCTGCCCCCCTTCCCCACTTTCCCCCTTCCCCCTTTCCCCCCTTTCCCCCCTTCCCCCGTTCCCCTGTTCCCCCTTCCCCTTTTCCCCTTCCCCCAATCATCCAGGATTCGGCTTCACTTCCCCGCACGCTGCTCCCCCTCCCTGAAGCCTCCGGAGTTGGCGGGGGGAATAGGGGGGAGCAGCAGAGGGACACGTGGCACCAGGGGATTGGTGGACGGGCGTCAGGGAGGCGGAACAGTGGGAGTGGCAGCGGCAGTGGCAACAGCGGTGGTGGTGGCAGTGGTGGTGGTGGTGGCAGCAGTGGTGGTGGGAAGAGCAGGTCGATTCCGGTGGGGATGCCACAGCGACAATCCTTTGGGCAGTAAGGATGGGTTGGACGGGACTGGGTGGTTATATGGTGGTGAGGTGAGGAGACGGTGGTGTTGCCACTTGTGGTGGCGGCAGTGGTGGTGGGAAGAGCAGGTCGATTCCGGTGGGGATGCCACAGCGACAATCCTTTGGGCAGTAAGGATGGGTTGGACGGGACTGGGTGGTTATATGGTGGTGAGGTGAGGAGACGGTGGTGTTGCCACTTGTGGTGGCGGCAGTGGTGGTGGGAAGAGCAGGTCGATTCCTGTGGGTGGGGATGCCCCAGCGACAGTCCTTTGGGCAGTAAGAAACCAATAGATGGGGATAGGTGTGCTGTGGTGGTGAGGTGTGGGGCGGTGGGGTTACCACTGACAATGGCAGTGGCAGTGGCAGTAGTGTTTGATCCACCTTCCCTCTCCCCACTCGATTGAAGAAGTGTTTTGAGACGTCTCAAAAAGGGTTACCACTGACAATGGCAGTGGCAGTGGCAGTGGCAGTAGTGTTTGATCCACCTTCCCTCTCCCCACTCCCCCTCAGGTCATCTGGGTCTTTCTCAGGCAGCTGGCGCCGCCTCACTCTCTCCAGCTCCTTTGGGGCCAGCTTCCCCCGCAACCCCTCTTCCCCCTCTCTCAATGCGGTGAGTGAGTCAGTGAGTGTCCTTGATACTAGCTTCCCCCGCAACCCCTCCTCACCCTCTCTCAAGTGTGCCATTTGTGCTAATATCCCCTGCTACCATAGTTCCCTCTATGGAGCGGGAACTACCATAGTTCCCTCTATGGAGCAGGAACTACATAGTTCCCTCTCCATCTCTCCACCTCCTTTCGGGGCACCTCTCTGTTAGATTCTACTACTCTTCTGTATCCTGCATTGATCCTATAAACCCTAGGACAGAGATAGGCACCCAAACTATGTTTGGGTGCACAACTAGGGTTAACCCTAGTTGGGGGTTGGAACCCAACCTTGGTCCAATTATTGGCCCCAAGGTTGAGTTGAGAGATTATTGGCCCCCCCAATAATGTTGGCCCACTTTTGGCCAACATTATTGGGACCCCCCAATAATTCTCCAACCCAACTTATTGGTGGGGGGCCAATAATGATGACTAGGTACCCAACCAACCCCCCCCTCCCCTAACTTCAACTATGTAAGCTCGTATGATTCCTAATCAACTCAATGGTTCAATTTTAACATGGTTATCAGAGCTCTTACGGCCAACGCCGCTCAAGATCCTAGGACCCCTCGTGCTACTTAGCGCACCTCTCGCCGGCTCTGCCGCGCCTCACGCGCCACTTAGCGCGCCTCACACGCCACTTAGCGCGCCTCTCGCGCCACTTAGCGCACCTCTCCCCGGCTCTGCCGCGCCTCTCGCGCAACTTAGCGCACTTCCGCCGGCTCTGCCGTGCCCCTCGCGCCATCTCGGCGCTCCCCTCCTCCCCTCGACCGTCCGCCGCGACGAACGCGACCGTCAGCCGCGGACGCGACGAACGCGACCGTCAGCCGCGGACGCGACGAACGCGACCGTCAGCCGCAGACGCGACGACCGCGACCGACAACCGCGGACGCGACGTCCACGCCGACGACGAGGGCGGACGCGACGTCCGCGCCGACGGGCAGCGCGGACGCGACATCCGCGCCGACGACGAGGGCGGACGCGACGTCCGCGCCGACGGGCAGCGCGGACGCGACGTCCGCGCCGACGGGCAGCGCGGACGCGACATCCGCGGACAGCCGCCGCGGTCGGGACGAACGCGGGGAGCCGCCGCGGACGGGACGAACGCGGGCAGCCGCCGCGGACGGGACGAACGGGGGCAGCCGCCGCGGACGGGACGAACGCGGGCAACCGCCGAGGACGGGACGAACGCGGGCAGCAGCTACGGACGGGACGAACGCGGGCAGCAGCCGCGGACGGGACGAACGCGGGCAGCCGCGAACGCGACCAGACGGGGGAGTACCCAGCTGCGGACAGCACGCAACTCATCCCCACCACTGACCGCGCCGTCCCTCCGGACAGCGTCGTCACCTCTAGCACCTCCACCCTCCCCCCCCCCCCCCTCCTCCCTCACTCGTTATGGCGGACGAACCTTCGTCGCTTGAGCTCGCCTCGATTGACAAACTCGAGCTCCTCAACGGCACCACCGTAGTCAATCGGGTGTCGTTTGAGGAGAGTCTCTTCACGTACCTTGGCTCCGTCCGAGTGGGAGATTATTGCCTTCTTGACGTCGTCCTCGAAACGCCTCACGGCCTCCCTCCCACCCCGCCCCCGCTCCCAGGCTCCTCCCCTCCTGACGCCCCACCACTCCCGACCGAACCCGCCCCTCAAGCCCCCATCCTAGGGGCTTGGGAGGATGACCCAGACAGGTGGGCTCGCACCCTCAACAAGTACAACAAGGAGCGAGACGACTACGTCATCAAGGGCAGAGCACACGCGGCTGCCGTCGCCGCTCACGAAGCTGCTACTGCAAAGCTTGCAGAGTTCAAAGCCATCTCCGAAGCGTACTCTACTAACCTTCGTAAGCATCACTCCGATACTGCTGCATGGCGCATTGCTGACCGCCGTGCACTCACTGTCATCTTCTCGTGCGTTCCCTCCTCCCTTAAACGTGACCTTCGCCCTCCATCCTCCCCCTCTCTCTGGAAGTCTCTCTCCGCCCAATATGACCGTCAGGACTTACGCTCACTCCTCTCCCTCTTTCGCACCTTCCAAGACATCACCCTTGACTCCTCCCTCAATGCTGCCTCCTTCGCTCGGCGTCTCACGGACACTGCGCAACGCCTCAATGATCGAGGCATCTTGATCTCAGACACCCTTCTTACAGCACGCATCCTTGACTGCCTCCCACCCACCTATGACACTTACCGCATCAACTTTACCTCCCAGCACATTCGTCCTCCCCCTGTAGCTGTTACCATCGACTGGCTCCTTGACAGTGAGGCTGACCTCCTGCGTGACTCTGCAACGGTCAATGCTGTTCACGCTCGCAAAGGAACCAATAACACTGGCGGAAGCAGCAGCAGCGGACCTGGACGTGGTTCAAGTGGAGGAGGTCGAGGAGGCGGTCGCGGAGGCGGACGAGGAGGGCGCACTGGAGAACGCGGCGGACGTGGAGCAACTGCTCCACGGTGGGTTTCCCCCGTGTCAGTACGTCATTCGTCAAGGCCCCAACAAAGGTCAGACCTGCAACCAGACCACTCATCCAACTGAAACGTGCTTCAAAGCCCTCACTGATGAATGGCTTGCACGCGGCAACACAGGTCCCCCTCCACGTTGGAACACTATCACCCCTCGCCCCACCCCTCATGATATTCGCACCCTCTCCACCTATGCACCCTCTCCACTTAACCTCCATAATGTCCTTGCTCAGCACCTCTCCCCTCACGTCCTCCAGCAAGTCCAACACCTTCTTCCCACACCCACCACCACCCCTACGCCCTCCACCCTCACCACTCCGCCTCCACCCACGCCCCCACCTCCAACCCCTCCCTCCCCCTATCCTCCTCTCTATCCTCCTCCTTATGCCGGCTGGCCCTACCCTCCCTACCCCCCATCTATGTATGGCCATAGAACTGCCGCAACTGCTGCAACTGCTGCAACTACTGAACAACCCACCTCCTCCTCTCACCCCCCCGGCTTCACACCGTTTCCTTCCACAGGATTCATAGGTCATGTCACCACTGCTAGCTCTTGCAATAATCCTATGTATGCCAATGCTATTAATGAGTCCTCATTCCAGTACTCCGTGTCCTCCTCCTCCCAGCCCCTTGAGTTCATCCTTGACAGCGGTGCCACCCACACGGTCCTTCGTGATGCAGGCATGCTCCTCCCCCTCTCCACCCCCTCCACAATCTATGGGGCTGACTCAAGCTTTGCCATACAAAGCCGTTACACCTCCACACTCCCCTGTCCCCTCTTTCCCTCAGGTACTGTCACAGGTCTCTATGTCCCCTCCCTTCGTAACAACCTGGTTTCCCTTGGTGCCCTCTCAACGGCAGGTGTCACCGCCTTATTTCCTGGTCACGCGGCATATTGTGACTTATTTCACACCCCCTCCGGTCGCTTCCTCTGCCGTGTCCATCGGTGCCCCTCCACCCACATGTACACCTTCCGCATCCCCCGCCCCACCCTTCACCAACTCTCCACACCCCATCCCCCCGCCCCCTCCCCTCCTCTCGAACCTCTCCCTCCCCCTCCAACTCCCCCTCCCCCCTTCCTTCCCCCTCCCCCTCCCCCTCCCCCTTCCCCTCCCCCTCCCCCTCCCCCTCCCCCCGCCCCTTCCCCCCCCCCCCCCATCTAACCCACCCTCCCCCTGTCACTGTCGTAATCTCACACACCCCACCATTCTCCTCCACCATCGCCTAGGCCATCCCAACTTTGCCACCCTTCGCCGATCCATCCTCACTAAACTCCTTGACGGTCTCCCCCTTACCCTTCCCCCCCTCCCTCCGTCCCCCTCCCCTCCTTGCTCAGTTTGTGTTGAAAGCAAGCTGAAGCAACAACCACACACGAGTAACCCCTCCTTTTCCCTCCAACCCCTTGACCTCGTTCACATGGATATGTGGGGCCCTAACCCTTCCCCCACCAGGCAAGGACATCGCTATCTCCTGATCCTGGTGGATGATCACAGTCGATACTCCTCCGTCACCCTCCTTCGTACGAAGGCGGAGGCCCCGGCTGCCATCACTGCCTGGGCTGAACAAGCACGCAACCACTTCGGTCGCCCTGTTCGCCGCTTCCATTCCGATGGAGGCGGTGAGTTCCTCAACCACACCCTGTCCTCCTACTGCACCACTCACGGCATCCTCCACATCTACACTCTCCCTCACTCTCCTCAGCAGAATGGTGTGGCGGAGAGCCGCGTGCGGGAGATCACCAAAACGGCTCGGTGCCTCCTCGTTCACGCCTCCTGCCCACCTTCTCTGTGGGGCTATGCCATCCTTCATGCTGCCATCCTCACTAACCTCTACCCCCACCCTTCCCGTCCCACCTCCACCCCCACCGAACTATGGACCTCCAGCAAGCCTGACATATCTCCTCTGCGCGTCTGGGGTTGCAAGGCGTATGTCCTCATACACCCTGCTGACCGCTCACGCGCACGTGGAAAGCTTGCGTCCCGCACACTCCCCTGTGTCTACCTTGGACACAACACCAACTCACCTGACTACCTTTTCCTCCACCCCCCCTCAGGCCGCCTCATCCGTAGTCGGGACGTGGTCTTTGACGAGGCCACCCCGTACTACACCTCCCCCTCCGCCCCTAACCCCCTTCCCCCATTTCCCCGGCCCCTTCTCTGGACTGACACCCTGCCCCTCCTCCCGTCCCCTGCCATGACCCCTCCCCCCCCTCCCCCACCCCTCCCCCCCCCCCTCCCCCCCTCTCCCCTCTCCTCCAGCTCCTCCGGCGACATCCTTAACCCACCCCCCCCCTCCCCCTCCCACTCCACTACCTCACCTTCCGCTGCAACCCACCTCCCTCCTCCTCCTCCCCCTCCTCCACCTCCCCCACCCCCTTCCCCTCCATCCCCCCTCCCCTCCTCTAATCCGGCCCCCCCTCTGCCTCCCCCCCCCCTTCCCCAGCGCCCCTCCCCTACCCTTGTCCTTCCCCGCTATCCCCACACCCGCTCCCTGGACCCCATCCTTGGTTCCCCACAGACTTCCCCCCCCTCCCTCCTCGCCCTCATCGGTACTCCCCTCCCCCCCCGCTTCAGCCCCCTCACTCCAGATCCACTGCGCAACCGCTCCACGCTCTTTCCTGCACCACCGCGCAGCCGAGCAGCAGCACTTCAATGTCCCAGACTCGACCTCCAGTGCAGCTGTCTTGCATCTTCACCACCCCCTCTACCTCCTCCTCTCTCTCCTCTCCTCTACGAAGACACCCACGACAAACTCCTCTTCCTCCACCTCCTCGCACCCTCCATCGCCCCCATCGTCCGCACCATGGCAGGCACTCCAGTTCTTCTTTTCTCGGGCACCCCCACCATCTTCGAACCCACCACGTACGAGGAGGCTATTGCGTGCCTCGACGCCCCACTCTGGATTGAAGCCATGGTCAAGGAGAGCAACGCTTTCATCCACAACCGCTCCTTCATCGACGTCCCTCGCCCTGCCAAGACCAATGTCGTCAAGGGCAAATGGCTCTTCCGTGTCAAGCTTCTCCCTGGCGAAGACCCTGTTTACAAAGCTCGCTATGTGGCGAAGGGCTTCACGCAAAAGCACGGCTTTGACTTCTTCGACACATACTCACCCACTGCTACCCCACCGGTCGTTCGGGTGTTCCTCGACTTCGTCGGCAGACGCGGCATGCTGTTACACTCCATGGATGTCACTACCGCCTTCCTCCAAGGCGACCTACACGAACTCATCTTCATGGAACGCCCCAAAGGCTTTCACGCTCCACATGACCCGTTTACCGTTTGGAAGCTGCTCCGACCCGTCTACGGCCTCAAGCAGGCACCCCGGGAGTGGCATGCCAAGCTCTCTTCCACCCTTCGCGAGCTTGGTTTTCGCCCCTCCCGAGCTGCCTCCAGCCTCTTCCTTCGGACGACTCCGTCCCCTTTCTACATTCTCGTCTACGTCGACGACATGCTACTAGCCGCTGACACAGATGCTGAGATGCAGGAGGTCAAGGACGAACTACAGCGTCGCCTCGCCTGCAAAGATCTGGGGGAGGTCCGCAACTACCTTGGCATGGAGATCACCCGCGACCTCAAGGCTAAGACTATCTCCCTCTCTCAGTCCTTCTACATTGAGAAGGTCCTTGAGAGGTTTGGAATGTCAAAAGCCAAGCCCATCGCCACCCCGCTTGCAGTTGGGCACCAGCTCTCGCCCCCTGCCACCCCCACCGACTCCTCTAACCCCTATGCAGAACTTGTCGGGGCCCTGATGTACGCCATGGTCTGCACCCGCCCCGACCTTGCCTACCTAGTCAGTGTTCTGGCGCGATTCGTTGGTGTCGGCAGGCACACGGAGGAACACATGACGGTAGCCCGGCGTGTCCTACGCTACCTTCAGCACACGAAGGATTACACCCTCACCCTTGGTGGAGCAGACCCGCCGGTTCTCACTGGCTTCAGCGACTCGTCCTGGGCAGACTCACAGCCTGATCGTCGCAGCTCACAAGGATATGGCTTCACCCTTGGGAGCGGCCTCATCAGCTGGCGCTCCACCCGCTCCTCCTCCATCGCCCTCTCCTCCTGCGAGGCTGAACTGTACGCGGTCACGATGGCAGCACAGGAAGCACGCTGGCTCAGCTATCTCCTCACAGACCTTGGCTCACCACAGCCTTGTCCCACTCTCTGGTGTGACAACGCCAGCACCATCCACCTCACCAAAGAAGCTGTGTTCCATGGTCGCTCCAAGCATATCGAGCTCCGACACTACTTTGTCCGTGATCTTGTCCAGGATGGCCACATTACCGTGCGCAAGATCGACTCTTCCTCCAACCCCGCCGACATATTCACTAAGGCCCTCGACCGCTCTACTCACTCGGCAATTTTGCCGCTCCTGGGCCTTGCTCCCCATGGTGACTGATTCAGGGGTTGCTGTCTTATCTCATCCAGGTTTATAGATCTATGCAGGCTAAGGGGTTGTGTTAGATTCTACTACTCTTCTGTATCCTGCATTGATCCTATAAACCCTAGGACAGAGATAGGCACCCAAACTATGTTTGGGTGCACAACTAGGGTTAACCCTAGTTGGGGGTTGGAACCCAACCTTGGTCCAATTATTGGCCCCCAAGGTTGAGTTGAGAGATTATTGGCCCCCCCAATAATGTTGGCCCACTTTTGGCCAACATTATTGGGACCCCCCAATAATTCTCCAACCTAACTTATTGGTGGGGGGCCAATAATGATGACTAGGTACCCAACCAACCCCCCCCTCCCCTAACTTCAACTATGTAAGCCCGTATGATTCCTAATCAACTCAATGGTTCAATTCTAACACTCTCCTTCTCACCTTGATCCTCTATTCTCCTCCCCCCTGTTCCCCTCCGCTTTTCATCATGGCAGGTCCTTCCGTTCGCCACCACCTCAGCTGTCACCGGGGTGGCTCCTTCCCTTGTTTGCTTTCCCTTGTTTCTCCTTCCCTTGTTTGCTTTCCCTTGTTTCTCCTTCCCTTGTTTGCTTTCCCTTGTTTCCGTCTATTTACCATGGCCTTCTTTTCCTCTCGCATCTTCCCCTCCCCTTCTCACCATGGCAGGTCGTTGCCCTCATCACCATCTCAGCTGTCTTCGGCCTCTCCTCTCCTTCTCTTCACCCTACCCTCCCCACTTCCCTCCACTCCTGGGCAAACACACCAAGAACCACCGTCTCCTCCTCCTCCTCTTTCCCCTCCACTTCTTCCTCTTCCTCCTCCCCACACTCCTCACCTGCGGTTGTTTTTGCTGATTTGAACAACACCAGTGCAGCACAATCATCGCTCCTCAGGCCAATGTCGAGAAAGCTGCTAGAGGTATGCTCACTTACATGCCATGATCACCATGCCATCTCCTTGTTTATGCCACTTGGATTCTGTACCATATGATTTTGTGGCCGAGGACAATTGGCTGAAAGAATCGCATTGGAATCTTTGTGTCGAAGATCCTCCATCTATCTATAGACGATTGACGATAGACGATTGAAGAACCTTGTGTTCACCCTGAAAGAAATCGTCTATCTATCTCCCCCTTTCTCAATCAACATCCACAGTACCTCCCAGATACACACACAGTGGGTGTTCCTCAAGGATGTTGTACCTCCCAGTACCCTGGGTATGCCACAGTGTGTGATGAGGCGATTTTTGAGTCGACTCAAAAATCGCCTCAGATACAAACACAGTGGGTGTGCCTCAAGGATGTTGTACCTCCCAGTACCCTGAGTATGCCACAGTACTTCACTCGCATCGGACGTCCCAAACGCTCTTTTTCCAACCATGGCATTTTCAACCGCAGGCACTCCAGACACTCGACGCAGAAAATGCCATGCCAGCTGTCACGCCTTCTGAGTCAACTCAAATATCATCTCACCTGTTTCCACCCACACGATTGTCAATCGCAGGCACTCCAGACACTCGACGCAGCAAATGACATGCCACCTATCAAGCATTCTGAGTCGACTCAAGAGTATTCTGATCCCGCACCAACCACCAGCACTCACCTCCTTCTACCACAAAACCTCCATCTCAAACCTCCGCCCATACCAACTTCCGAGCCTCTCCCAAAACACCAAAATCCTTCCGTACCAGATTCCATCACACTGACTCCCATCTCCTCGCAAGGCCATGATTCTACTCAAGAAACTTTTTTCTCCGATCCTGACGATCCTGACTACCCAGACGATCCGGAGCGACATGAGGAGTTGCTTTTGAGGGCAGTCGGGCAGTTTCTCGGCTGGGCCATGACCTGCATCTATTTTACAGGGCGATTACCCCCGATAATTCTGAACTGCGCACGCGGGGCGGTCGAGGGGCTGGCGCCGCCCGCTTTTGCGCTGGCAGTGGCTGGGAATCTGGCATACCTGGGGAGTATCCTGGTTCGGTCGCTGGAGTGGAAGCAGGTTCGGCCGAACCTGCCGTGGATTGCTGACAGCGCATCATGTCTGACCATGGACCTTTTTGTGAGTGAACATGTTTTCATGATGTTTGAGTCAACCCAACCAAACATCATGCTTCGATTCGACTCAAAATGGGTCGTGATTTTAGTCGACTCAAAATGAGTCGTGTTTTGAGTCGACTCAAAACACGCAACATGTCTGGCCATGGTCCCTTTTGTGAGTGAACATGTTTTCACAATGTTTGAGTCCACTCAAACATCATGCCTGACTATAGAGCTTGTTGTGGTTGAAGTGGTTCTGTGATTGTGCTAGGTGTGATTGTAAGGGTTGTGGTGTTATCGAGCGTGATTGTGCGGGTAGTATGATGTTGGGTGTGATTGTAAGGTTGTAATTATCAGGTGTGACTGTGAATGTTGTGGTGTTTTGGGGTGTAATTGAAGGCTGCAATGGTAACTTGCCTCATGTGCATGCGTTTTACATGGATTTTGAGCCAGCATTGGTTTTTCTCTAATAATGTGGACAGTTTCTCCTATACTTGCTTTCTCTCTCCCACTTTTAACACCTTGTTCCTGCCCTTTTAACCACAGATAATGAGCCAATATTGGTACTTCGCATTCAGAGATTCTCAGTACAAGGACAGTGGTGACTATGACATTGTGACTATCCGTGATGACACTGTAACAAACGGTGGTGTTGATTCTGCAAAGCAATAGCCGCTGAATAGTTCAGCGGGTTTCACCCTGTACCTGTAGCAATCTAGTTACAAGGAACCATGTTTCAATGAATTGTAGTGTACTGTATTGGGACATAATTGTTGGGCTAAGAAGAAGCCCTTAGGATCTTTCAAGGCTAAGATCGGTTGAAGTAGTAGTGTTGTAATTGCCGAAGCGTTTTAATATCAGAGTTACTGAACCACCTTGTACTAGTGTGTGAGAACAGGATAAGTTGATAATAGCAGAGAAATACAAGGCTTTTATATGATTACAAAGGAATATGGAAAGTTCTACTTTAACTGTTTTTGCTGTTGCGGTTCGATACAGTGCCGACTCGGGTAACTCCTCAGTGTCGAGTCAGTTATGTGTCCTTGTTGTCGCACTGTATTTTTCGTCGAGTCAAAGGTCAGCGACCTTTGACCTTCGCGTAACCTCCAGCGGTTGTTTTTGTTGACTCGTGTTGCTTCATTGTAGTCTGCTTTGTTTCGTGTCGATACTTCGATACTTCATAAGCGTTTTAAGTTACTTGTTTCCAACACTCCCCTTCGCTTCTGGAGTGTCGCTGCTGATGACGTGTCCTTGTCCAGTCAGCAGCATGCAGTACTCGAACTTCTGTTTTCCGAGTTTCTTGGTTAAGTAATCAGCTGCCATCTCGGATATGGGACAGTAGGATAGCTCGAGTCTTCCCTTCTTGATTTCGTCTTTTACGAAGAAGTACCGGAGGGCGATGTGCTTCGTTCGATTCGCGAACCCATTTTTGTTCGCTATGCGAATGGCCGACTGGTTGTCGCAGAAGAGGGAGACGCTGGGTAACTGAGCCAATTTTGCTTCCTCCAGTAATTCGCGAAGATATAGCCCTTCCTTGGTGGCTGAACAGAGTGCGATATATTCTGCTTCTGCTGAGGAGAGAGCGATTAGCTCTTGCTTGTTCGACTGCCATGAGATAGGCGCGATAGGTTCGAGTCTGTAGATGTAGCCAGTTTGTGATCGTCTGTTGTCGGAGTTTCTAGCGTGATCGGCGTCGACGTAGCCGATTAACTTGGGTGTAGTAGTTCTGGTCTTGTGGTAGGTTAGTCCAATCGTCGGAGTGCTGACGAGGTAGTGAAGTGCTCGGTCGAGTTCAAGCATGTGTTCTGCTTCAGGCTTCTTGAGGTAGGTAGCGACTTGACTAGCTGAGTAGGATAGATCCGGTCGGCAGGTAACGGCTGCGAAGAGTAGGCAGCCTAACTTTCGTTGGTATTCGCGAATGCCGGCGGGTTTGAGTAGAGTGGAGATTTTGCGATTTCCGTCGGTGTAGCGGTATGGCGTGGAGATGACGGTTGGAGTGAGTCCGAATCGTTTAGCGATAGTGTCAGTGTATTTTTCGGCGCTGAGGTAGATTGCGTTGTCGCCGACTTGAATGTTTAGTCCCAGGTACTGTGTCACGGTAGTTGCAACGGTGAGTGTGAGATCCTGCTGCAGCTCCCCTTCAAACCAGGTTGTTATGTCGTCGGTGGAGCCTATGTAGAGGAGGTCGTCTACGTAGACGATGAGTAGAATATAGTCAGTACCCTTCGTAAGTCGGTACATCCCTTGGTCGTGCGGTAGTTGGAGGAATCCGATGCGGATTAGGCGGGCGTGAAGATGCTGCTGCCACAGCCTCGGGGCTTGTTTGATGCCATACAAGAGATTTTTCCAGCTGACAAACTTGGTTGGGTTCTGCGTTGGACCCGTGCGGGAGTTCGACGAAGATCTCAGCATCGACAGGGGCGTAGAGGAATGCGTTGGCGACATCGATTTGCCGAAGATTCTTCCGATTCATGGCGGCTATCGCGAGGAGAATCCGCAGTGAGGTATGTCGGCTCACTGGTGCAAATGTTTCCGTGAAGTCTCGTCCTTGCTCTTGGTCGAAGCCACGCACGACCCAGCGTGCTTTGGATTTGTCGATTGTTCCGTCGACTTTTGTTTTCACGCGGAAAACCCATTTCCTGTGAGGATGGTCTTGTTGCGTGCCACTCCGATATGCACGACTTTCCAGGTGTTGCGTTCTTGCAGTGCCTTTAACTCTCTGTCCATGGCTTCGCGCCATTTTTCCTTGTGTTCCCCCCCCAGAGCCTGCTGAATGGTGGCAGGCTCCTTAGGCGGTGCTGCTCCGTGGACAGCAGTGATGAGTCTTAATATCTGCAGTCCACTCTGTGTGTAGCGGGGGAGATTTGTGTCTTCGGGATAAGCTGCTTCATCTCCCGCTTCTGGATCCGGGAGGAAATTCGGTCCTATGCGTTCGGAGATGTTGGTGTCGACCGGTTGGGGTGTAACGTAACCAGTGTCGGCGAAGTCGAAGTAGGTTTCGGCGTTGACACTTTCGCGAGGGTTGTCGTCGTCCATAGGGATGTTCACAGAGCAATACGGGAGAGGTCCGGCGTCTTCCGAAGCTCCGTCCTGTTAGAGTCCTAAGCACCTAGGAAACTAGGTGTAGGCTTAGGAGGCATAGGAGCCATGCTAGAATTGAGAGTCGAGAGAGTTTGGGTGAGGAAAATCGAGAAGGAAGAAGTGTTTCACCAAGAGAGAAGGTACAAGGATATAGGCAAAGCAACCAAGGTGCACCACCAAACAAGTTTAGCACTACACTAAGTCTACACTACAGGCAGTTATAGTATAATGTATACAATTATATTCTGACACACCCCCTAACTGCCTGCAGTGAAGAACCATGTGCAGAAACACCCCCTGAAGGGGTACACCCTGCGCAGCGGAAGAAGGAGAGGGCAAATGAGGAGGAGGCGGCTGATGCTGCAGCTGGACTCACAGCACCCCCTCAACCTCCCCCCGCACAGCAGTAGCAGCAGCAGTGAGGAGAGAGAGGAGGAGGCGTGGCGGGAGCTGCTGCAGCTGTGTCACCCACCACCCACAGCCCCTGAGCCTCCCCACCACTTCACACTCCCCCCCACAGCAGCAGGTGCGGCTGTGAGAGAGAGGAGGCAGGTTGGCACTGTAGGTGCAACCTCCCCCTCACACCCTCCCCTCCCCTCCCCCCCCCGCACCCCAACTGCTGCACGTGCAGCAGGGAGAGGGAGGAGAAAGGGGGGGAGGGGGCGGGGTAGGGGCTGCGCATGGGGCTGCAGATGCGCGTGCAGAGGGCAGCAGGGCGCACGGGGCGCACAAGACAGCAGGGCGAGCGTGGCGTGCAGGGCTGCAGGGCGCGCGGGGCACGCAGGACAGCAGAAAGGGCTGTAGCGGCCGCAGCAAGGACTGTAGCGGCAGCAGCAAGGGCTGTAGCGGCAACATCAAGGGCTGTAGCGGCAGCAGCAAGGGCTGTAGCGGCAACAGCAAGGGCTGTAGCGGCAGCAGCAAGGGCTGTAGCGGCAACAGCAAGGGCTGTAGCGGCCGCAGCAAGGGCTGTAGCGGCAGCAGCAAGGGCTGTAGCGGCAGCAGCAGGGGCTGTAGCGGCAGCAGCAAGGGCTGTAGCGGCAGCAGCAAGGGCTGTAGCGGCAACAGCAAGGGCTGTAGCGGCAGCAGCAAGGGCTGTAGCAGCAGCAGCAAGGGCTGTAGCAGCAGCAGCAAGGGCTGTAGCGGCAACAGCAAGGGCTGTAGCGGCCGCAGCAAGGGCTGAAGCGGCAGCAGCAGGGGCTGTAGCGGCAGCAGCAAGGGCTGTAGCGGCAGCAGCAGGGGCTGTAGCGGCAGCAGCAGGGGCTGTAGCGGCAGCAGGGCACGCGGGGCGCGCAGGGCTGCAGGGCGCGCGGGGCGCACAGGGCAGCAGGGCAGCAGGGCACGCGGGGCGCAGCAGGGCTGCAGGGCGCGCAGGGCGAACAGGGCAGCAGGGCAGCAGGGCGCGCGGGGCGCACAGGGCTGCAGGGCGCGCGAGGGCGCGCAGGACAGCAGGGCACGCGGGGCGCGCAGGGCTGCAGGGCGCGCGGGGCGCGCAGGGCAGCAGGACAGCAGGGCGCGCGGGGCGCACAGGGCAGCAGGGCAGCAGGGCACGCGGGGCGCACAGGGCTGCAGGGCGCACGAGGGCGCGCAGGATAGCAGGACGCGCGGGGCACGCAGGGCTGCAGGGCGCGCGGGGCGCGCAGGGCAGCAGGACAGTAGGGCGCGCGGGGCGCGCAGGACAGCAGGGCGCGCGGGGCTCGCAGGGCTGCAGGGCGCGCGGGGCGCACAGGGCAGCAGGGCAGCAGGGCGCTGCAGATCCCCTCCCCCCAACTGCTGCACCCGCAGCAGGGGGATGGAGGAGAAGGGGGGGGGGGGGGGGGGGGCGGGGGGGGCTGTGGGGGGGCTGATGCTGCAGATCCCCTCCCCCAAACTGCTGCACCCGCAGCTTGGGGATGGAGGAGAAGCGGCAGCCGTTCACTCACACCCGCCACCCCCATACCCTCCCCCCCACTGCTGCACCTGCAGCAGGGGGGTGGAGGAGAAGGTGGGGGGGGGGGGGGGGGGGGCAGGGGGGGCTGGTGCTGCAGATCCCCTCCCCCCCCACTGCTGCACCCGCAGCAGAGGGATGGAGGAGAAGGGGGGGAACGGGGGGGGCTGGTGCTGCAGCTCCCCTCCCCCCCACTGCTGCACCCGCAGCAGAGGGATGGAGGAGAAGGGGGGGGGGGGGCTGGTACTGCAGATCCCCTCCCCCCCACTGCTGCAACCGCAGCAGGGGGATGGAGGAGAAGGGGGGGCGGGGGGGGGGGGCTGATGCTGCAGATCCCCTCCCCCCTACTGCTGCTCCACTATCCGTCACCCCCCAGGGATGGAGGAGAAGGGGGGGGGGGGACGGGGGGGGTTGGTGCTGCAGATCCCCTCCCCCCCACTGCTGCAGCCGCAGCAGGGGGATGGAGGAGAAGGGGGGGGGGGGGGGGCGGGGGGGGCTGGTGCTGCAGATCCCCTCCCCCCCACTGCTGCTCCACAATCCTTCACCCCCCAGGGATGGAGGAGAAAGGGGGGGCGGGGGGGGCTGGTGCAGCAGATCCCCTCCTGTCTCCCCCTGAACCTCCAAGCTCCCCCCCCCCTCTCAACACAAGGTGCGGCAGGGAGAGAGAGAGGAGGAGGCGTGGCGGGAGCTGCTGCTGCTGAGGCACATCCGCCACCCCCTCACACCCTCTCCCCCCCGTCCCCATGGAGGCGGAGCTGCGCGTGCGACTGCAGGGCACGCGGGCAGGAAGAAACCGTCACCCCTCTTGCCACCCCCTTACCCTCCATGATGCGACGGGGCACCGGGGCTGCGGCTAGGGGCGACAGGTCGCGAGGGGCCGAGGCTAGAGGCGACGGGGCCGCGGTTAGGGGCGGCAGGTCGCGAAGGGGCCATAGCTAGGGGCGACGGGGCGACGGGTCGACGAGGGCCGCGGCTAGGGGCGACGGGGCCAAGGAGCCGCGGCTAGGGGTGACGGGGCCAAGGGGCCGAGGCGACGGGGCGACGGGCCTAGGGTCGCGAGGGGCCGCAGTTGGGGGCGACGGGGCCTGGGGGCCGCGGCTAGGGGCGACGGGGCACCGGGGCCGAGGCGACGGGGCCTAGGGTCGCGAGGGGCCGCAGCTGGGGGCGACGGGGCCTAGGGGCCGCGGCTAGGGGTGACGGGGCCAAGGGGCCGAAGCGACGGGGCGACGGGCCTAGGGTTGCGAGGGGCCGCAACTGGGGGCGACGGGGCCTAGGAGCCGCGGCTAGGGGCGACGGGGCCAAGGGGCTGAGGCGAAGGGGCGACGGGCCTAGGGTCGCGAGGGGCCGAGACGACGGGGCCTAGGGGCCGCGGCTAGGGGCGACGGGGCCAAGGGGCCGAGGGGCTCCAGCTACGGGCGACGGGGCCAAGGGGCCGAGGCGATAGGGCCTAGGGGCCGCGGCTAGGGGCGACGGGGCCAAGGGGCCGAGGCGACGGGGCCTAGGGGCCGCGGCTAGGGGCGATGGGGCCAAGGGGCCGAGGGGCTCCAGCTAGGGGCGACGGGGCCAAGGGGCCGAGCCTAGGGGCTAGGGGCGACGCCAAGGGGCAACGGGCTGGGGCCTAGGCTAGCAGGGCAGCAGGTGGTGGGCCCAAGGAGCGTAACTACTCTAATACCATGTTTGAGTCTTGAGCACCTAGGAAACTAGGTGTAGGCTTAGGAGGCATAGGAGCCATGCTAGAATTGAGAGTCGAGAGAGTTTGGGTGAGGAAAATCGAGAAGGAAGAAGTGTTTCACTAAGAGAGAAGGTACAAGGATATAGGCAAAGCAACCAAGGTGCACCACCAAACAAGTTTAGCACTACACTAAGTCTACACTACAGGCAGTTATAGTGTAATGTATACAATTATATTCTGACACGTCCACGTTCTGCTCGTCCCAGTCAGCTTCGTCTGCTGCTGAAGCGAAGGCTCGGTTGCCACGGAAACCGCCCGTGAGGTCTCGATTTGCTGCCAGGTTGTCCCGGTACGTTTGAAGTGTGAGTCGCTCGTAGAAAATGACATCACGTGCTGCTACTGTTTCCTTCGAGTGGACGTACAAAATCTTCCATGCGTTGTAATGCTTTTTGATGCCCAGATGTAGCCCCCACTGTGCGCGTTGGAAAAATCTTCCGGCTCTTGCAGTGTGCGGTCGGTACTGTACCATGCACCCGAAGACTCGTAACATTTTTGTGTTGCCCAGTTTTCCTGTCCACAGCAGGTGCGGTGATGCGTTGTTCGGGAGCGATGATGACGAGAGCAAGTTGTGTAGCATGACAGCGTGGTCCATCGCCTCAGGCCACTGGTGGCTGGGCAGTCGCATGCCACGCAACAGTTTGCGCATGGTGTTCTGGAGAGTTCTGTTCATCCATTCTGCCACGCCTTGCTGTTGATGGGCGTAGGGAAGCGAGATGAGTCGCTTGATGCCTCGTTCTGCGAGGTACTGCCTGAACCTTTGGGACTGATTTTCCCCTCTTCCGTCTGACTGGAAGCTTTTCAGCTTTGCTCCTGACTCTCGTTCTGCCACAGGTAGCCAGGCGACGAAGGCTTCGAAGGCCATGTCGCGACTTGGGAGGTTGAGGTGCCAGACGTAACGGGGGGCGGCGTCGATGAAAGTAATCACGTAGTTATATGCTCCTTGTCCTTGTTCGCGAGTATACAGGATGTCGCTGTATACTTTCTCGAGTGGTGCGTAGGCTGGCGCGCTTGGATTATGGTGAGAGACAAATGGTTGATGAGGTAAGTCAGCTTCGGGGCACGTAAAGCAGGTGCCTCGAACTCGTTGGAGTTCTCTGCCGTCGGGTAGAAGGAGTGAGTCTTTGTCAAGTACAGCCGCCTTGATTGTGTTGTTTAACGTGGTGTTGCTTGGATGACCTAATCGTTCGTGCCACAGTGATTCGCTTGCACGATGTCCGGGTGAGCGCCTGTACAGGTGGGAGTTGGAGTAAAATCCCGCGGTGAAATTGGCGCTTCTGTGAACTTCGCGTGGAGTGGGAGCTAACTGCTGCGCAGGAGTTGGTGGAGTGTCGTCGATGAGAATTTGTGTCGTTGAAGAGCCCGCGATTGGTGTCGTAAGTGTTGCTGCTGCTGCCGATGTTGTCTCCGCTGCTGTTGATGTTGTCTCCGCTGCTGTTGATGTTGTCTCTTCTTGCCGGATTGTTGCTAATGCCCGTGTTCTTTCTGCTTCTGGTATGGTATGTGAATACCAAAATCCTCCAAGACTGAAGTCGGGATTGAGGTCGGGTGGATGTGTCCAAGAAGTGAAGTTGAAAATGGCGTCGCTGTCGGCGGTACCTTGGTCCGGAACGAAGTCAAGAACAAAGACGTTGTTCTTCAAGACTGCTTTGCCGATGTAGAGTCCGCCCTTTCCGTGGAATAACTTGAACTCCTGAGTGGTGCTGTCTGCTTCGAGATGAATACCCTTCGCCATCAGTTGACTGACGCTGAGTAAGTTGTAGCCGAGCCCTTCTGCGACTAGAACCTTAGACATTTGTAAAATGACATTAGTTTCTCGAGACTGAAGTTGCACGATCCCTTGTCGTTGTGTGTGCAGGTTCTGGTTGTTGGCGACGGTGATTACAACTTCGCGCTGAAGTTGACGTTCCTGTTGAACAAAGCGACCTAAGGAGCACATGTGTTGTCCGCAGAAACTGTCCAAGAACCAAGTGTCATTCCCGGACGGCTCGCTCTGGGCGATGGCTGCATACGTCGGGTTGGGCTCCAGTGATTCGCGGCGAGGAGTCCTCTCATCGAGTTGTTCTTCTGGTGAGTAGTGGGGTGGTCATCCAGTGATGCAGGAGTCTGTTGTTCTTGTCATACGATGTTCCTTGTTCCTTGTGCAGGTCTTGTCATTGAACGCGTTGAAGACTGTACTTGATTGGTGGGATGCGCCTGCGTAGAAGCTACTTGACTGCTTGAGGGTCGAAGTTGACGTTGCGACGACGTCGGCTGCTGTTGATTCGGGCAGTGTATGCGTGGATGTCCGGACGTCTTTCAAAGATGACAGAACGGTGGAACGTACTGTTGTACTTGTCGGTTGTTTTGTCAGTTGTTGTTGTTGTAGCGTCGTTGAGTGTGAAACGCGAATTCTGGTGTTGACGCTTTCTTCTTGTGTCGTTCTTCGTGCAGGTCCATATCCTGTTGTTCGGCGTGAATTTCGGCGGAGAGTGCTGCTTCGGAGATCTTCCCGTAAGCTCGAAGAAGTGCTCGAGTGGAGCGCCAATGAGGACCGAGGCCAGCGATGATGACTGTTACGAAGGCTTCTTCAGATATTGTTCCTCCGCATCGAAGAAGTCTGTCGCGCAGTCCACGACAACGGCTGATATAAGCCATTCTCTTTTCGCCGGGTTTCATTTCCACTGTTGTCACCCGTGCCATGAGACGACTTTGATTAACACTGTCTGTTGCTTGATATAGGTTCTTCAGGTGGTCGTATGCCAGTTCGGCGGAGTTGCCGTATCCTCGATAAGACCGGATGTTCTGCTACTCGTTTGGAGATAAGTTTCGCAGTAGTATCGTATATGCCATCGGCGTCTGATATGTGTACTGCTGCTTGTCGTACTGTATCCCATGTGTTGGATATGGCAGGGACCCGTCGAAGAATCCGAGAATTTGCGCGCCCTCCATCATCAGCTCGAACTTGAATGACCAGGTATAGAAGTCCTTTCTGTCGAAAAGCGTTGACGTTTGCAGTTTTAACACATGTGCGAATTGAGATTGAACTTGAAGTGCGTCCAATGTCTTCTCTTGTCCAGGTGAAGACTGTGGTTGTGGCGCGAAGCTGATGGAGCCACGTTGAGGCTCGTACGGAGCAAATGTGGGTTGCTTATGATTTCCGCGCGCATAGGATGAACCGTCAAGGCTCATCGGTGTTGTTCTGTTGTTGTTGTCGCTGTTGTTTGATTGCGCAGGAGCTGCTTGCTGGTGTTGTTCGTAGAAGGACATGAAGGAGAAGAATTTCTCCATCATATTTGGGTCGAAGCCTGCTGCTTGATTCCCGGGAGTTTCGATCGACTCCGCAGCTGGTCTTGTTGCTGTGCCTTCCTCTGTCTGTAGGGCGGAGGCTGGAGGTGGAGTAGTAGTGCCGAGAGATCCGTTGGAGGAGTTCCTCTCCTTCTGTGTTGCCATGTCTTGTGTTGTCGTAGAAATTTTGGAAGTCGATCTTGCTCTGTTTGCTCTCATACCGTGTTGGGCTGAGAAGAAGCCCTTAGGATATTTCAAGGCTAAGATCGGTTGAAGTAGTAGTGTTGTAATTGCGGAAGCGTTTTAATATCAGAGTTACTGAACCACCTTGTACTAGTGTGTGAGAACAAGATAAGTTGATAATAGCAGAGAAATACAAGGCTTTTATATGATTACAAAGGAATATGGAAAATTATACTTCAACTGTTTTTGCTGTTGCGGTTGCTCAGTGTCGAGTCAGTTATGTGTCATTGCTATCGCACTGTATTTTTTGTTGAGTCAAAGGTCAGCGACCTTTGACCTTCGCGTAACCTCCAGCGGTTGTTTTTGTTGGCTTGTGTTGCTTCAATGTAGTCTGCTTTGTTTCGTGTCGATACTTCGATACTTCAGAAGCGTTTTAAGTTACTTGTTTCCAACAATAATATAGGTCGACATTATGTAGTTTGTTTTTTATGTTTTATTTTTTCCTCTCTTTTCCACCCTACGCTATATCGAGGGTGGGGGGGGGGGGGGGGGGGGGGGGGGTGTGGGGGGGGGTGCACTATTGTTGGTACACCCTCTTTCTCAACCTTTTCACCTTGCGCGACTCGTCGCTACAGTACTTGTCTCATGCGATATGGTGCCAATAAACGTTCCTAGGCAACCTGGGGGGAAAGCCGGACCACGTGACAAACTGGCTCAAGGACGTAAAATCTCCGTAATCGCTTCATAACTTTCCCAAACAGATGAAAACGTTGACAACGCTTTTTGTAAAGTGCATAACCTTACCTAACCGCAATCTTCACATTGTGCTTGTACAGTAGGTGACAAGACCATTCTGAACGTGGTGACGTTCTACAATCCATGTACGTTTTCCAACCAGGTGCTCTACTAGCGCGAAAGAGGGTGTAGCCTCCTGCATTGAAGAGCCATCACCATTGAACGGAGTTCTCCATTGAAGTGCCCCAGCCAGAAAATTCGTAGGTCTAATTAATTGATGTAGACGTGGTCGGTGTTCGTACGGAAATGTTTTTATCTCGACAAATGTATGAGGGCTAGATTGTGCCTCCCGTACATCGTTGTGGGCCCCGACGAGATTGCAAGTTGGGCCCTGCTGTGTGGTGTGGAGCTTTGGGTTCAGTGCTTGTTGGGGAACACAGCAAGGTTGTTTTCGCAAGGGCCCTCGAACCCACAAAGTTGGTTGAAGATTACCGCATAGGACGCAAAATGTGAAGTTTGCTGTGGAATAAAGTTTTTTTTTTCCATTCTCCCGTAAGCGCCCTTTCATCCCAGAGAATACTCGACTACAGTGTACCACCCCGAACCCATCTCTGTTGTCCAACTCATCTCTGCTCTTCGCCAGCTGGAAAACAAAATCTGCACTTTCCTCCCAAAACCCCCCACTCTCCGTCCACAACTGCACCCCTCTCCTCCCATAGCTGTGCTCGTGTTTCTGTTTTGCAGTCCAACCAGCCCAACCTGCCAGCCAATCCAAACGAGCAAAACACAAAGCAGAGCATCGCAGCGCGAATACAGTTGTTTGTGTGTTTTTGGTGTCGCAGCAGCCTAGCCCTGTGCCAATGCCCACTGTAACAAGCTGGGACACGGCAGTGGCCCAGCCCTGGGCCAACGCAACGCCAACAACAGCTCAGCAGCAGCACCTCCAATCTGGTGCTGCAAACTTGCGCCCAGGAAGCCTACTTTATCCCCTCAAACCGTTCTCTATATAAAATAGAACGTATTATACCGAACGACGCCGAGGAACCCATGTAGCAGCGTTGAGCTTTACTGGATGTTATCTTGCACTAACACCTGTCCAGGGCAAACAAGCTCACGTTGTGCTGGCCAATATATTTTTTGTCTGTCAAATGTTGCTGTTGCGTTGGCTATATCAGCACTCCTGCTTTTCGCGCATTCACTATCGAACACGTCTTCAAAACCGCCCTAGCGCCGCTTTCTTCCTGACCATCTCCACAATCAGAAACACCTTTTACACGCTGAGACAACTATTTGTAAGCGGCAAGCCTATGGCCGCACCATGGCCTCTACGATCGAGTTTCCTTTTCGCGGTCGATTCGCCCTAAAGAGCCTCTTTCCGGGTTTCATGAACCGTTTTTATCATTTTTCGGCCTCACGCTCAGACCTGATTGGTCGGACCAGGGTTCACGGAACGGAATCAACAACCGCCACGCCGCGTAAGGTACCTTTTTCCAAAGCTGCTGTATCCGACGCTTCTCGAGCCTCGTACACGCCTCCCATAAGACATTAACCTCCACGTGGCTTCTGGTAGCAGGGTTGCCCTCTGCTAGTTCATTTTCCGCTGCACAGGCCGCTATAGCTGTTCGGTTCAGCAGGACACGTGTTTCGAGTAGAATATTTCGTCGTGTCGATGTCACCAATATCGACTGAACGTACTTTCTGCCGCAGCTCCTAGTGCCAGTCGTCGCCGCGCGGGATAGTACTAGTCGTACAATCGTTCTGCACCTGACTTCTATTCTGCAACCTCCTTCCGAAAAGGAAATTTCCGTCCCCGGGACGCTCGGCACGTAGAACGTCATTTCGCACCTCGCGCCTCTTTTCGAAGCGTCACACGGATGATATTCCGCTCCGCGTCATTTAGTGGGATAACAAACGCTGCGTCCTGCGAACGCGGAATAGTTGGTCCCTGTTAGACCCCTTTAGTAGCTTTCTCACACCGTTTTGCCGCCGCATCGCGAACGATTAACTTGCTCAAGGAGAGGCAATCCTCTCCCCCATGGCCGCTGCCGTTTCCGCGGCTCGCCTACCTACGACTCAGAGTCGTACCAACCAGGAATCTCCTTTGCGCCATAACCGCCGCAGGTGTAGCAGTCGAGCCTCGTCCCCTTCTGCCGGTCTCCAGGCGGATCCTCCGCGCTCCCCGCGACTCCCGCACACCCCGCAACACCAGCACACCGCGCAATACCCGCACACCCTGCTGCAACAGTCCGCGCCACCACGTGATCAGCGTCGCCACTCTTTCTCCGTCGTGCACCTCCCGCCGCCGCCGCCGCCGCACATGGCGCATCGACAAGTGCCCGGGACAAGCTCGCTCGACGGACACGCGCCGAGTGACGTTTCCGCGGACAGTACTGAAAGGGAAGAGACGGAATTCGCGCAGCAGAAGCAGCAGGAGCAGGAGAAGCAGCAGGAGCAGCAGAAGCAGCAGGAGCAGGCGGAGCAACAGGAGTTAAGCCAAACATCTCCGCGCACGTCAGTTCCCTGCGCCATCCCCCCCCACATCAGATCCAACTCCGCCCTTGCCGGTTGTGGAGACGAAGACGATTCTTCCGCGGTTTTTCTCCGCGCGCCGACCCTCTCCCCCGCGCCTCTCCCACTCTCGTCCCCTGCGCCTCCCCCTCTCTCCTTTCCCGCGTCTAATCCCCTCTCCTCTTCCAACGCCGGAAGCCCAAAACTGTCGGCGACGCAAGAGGCGGCTCTCTGGTCGGCCCGCTTCGACTGGAATCAATTCCATCGGTCCCTGGTAACGGCCGGCGCGGGGGGAGCGGCGGGCGCGGCAGGCGTGGCGGTTGGAAGCCTACACCGCGCAGCACCGGGTGCCGCGACGAATGATTCCGAAACTGCTGCTGCTGTTGCCGCCAAAGTCGGCGGTGATTTTGGCCCGCGACGATTCAATCGCGTCGGCATCACCCGCGCGAGTACCGCCGCAGCAGCCGTTCCAGAGGTAGTTGCCGCCCCCATAGCTCCGATTCGCGGCGAACGAGGCGGTGGAGGAGGCGGGGGGGGAGGAGGCGGCGGAAGCGGAGGCGGTGGAGGTGGTGGCGGCCGATCCGTCACCGGCGACGGCCTTCGAGGCGCGGTGAAGGGCGCCGCGACGCACCGCCGTTGCTGCTCGTTGAGTACAGTCGTGAGCACGCATCTCCCGAACTCGCGAATCGGAGTCGCGAGCGCGAATCTCACGGCAGCGCCGCAAGTCACGCTAGCCGCGGAAGTTCCGACGGGCGTGCAAAAGGCGAGTCTCGATGAGGCCGCAGCGCCCAAGTCCCCATCCGCGACGCGGCGGCGCTCGCCGCCAACGTCGCCTTCATCCGCGCCATCGCCTGTACTCCTGCCCACCGCTGCTTCTTCAATTTCAACCAGCAAACAACTTCCGCGAGCCGCCTCCGTCGCGAATACTACCAGCGGCGTTCTTACGTCGCCGCGTCGACCAGGGATCGCCGGCCCTCCGCCAACCGAGCGGCGCAAAATGGTTCCGCGGACGCACTCCGCGGATTCGGTGCGCGGGGGAGGAGGGGTTGCGCAGGTGCAGGTGCAGGCGACGGTGCTGGCGCAAGGGGGAGGGGTTGCGCAGAAAATTCAGCAGGTATCCCTGCGGGGAACCGGGCCGGCGCAACAGGCGGTTCGGAAGGAGTTGCAAACCCAGAATTTGGACAATTCAAGTTGCAAGGGTAACTCACCCTTTTTTGGTGCAACTTCCGCTGGGGGTATTTCCCCTTCAGCTAGTTCTACCTGCAGCAGCCCAGCCGGAAATTCCCTTCCCTCCCCCCGGATCGCCCTCCTTTCGCCAAGACTGCCCTGCTCCAATCAGAACAACCCGAACGCATTTAGCCTCAATAAGAGCAGCCCCTCTTCCCTCACAATCTCCACTTCCCCAATAGATGTTTCCCCTAACGGAAGCACGAACTCCTCTGCTTTTGAAGGCTTTTCTCCCCGAGATACCACCTCCCCTAGTACAGCCTCCCCAAAACCACTTCTAACCTCCCCTAGAATGGGTTTCACCTCCCCCAGGATAGGTATGACCTCCCCCAGGACAGGTATGACCTCCCCCAGGGCAGGTATGACCTCCCCCAGGGTAGGTTTCACCTCCCCCAGGACAGGTATGACCTCCCCCAGGACAGGAGGAGGTGCAGCCGCTGCTGTTGTGCGGCTGGGTTCCAGTGCAGGGGGAGCGAGATTAGGGTTTGTGGATTGGGCTGGTATCAGCAAGACAGGGAAGGGTGTTGTTGCTGCTGCTGCTGCTGCTGGAGCAGGGGCAGTAGGGGTGGGAGCAGCAGCAGGAGTAGGAGGAACAGCAGCAGCAGGAGCAGCAGCAGGAGCAGCAGCAGGAACAGGAGCAGTGGCAGGAGCAGGAGCAGGAGGAGGAGGAGGAGGAGGAGGAGGAGGAGGAGGAGGAGGAGGAGGAGGAGGAGGAGGAGGAGGAGGAGGAGGAGGAGGAGGAGGAGGAGGAGGAGGAGGAGGAGGAGGAGTAACAGAAGCATCAGGGGCAGCCGGTGCAGCAGGAGCAGGAACAAGGGTACGGAAGGAGAAACATCGGCATCATCATAGGACTATGTCTCACACTCCTCCCGCCTACCCAACCACGCTCAGCCCCTCACAACCGCATTCAACCGCTTCAAAGCACCTCCATCGCCCGCCCATACCCCTTACAGGAGGCCTCGTTTCCGTTACAGGCGGTTTACCCCCTATGGGAATTTCCAGCTCCCATTTTTCCCCTGATCTGCTTCCTCATATTGCTGCTCTCGCTGCCGCTGCTGGTGCAACAGGAGAAGCTTCCAGGAACTTCTTCAGACGCTCAGCTTCATCTCCCAACCTCCTCCTTCCTCCCCCTTCCCCTGGTTCCTCCTCCTCCCCACCCTTCCTCCCCCAGTCCTTCTCTCTCTGCTCCCCTTACACTTCCGTACACTCCCCCCCTTCCCCTGCACTCTCTCTCCCTCCTTCGTCCCCTTCCCCCATCTCCCCTCCCTTCTTTCCCCCCTTCTTTTCGGACGCGTCAAACCCAACAAGCACGTCACCATTGTCCACGTCACCGTTGTCCACGTCACCGTTGTCCACGTCAGCAGTGTCCACGTCAGCAGTGGCCACGTCAGCGCATTCGGAGGGGGGTTTTGAGGCTCCACAAAATCCGGAAGAGGCGGCAGCGGTGGCAGCAGCTTCGGCAGTGGTGAGTGCTGGTGGAGGGACGTTAGATGCACTGCATGCAGCTGCTGCTGTGATATCCGGAGCAGCAGGAGGAGGAGGAGGAGTAGGAAGAGGGGCAGGAGGAGCAGCAGGAGCAGCAGGAGGGGTGGGAGAAGGAACAAGAGGAACAGCAGCAGCGGCAGCAGCAGCAGGAGAGGCGACTTCAAGGGCCTCCTTTCGCCGGAACGCCCCTGCACCTATCCTGGTTCCGACACCGTCCCATCCCCATGCCTCTGCTGCTCCCAGCCCTAAAACCCTCCCCTCTCCCGCCAAACCTTCTCCTCGCGTGCTCCTTCCCAGCCCTGGAGCTTCCGGGCCTGTGCCGCAGGCTCGGTTCCCGAGCCCAGGCCTGGCCGCCAGGCCTCCACGCACCACGTCCCCTGTGGTTCGATTTGCCGTACCTGAAGCTTATGCCAAGGCAAGAGGTGAGGCGCCACCAGAGCAGCACGCATTAATGGATGAGCAGAATCAGAAGCAGGGACAGCAGGAAGAAGGGGGGAGATCAGGAGCACATGGTATCCGAACTAATGCAGCATCAGCAAGCCCTCAACGAGTCAGTTTCGACTGGCAGCAGCAACAGCCACACCCGCACCCGCAGCAGCAGCAGCAGCAGGCTGTGTGTGTAGCTGACGATTTGGCATCATCTTTTGCGTCGGCATCAGGCTCAACAGCAGGCTCGGCAGCAGGTTCGGTACCAGTATCGCGATCACACGCGACAAATAATCAGCCTAGCCCAAGGCGAGTGACTTTTGATGCACAGCTCAAATCACCAAGCCCAAGACGGGTGAGCTTCGATGCGTATTTGAACAAATCACCGAGCCCAAGGCGTGTTAGCTTTGACGCAACTCAGAAGTCACCCAGCCCAAAGGGTGTAAATTTTGAATCGAGTCACAAATCACCCAGCCCGAGCCGAGTGAGCTTCGATGTGAACAGCAACAAATCTCCGAGCCCAAGGAGTGTCAGCTTTGGTGCAAACCACACCAAATCCCTGAGCCCAAGGCGTGTGAGCTTTGACAAACTCGTAGAGGTGGTGACTCTGGTTCGCAATGAGGAGGAGGAGGAGCGAGACGAGGAGAAGACAAGAGAGGAGGAGAAGCAGCGGTTGCAGCAGCGTGGGGGTGGTGCTTGGGGGAGGGTTCGTGTGGCTGGGAGGGCTACTGCTGCTGGCGTTGCTGCCGCTGTTGCTGGTGGTACTGCTACTGTTAGTGGTTGTGGTGGTGGTGCTCCTGCCGCTGCTGCTGTTGGTGGTGGTGCTGGTAGTATTGCTGGTGCTGGTGCTCCTGCTGCTTCTGGCCCTGCTGTTGCTGCCTCTAGACCAGTGGCAGTGAGCCCGATGAGGAGTGCACTCAAAGCAACGAGCCCGCACCCTTCTTCTGCTTCCACAGCTGCTGCTGCAGCTAATGTTGAGTCTGCTGCTGCTGTTTCTGCTACTGCTTCTGTCACAGCTTTTGCCTGCTCTTCCTCTTCTGCTGCTACTGCTGCTATTCCTGGTTCAAGTTCAAGCGACACGGACACCAGCAGTATTTGCAGCAGCAACCACAGCAACCACAGCAACCACAGCAGCAGCAGCAGCAGCAGCGGTGGTTACAGTAGCAGTGGTGGTGGGAGCAGAAACAGCAGAAAAAGCAGCAGCAAAAACAGCAGCAGAAAGAGCAGCAGAAGCAGTGGCGTAGACAGCAACAGTGGAGCATTCAGTATCGCTGGGAATGCTTGTGGTGGTGGTGTTTTTCTGTCAGGCGCAATCCTTGCCAGTCCCCGCCAAGTCACATTCCCTGATATGCCCACTGGGAGCGAAAACTCACACAGCAATGCTTCTCACCGCAGTCCACCGCACTGCACCGCTTCCCACACAGTTCCTCATGCAGCCATCCCAGCCAGTCCGCGCCGAGTCACGTTCCCTGATATGCCCACTGGTACTGAACCCACTCACCACCATGCCACTGGGTCTAACTCACCTCACCATAACGCACCTCACCTTACTGCATCCCACTCAGTTTCTCACACAGCACCCCACACACCCGCACACACAGTGTCACACACAGTGTCACACACAGTGTCACACACAGTGTCACACACAGCCCCACACACTCAACCGCATGCAAGTGCCCACACCCCCACAGGGAGCACTCAGGAGATGATGCAGGTCGAGCACATTACACCTCACCACACTCCTCCTCACCACGTCACACCTCACCACAGGCCTCCACACCACATTACACCTCACTACACTCCTCCTTGCCACACGTCTCCAATCCCAAGGAGAGTCAGCTTCAGCGAGCCCGTGGGAGTGGCACCGGTTTCTGACGCGCCTAAAAAATCGTCTCCCGTTCCTTGGAGAGTGAGCTTCAGTGATTCTGTGCAACTAACCCCGGAAAATGGCTTTAAGTCTGCAGCACCGGCAGCAGCAGCAGCAGCAACAACATTACCAGGTCCAGAAGAAGCAGCAGGAGGAACAGCAGTGGTACTAGCAGCACCAGAAACAGCAGCACCAGCAGTAACAGAACTGCCAGCAGCAGCAAAAACAGCAGCTGGGCCGCTGGCCATTGTTCCTCCCAGTCCCAGGAGAGTTAGCTTCCATAAGATGGTTGAAGTGAGGGTATACCGTGAAAGGGACGACGGATGCCGTGCGGAGGAGATTTCAAGAGGCAAGAAAGAGGGATGAGGGAGGGAAGCTCCTCTTGAAAGAGGGAGTGAAGAATAGACTCTTAGGCTGGTAGCTGCTTTCTCGGATAAACTCTTTATTCATCCAAGGCATGAAACTGCAGTTTTTAGATAGCATAATGTATCTGAGTGACTTCTGCAGATAAAGGCATTTTTAAGGCTAAACCCCTCACGTATGTTCGACTGAAGTTTAGGATTTGCCATCACCTCAATAACGGGTTATAGTATCGAGGAATGCCATTTCGTCAACGCCCCAATTCCTTTGTCCGTACCCCAATCTTCCACTTTCCACCCGCCCATAACGCATGCTGATTTGGATGTCAAGCCTTTTTGCACGATCGACTTTGGTGCCCTCGTTCGTGGACCATGGTGTGACGTGACGATGACACAAAAAAACAAGGGTTACAGCGGAGACAAGGCGTGTCATTTTCACCTGCCCAAATTCGAAGGCGAGGCAGCATTATCAAACCACCACGTTGACCTTTTCGAAATACGTATTCACACTGCTGGTTTATTTACAAAATCCAACTCGGAAATAAAAAAGTTGCATTTTGTTTTTCACCAGTGAAGCAGGAGGAGCATTTGTTTTGTTTTTTGCAGGAGGAGCATTGGCTAGAGCTCACCTGTTTTGCAGGGAATGTGTAAAACTATAAATACAGGCAAGAGGAGCAGATATTCAAGGCAGCACGGGCAGCACAGCAGGGCAGAGGTGTGGCAAGAGGCCTGCACAAAGGAGGCAGCATTGATTGGAAGATTGTCGATTGCGGTACTGCACGGTTCCATGGAGTCATGCAGTGAAGAGCGGGTTCTGTATTTGACCAGTTTCATTGGAAGGCGAGACATCATACCACGAGACAGGCTCCTCTATGATACACACTCACAGTTTAAAAGTGGTTCACCGAGGTCAAAGTGTGTTCCATTACGGTACTACTATAACCCCGCGCCGCCACCGCTCCACTTCCCGCCCGCTTTTCCTTGTACCTTGCCTTGATGTTCGAGTTGCGTGGAAACGGGCTCTTGCTTCTTGCTCCCGTCAGCTCAGGTAAGCGCTGAGCAGTGGTGGTTTGGTTGGTGTGATGTGAGATCAACCCATTTTTGGGGTTCATATAGCCTGCTTTGTTCTTCGCTCTGCTTGTGGCTTTTTGTTAGTAACCTTTTTGCTTTGCTAACTTTCTCGCCATGGCCGTGCTTCTCTGCCGCACGTGGCCCCAAACGTGTCGCTTCTTCCAAACGAAATGCGGCCTTTTCCTCAAGGCGTGAGCACTCGTGGTCCAGTAAACGTGAGGCTGCCCACGTGGCATTACACACGTGGTTCGAGAAGGTCTCGTTGGTAAAAGAGCACAGAGCAACAATGGCGTCGAAGATAATGCGCGACGAGCACGCGGACGGAATCTCTGTCGTCGCGTTCGGCCCGGAAGGGACTCTCGCGCACCGTCGATTATTCTTCGATGACGATTTTCAAATCGTTTCCCCTTGGCACGACGTACCGCACCGCGCCGCGGACGACGGATTTAATTTCCTCTGCCACACGCCGAAAGGCGCGTCCGCGATAGTCGAAGTCGCGAAAGACGAGGATTACAACCCTATTCGCCACGTGGCGCGAGACGGCGGCGCGGCGCGCTACACAGCCACTTCCACATGGAACCTCGGGATTGCGCCGCAGACGTGGCAGGAACCCAAGGTCGAATGCGACGTGGGTAATGGCCGGCTGCTGCCATTCGCCGGCGGGCCCGTACGCGTTATAGAGATCGGCGGCGTGGTAGCGAAACCGGGGCAGCTGTACTCGGTGAGGCCGCTCGGCGCGTTCGCGACGATTCGCGAAGACGAAGGGACGGTTTCGTGGACGGTTATCGCGCTTTCGTCGAGCGACGCGTGGGAGCATCTGCTGAAGAATATGGCGGACCTGCAGCGGGAGAAGCCGGGCGAAATCGAACGACTAAAAAAGTGGCTGCTAACAGGTACGAATATGCTTCTCCTGGTTTTCGTTCGTTTCGCAAGTCTTCGCCACGCATGCCCCAGAGCGAGAACGCAGTCGAGCGACGCGTGGGAGCATCTGCTGAAGAATATGGCGGACCTGCAGCGGGAGAAGCCGGGCGAAATCGAACGACTGAAAAAGTGGCTTCTAACAGGTACTTGATCATATTTTACTTTGTTTTTATTCTTACAAAAACATAAGTTTTTGTTGCCGTTTTTCGCCTGTTTTGTTTCGCCAAGTCTTCGCCACGCATGCAACACAGCGAGAATACTGCCGAATGTGTCGGTGGGTACTTTGACGACTTCTTTTCGCGCTCGTCCCGGTGTAATGTAATTGACACATTTACGTTTTCGCTGTAACAGTCAACAAATAGCGAAAATGCCCTCGAGTCTGTCTGCTGAGTCTGTCACAAAAGGGGTCAAGAGACACAAGTCGGGTGTCGCGTTTGTCACGCAAGTCGGCTTAAGAGACACATTGAAGAAAGAGGAAAGAAAATAATGAGGAGGTCACACGCAGTCAAGGGGTAACAAACAATTAAGTGGAAGTAACTAATGTGTAACAAACAACGTACGAGCCAATGCAAATACACGCATTGCCTTCCCCTCTCTCCTTCCACTTCTACCGCCAAGACGGCTGTAACCACCCTATCCGCTGCTCACTCGTGCTTTCCCTCTGCCTCCCCCTTTTCCCTCTTCCCACTCCAGCTCCCCCACTCTAACTATACCAGCTAATTCAGCCCATCCCACATCCCTAGGTTTCAACGAGCAACCCTCAGAGTCTCATCCGCACTTACTCAAGCCTTCCTTCTGTCTTTCCCTCTCCCCTCCCCCCTCTGCCTGCACCAGCCGATTCAGCCCATCCCACATCCCTAGGATTCAACGACCAACCCCAGCCTCGCAAAGCCGCCGTTGCCGCCCTATCCGCCGCCCACGCCGCGTGGAAAGCCAAACGCGACGTCCTGACCCGCTTCCCGAACCTAGACCTCCCGTCCGGCGACGATGCCGAAGCTCCTCCCGAGCCTGAGGTGCTCCAGGAAATCTGGGAGCCTACTATTGAGTGGTATTTAGACGAGGCGGGGACTACTATGGAAGAGTGTATTAAAGCCGCACATGCAGTAACCGCACATGGGGTTACCACACAGGGGGGGTTACCCCATTCGTCTTCTAGCCTGGGGGAAGGGATAGTGCATACAGTGGGAGGTATTGCCAGCACTGTTGGGGAGTTACGCGGAAGCTTCGCTCATTCCATCAGCAAGGGGGTTAGCAGCAGCAGAAAGGGGCTAGTTGGCGGAATCACCCACACGGTAGGGGGTATTGCGGATATTGGTGGAGGGATCAGGGGAGGGATTAAGGGGGCAGTAGGGGGGATTGGGGGGGCGGTGGGCGGGATAGGATCTCGCCTGGGGAAGAGCAGGAAGGGCATGGGTGGCATGGGTAAGGCAGGGAGACATGGAGAGGAAGAGGCAGAATGGGAGATCTCGGCACCCGAAACCAGCAGCACCATCAACAGCAGCAGCAGCATCAGCAGCATCAGCAGCATCAGCAGTGGCGGCGGCGGTGGGGGTGGCGGCGGCGGTGGTGGTGGTGGTGGTGGTGGTGGTGGTGGTGGTGGTGGTGGTGGTGGTGGTGGTGGTGGTGGTGGTGGTGGTGGTGGTGGTGGTGGTGGTGGTGGTGGTGGTGGTGGTGGTGGTGGTGGTGGTGGTGGTGGTGGTGGTGGTGGTGGTGGTGGTGGTGGTGGTGGTGGTGGTGGTGGTGGTGGTGGTGGTGGTGGTGGTGGTGGTGGTGGTGGTGGTGGTGGTGGTGGTGGTGGTGGTGGTGGTGGTGGTGGTGGTGGTGGTGGTGGTGGTGGTGGTGGTGGTGGTGGTGGTGGTGGTGGTGGTGGTGGTGGTGGTGGTGGTGGTGGTGGTGGTGGTGGTGGTGGTGGTGGTGGTGGTGGTGGTGGTGGTGGTGGTGGTGGTGGTGGTGGTGGTGGTGGTGGTGGTGGTGGTGGTGGTGGTGGTGGTGGTGACAGCGAGAGCAGCAGCAGCAGCACCCCCAGCAGCGGTACAACCAATGAAGATCGGCAATTAGTTAAGACCAACGCTGCTTCTTTTTCAGGGTCTTCCTTTGCTAAGACCCACTCAGGGAAATCAGGAGGCTCTTTCGCTGCTATTGGAGGGGGCCTTTCTAAGATTGGCGGGGCGGCTAGCGGGTTGACTAACGCCGTTTCATCTGCTCGTGGGAAAGCCGTTTCATCTGTTGGGAGCACGGTTTCATCTGTGAGAGGAGCGGTGGGAGGAGCGGTGTCAACTGTTGGCGGGGCGGTGGGAGGGGCGGTTACAACTGTGGGTGGTAAGGTTGGTGGTGCGGTGACAACTGTTGGTGGGGCGGTGGGTGGCGCGGTTACAACTGTTGGAGGGGCGGTGGGCGGGGCTGTTACAACTGTTGGTGGGAAAGTGGGTGGGGCGGTTACACGTGTGGAAGGAGCTGTAATGGGAGGTTCGGGAAGGGAACTAGGCTCGGTAGGGTCGGTAGGTTCGGCAGGGTCACTAGGCTCGGTGCAGGTGCATGGAGGCCGGAGGAACAAGCAGAGAGCGAGCCTCACCCTGACCAGAGGCGAGTCTGGTGGAGAAGTAACGTCAGATGTAACTTCAGATGTAACGTCTGTAATCTCAGATGCAACGTCAGATGTAATGTCGGACGAGGGGGGGGGGGAAGGAGCGGGCGGGGAGGAGGTGAAGGAGGTAGTGCGGGAGGAAGCTTCCGAGAAGACGCTGCACGCACTCCCACGCACTCCCCCTCGCACACCCCCGCCTCCGTTGACCATTCAGAGCAATTCGGGAGGTGGGTTCGGCGAGGAGGAGGAAGAGGAGGAAACGGAAGGGGAGGAGGGAGGAGAGGAGGAGAAGCGGGTGGTGGGAGAAGAAGGTGGGGAGGGTGATCATCACCCCCCCACTCACCAACACGACAATGACCACCCTCATCACTATGAGGGCAACCAGAAGCATGATGATCACCAATACGACAATCACAATCGTCACGGCAACGATCGTCACGACAACGATCGTCACAATGGTCATGGCGACAACCAAGAGGACAACAGTGATCAGGACCATCACCAGCATCGCCATCGCCAACACCACCACCACCACGGCTTGCACCTGCTGCACTTCTTCCCCCGCAGCCCCAAGCGCAGCCCAAAAGGAGCAGCAGCGGCAGCAGCTGGGGAAGCAGCAGCAGCAGCAGCAGCAGCAGCAGCAGCAGCAGCAGCAGCAGCAGCGGCAACTGGGGAAGCAGGAGCAGCAGCAGCAACGGCGGCAACTGGGGAAGCAGGAGCAGCAGCAACAGGACCCTCACACCAGTTGGCAGCACCACCTTCGTTCTCCTCCCAGCCTCCTCTTTCCGAATCTTCAGGGCCAGGCGCCGAACCTTCCCCCCGAATCTGCATTCCGGTCTGCCGGTCCGCCGACGAGCCTCCCGCCAAGGCTCGGACTCCCCGAGCCAGGCTGCTTGGTCTGGCGCCTCTCAGCCCCCTGAGGGGGGGGATAGGCGGCAGAAGAGGAGGAGGAGGAGGAGGAGGAGGAGGAGGAGGAGGAGGAGGAGGAGGAGGAGGAGGAGGAGGAGGAGGAGGAGGAGGAGGAGGAGGAGGAGGAGCGGCAGAAGGAGGGGGAGTGGGAGAAGGAGGGATGAGTCCTGGTTGGGGGGATGCAGAGGTGAGTGAGGGGTTAATCAGTCCCAGGTATGGTAGCCAGGTTCCGGGTCATGGGGGGAAAAGAAGCCCCGGTCACGGGGGAAACAGCCCCAGGAATCTCATTGCTAGTGCGTGGAGCAAGCTGAAAAGCCCGAGGGGAAGGGAGAAGGGAGGGGATCAGGGAGGGGAGAAGGGTGGTCACGAGTTTCTGACAAAGGTGGCTTTAAAAAGCCCGAAGGAGGGTACAGGGGATAAGGAAGGGTTTAAGAGCGGTACTGAGTTTCGGAGCATGCAGAGCGAGCAGCAGCAGCACTCTAGCTGGAGTGAACGCGGCAATACCACCCCTTTCAGCCCCACTGCTGCTAGCGCCAGCCCTAGAAGCCCCTCTAGAAGCATCTTCGCTAAGAGCCCTAGAAGCTCCTCTGGGAGCATCTTTGCTAAAAGCCCCAACGCCAAAAGCCCCGTTAAAAGCATCTTCGCTAAAAGCCCGAATGCCAGAAGCCCCGTTGAAAGCATGTTTGCTAGAAGCTCGTCCAACCCGCATGCCAAAAGCCCCTCGCTTCATAGCCCCACCGGAAAAAGCCCCTCTAGAAGCATCTTCGCTACAAGCAAATTCGCTAAGAGCCCTCGGCCGGTAAGCCCGCTGTGTGAACACCCGTTGCCTAAGAGTCTCAGCAGGAGCAAGAAACGAGAAACCTCTTTCAGCCCTGAAAGGGAGCACAAGGGCGAGCCTTCCTGGGCTTCTGAAAAGGAGAGGCCAGAAGCAAGAGAGGGGCCTGAGAGGGCAGGGCTGGGTGTTGAGAAGGGAGGTGGGGAAGAGCGGATGGGAAGTGGAGACGAGGGAGGGGGAGTTGGGGAGTGTGTGAAGGAGGGGGGATTGAGTGCTGCTGATGCTTCTAGGGCTGCTGCTGCTGCTGCTTCGACTGCTGCTGCTTCGGCTGCTGCTGCTGCGGCTGCGGCTGTTGCTGGGGAGAAGGCGGAAGAAGGGGGGAGCAAGGAGGGGGTGATGATGAGGATGATGCCACACACGCAAGAAGCTGATGTTGTGGTATCAGAGCGGTCGCAGGACGGGTATACAGAGCAGAAACAGATGGAGGAGCAGCAGGAGCAGAAGCAGCAGAAGGAGAAGGAGGAGGAGGAGCAGCAGCAGCAGAAACGGGCGGTAAGAGAGGCGGCCAGGCCACAAAGGGTGCGGAAAAAGCACATGGGCGAGGCGCTGGCAGCGCACACGCACCAGCTGCTGCTGCAGCAACAGGAACGTTTACAACAGCATGAGAGGCAGCAGACGCACCAGCTGCTGCAACAGGAACAGCAGCAAGAGAGGCAGCAGCAGGAGCAAGAGAGGCAGCACGAGCAGCAGGGGCAGCAGGGAAAATTGCAGGAGGGGCAAGGGAAGGAGCATGAGACACCACACATAACTTCAGGTGCGGATTTGGGTAGTGAGGTAGGAGCGAAACACAGGCAAGAGAGGGAGCAAGAGATGGAAAGGGAGGGAGCAGCAGCAGCAGGAACAGCGGCAGTAGCAGGGGGGGCAGCGGGAGCTGAGGGAGCGAGGCCTAGGAAATCGGCGTTGAAACGAATAGTGAGTGTAAAGAAAAGGACTGAGGAAGAGCCGAAGGTAGTGAAAGTGGTTGTGTTTGATGATGATATCCTTGCAAGCGTGGCAGCGGGAGGGGGAGGGGGAGGGGTGGAGGGAGGGCGAGGGGGAGAGGGAGGGGGAGGGGGGGAAGGAGAAGCAGGAAAGGAAGGTTCGGCGGAGGCACTTGCTAAAGTGGTGAAGGTGGCGGAATTTGAAGAGGGGGGAGAAGGCGAAGGGGAAGGAGGGGGACGAGGGGGAGAGGTTGGTGGTGGGGGAAAAGGAGAGGGTGGTTTGGAATTGCCTACAGTGGTAAAGGTGGTGGAATTCAATGAGGGGAAAGGGGAGGGAGGGGGAACCGGCGAGAATGATGTGGGGGGGGGCTTAACTGGGGGAGGTTCGGCTGGGGGAGGTTCGGCTGGGGGAGGTTCGGCTGGGGGAGGTTCGACTGGCATTGGCAGTGGTGCTGGTACTGCTGCTCCTGCCACCGGTTGGTTTGGCTGGGGTTGGCAGCAGCAGCAGCAGCAGCAGCAGCAGCAGCAGGAGGAGCAAAAACAGCAGCAGGAGCAGGAGCAAAAGCAAAAGCAACAGCAGCAACTACAGCAGCAGCAGACAGCAACAGAGGTTCCAGTCATAAGCAGCTGGTTTGGTTGGGGTAGCAACAGCGGCAACAGCAGCAACACCACCACCACTGCCGCTGCCAACGCTGCTACCAGCAGCAGCACCAACAGCACCCCCACCACCACCACCACAACCACTGCCACTACGGCTACCACCACCGAACCACACAAACCCTCCTCAGGGTCAGGAGGGGCTAGTATCCCACGTTTTACGCCATTATTACGGGTAGAATCCTTTCAGGATAGGGCAAAAAGGCAGAGGGAACTCTTTTTGCAGAAGTTGAAGAAGAAGGAGGGAAGTGCGGGGAAGGTGCAGGAAGGGGATGGGTTGGCGGGAGGAGGGGGTGTGGTAGCAGTTGGAAAGGGAGAGGGGGTGAAGGAGGAGGAGAAACGGGAGGAGGAAAAGGAGGAGAAAGAGAAGGAGGGGAAGGAAAACGATAGGGAGAAGGAGGAGAAGGTAGTGAGGATTCCAGGTTCAGTGGCAGCAGCAGGAGGAGAGGGAGAGGGAAAGGAGAAGGAAGCCGCAAGAGCAGGAGGGGAAGGGGAGGGAAGAGTGGGAGGAGGAGCAGGAGGAGGAGGAGCAGCAGCAGCAGCAGCAGAGGCAGAGGAAGGAGCAAGAGAGGGTGGAGAGGAGAAAGAACCGCTATCAGAGGAGGAAAAAGAGAGGATTGAGAGGGAGAGGATCGAGAAGGAGTTGGAAAGGGAGAGGATTGAGAGGGCTAAGAAGCAAAGGGAGCGATTCATGAAAGCCCTGGCGAATAAGAAGGCAGGAGGGGGGAAAGGTGGCAAGGCAGTAGCGGCAGGGAAAGGGGCGGCAGCACAGGGGGGATTCGCGGCACAGGGGGGGTTTGCCGCTGTAGCAGCCGCAGCAGCAGCAGCAGCAGCGGAAGCAGCGTCTGCTGCAGTGGCAGGGATTGCAGCTTCAGTGGTGGGTGCTGGGGGGGGAGGGGTGGGAGAGGCAGGTGGAGCAGCAGAGGGGATAGGCAGGCAGGGAGTGAAGCAGGCGGAGGGAGGGGTGGTGGGAGGGGAGAGGGGCGAGGGGCAACAGGAGGGACGGCAGGAAGGGGAGCAGGCTCAGCAGGGGCAGCTTGGAGGGAAGAAGAGTGAGGGAGGGGAGGATGACAAGGGAGGGGAGGAGGAGGGAGAGGTGCAGGAGGAGGGAGAGGGGCAGGAGGAGGGGCGGGAGGAGCGGTTTGCATGCGCGGTTGATAGGCTATCGGAGCAAGGCAACAGGTTCCTTCGTATGCTCGGCCGAACAGGGGGGGTGGGAGCGGGGTTGGGAGTGGGAGCGGGAGGAGCAGGAGGGGTTGGAGGAGAGAAAGCAGCTGCAGGAAGGGCAGCGGGGGGAGCTTCCTCAGAGGGTATGAGAGGGTTCAGGAGTGACATTGGCATTCCAGGTTCCTCTGCTGCTGCTGCTGCTGCTGCTGCTGCTACTGGTGCTGATGGCTCTAGTGCTGGTGCTAACAGCACTTCTGGTTGCACAGACGGTGCTAGAGCCGGTGCCAGTCCAAGCAAAGCCGCCCCTTCCCTTGCTTCAAACCTGCTCCTCAAGCGGTTACCACCGCGACAACGTAACCGCAGCCTAGACCTCAGCTTCAGCTCCCTCCCTCAACCAGGAACAGGCACAGCCGGTGCTGCTGCTGCTGGTGGTGGTGCTGCTGCCTTTTCGCAATCAAATACCATCGGCGGCGGCGGTGGTATTGGCGACTTGTCATTTGGAGCAGGGTCGGACTCTGCTGGCTCTTTCGTCACCATCTCTCTTTCCGGAAGCTCCAAGCGCGATTCCTTTGCTCGAGATTCTTTCTCGCGAGATTCCCTTTCTCGTGACTCCCTGTCTAGGGATGCACCCGGGTCCTCCTCACGAGAATTCGGCGGTTTCTTTTCCGGGCCTGCCTCCGGGCCGTTTCGCTCAAGCAGGCGCCGTTCTCTCAGTCGAGAGGATTTCTCCCCGGATCTAGCCGGTTCCCCAACCCTCTCCCCCCAACGATACGCATCTCCTGTTCACGAGCGCTTGACAGCAGCCGGGATTCTCAGCAACACTCCCCGAGGCTCTGGAGCTGGTTCGGCCGGTGGCGCTGGTGCCCGCTTCGGCAGGTTTGGCGAAGGCTCGAGCTCGCCGAACCTCACGCCCAGGTCTGGGAGGCCCCAGAGCCCCTTGACCGGACGAAGCAGCGTGGTAGCTGCGGCGTTGGGAGCAGCAGCAGGGGTGAAAAGCGGAAAGGGGGGGTTTTCTGGTTTCGCACTGTCCCCTTCCTTCTCTCCGTCGTATTCCTCCCCTCCTCCTCCTCCTCAGGCCACTCGTTCTTCTGTGTCTTTTGGGTCTTCGGGCATGATTGCAGCGGCAGCAGCAGCAGCAATGGCAGAGGCAGCGACTCGGGCAGGGCCGGGTGCAAAAGCAGGAGCAGGAGGAGGAGGAGGAGCACCGGCAGGAGGAGGAGTAGGGGTAGGAGCAGGAGCATGGGGGAGAGGAGGACATGGGAATGCAAAGAAGAAGTTTCACGTGCCTTTTTTTCGAGAGGACAGCGTAGCATGGCCGGAGGAGAAGAGGATTGGGCTCGTGGCTAAGGCTCTTGCTGCTGCTGGCGCCTCCCCTGCTGCTGCTGCTGCTGCTACTGCTCCTGCTGCGAATACGGAGGAGGAGGGTGGTGCAATGAGGAGTAAAGAGGGAAGCGAGGTGGATACCAATGCGGATACTGAGGAGCATACTAAGGAGTACACTAAGGAGGATAGTATGGTGGATAATAAGGAGGATACTATGGAGGTTATTAAAGAGGATATTGATGACCAGGAGCATAGTGAGCAGTATACTAAGGAGGATGATATGGAAGGTAGTTTGGAGCATGGTATGGAGGATATTAAGGAGGATATTGTGGACCGTGCTAAGGATACTAATGAGCCTACTACGCATGATAGTGAGGAGGATAGAAAGGAGGATACTATAGAGGGTATCGTGGAGAGTACTAAGAAAGATACTCAGGACACTGTCAAGGTGGATTTTGAAGCCGACTCTAAGGAGTATATGAAGGAGGATATTGCGGAGGGTAGGGAGGGTGAGGGCAGGGGGACAGAGGAGGATCAGAAGGAGAAGGAAAAGGAGGAGAAGGAGAGGGAAAAGGAGGAGGAGAGGGAAAAGGGGAAGGAGAGCAAGGAGAAAGAGAAGGAGAAGGAGAGGTCTGGGAAGGCGAGGAAGAGCCGAAGTGGGGACAAGGGCAGTGCAGGGGCAGCAGAGGTGGCGGAAACACCAAGGGGGGGTGAATGCAACGAGGGTGATACAGCTGGTGGCGTTGATGCGGGTGATGTGGCTGGTGGCGTTGATGAGGGCGGGGACAGCCTGTCTTTGCTGCGGGCCAAGACGGTGGGTGATGGGGGTGATGGGGGTGATGAGGGCAATGACAATCTGTCTTTTCTGCGGGCGAGGACAATGTCTTCGGTGGAAACACAGGGGGAGAAGGAGAAGAAGCACCGCGAGAAGAAGAAGGAGAAGGGGTCTTCAAAGCACCGCAAATCGCCGTCGGTTTCGGAGCTTGCTTTGAGCAGCGGCAGCGGTGGTGGGAGCAAGGAAGGCAGGGAAGACAGGGAAGGCAGGGAGGGCAAGGAGGGCAAGGAGGGTGTTGGCAGTGGAAGATTTAGGAGTGTTGGGAGTCCTGCTAGCAGCAGCACGAGCAGCCATGGGCATAGTAGCGTGAGTGGTGATATGGATGCTGCAGCTGCTGCAGCGGCGAAGGAGGCCAGGAGAGCTGCGAGGAAGCAGAAGAAGGCTGAACAGGCTGCTGCTGAGTCGGCAGCTGCTGCTGAGGCTGCTGCCGCTGGTGCTGGTGTTGGTGGTGCTGCAGCTGCTTGTGCTGCTGCTGGTGCTGTTGGTGCAGGAGAGGCAGGGGCAGCAGCAGGTGTGGAGGAGGGGCTTGAGAAGAGAAGGAAGGAGAAGGAGGGGAGTGGTGAGGAGAAGGAAGGGAAGGGGAAGGATGAAAAGGAGGAGAGAAAGAAGAAGGAGAAGAAAGAAAGGGAAGGAGAGGAAAAGGAAGGAAAGGAGAGGAAGAAAAGGGAGAAGGAAGGAAAGGAAGGAAAGGAGAAGGAAAGGAAGGAAGGAAGGGAAGGAAAGGAGAAAGAGGGAGTGGAGAGGAGTAAGTCTAAGAAAATATCGAGCATCGCGAGTTCGGATGAGACAATCCCGAAAGCTTCCGAAGGTGCACCTGGGGAAGGCTTATCTGGTGCAGGTGATGATGACTCTGTATCTGACGTGTCGAGTATGGGGGGAGGGAAGAGGAGCAAGGAGGAGAGGGAGGCGAGGCGGGAGGAGAGGAGGAGGAAGGAGAAGGAAAGGGAGAAGGAAAGGGAGTAGGAAAAGGGTCATAGGTCTAAGGAAATGTCGAGTGAACCAATCGCTGGGGAAGGTGATGGTGGTGGGAGTGTTTAACTGAAGAGTTTCCCTTGGAGCTTTGTTCCCAAATCTGCTTAGGATGTAGCTGACCAGGCAGTGCCTGCTGCAACAAATGCTTGTGGTGGTGCTGCCACAACTACTGCGGCTGCAGCTGCTGCAGCTGCTGCTGTTACCGAATACTGATGCTAACAGCTGCTGGAGCAGCAGCTGCTTGAGTCGTTGATTCTCACCTTGATGATCACATGAACTCGTAGCACAGTTTGAGTGAGAGCTAATTAGACTTTTTTCGAGAGCTCATTATAGGTATTCGGGGGTGGTGAAGGGCAACATGGGGATTCACGAGGGGGCTTAATGCAGTGAGTCTGCGTGTGACGACCCAGGAGACTGCCAATTAGCATTGTCCTCTTTGGCCGAAGAGGTGTTCTCTCCTTTTATTTCTTCCGTGGCTGGTTATGCTGTGCCGGTTACGTTATTAGATCTGCATTAGCTTTAACTGCTAAATTCTGTGCTTGATTCATTGTAGATGGTGTTCATTTACCAAACTTGGTGAAGGTGCTGTACTGTCATTTTGGAAAACCTTTGGGTGGGTGGCAGGGTGCTGGTCAGATGCTGCCTGTCTGCCAGGCGCGTAAGAAAAGTTCCCGCCACCCGAGCCTTGAATCTCAGCTTTGGCATGTGCCTGCTTGGGTGCTGTGCTAACCCGAACCAGAGTCCTCCCTCATCGCCTGGCCAAAAAGCAAGCTGGTTGGAGGCAGATCATAGTGTGTAACTGCCGAACCTCTGCGTGTGCCAAATCAAGCCTCATGCCATGGTTCAGTTTTGAGCTGTCATGCCTGAAACCTTTGGCCGCCTTGCGGTCCGCCCGAACGTAGTTAGCCGCCGAGCCTGATACCCTTGGGGCCTTCTCAAAGTCAGGCGAACTCAGGTCAGGGAAAGAGGTCAGGCATAAGGGTGCGTGTGTCGCCGTAATTTAGTCGCACGCGCTCACTTGCGTCACTTCTTCAACTGGGAGCGTCGTCTAGTCGTCGTAGTCAGCGTCGCACGTCGGATGACGACTGTTACCCATCATGACCATCCAATCATCCCAAACTGAAACCAGCTTCCAGGTTTCGTTCAGCTCGGCGGCGAGGTTCCCAATTGACCAATCACCGACCCACCATCTCCAGGCAACACAGCCCCGGACGAGAACAAAGCCCAAGGCATCATCTTCTTTTGGTGAGCCATAAAGCTTCCAACGTCTCTGCATTGTACCAAACCTATTTGGAACGATTGATACCAGACTTCAACCCGATTTGGCCAAAAGAAAATAGTATCTGTAACAGTTCCATCCATGTCTCTTCTTGAGCCATCCAGGGTAACTCCAGGGCTCATCCAGACATCCATAGCTTCCACATCCCCCATAGCCCTCCATTAATCCGCTGTCAGGCGGACAGAGGAGCAAGCTGGACCAAGCTAACCAACCAGCATTTCTGGTATGTGGAGGATGGAGCTAGCAGCAAGGTAAGCAGCATTCGTTTTCCTAGACCAGGAATTCTCCCTTATTGTCCACAATAAAAGCCGTCCCCTTTTTCACATGATTTTTTTTCTTTTTCATGTGTTTTTTTTTTTTTCCCTCCGTCAGGGAGCATTCATAGCCTGTGCGCGTAAGAACCACAATCCTTGTGTCAGAAACCAATCCTAGCCGTGTATGCCACGGCGCAGCGCATCGCGGCGGGTGAGCTGCGTGGAATGACGACGGGGGGCTTCTCTACCTGCAGCAGCTCGATCACCTTTCGCAGCAGCAGCAGCGGCCACCCGTTGCTGCTCCGCCACCAATCGCGGCGCTCCGTCTCGTCGTCTCCGTCCCGCCTTAGCGCGCCCGCGGGAGCGCGGCATCCGTCGAAATGGCGGAAACTGCTGTAAATGATCGGCCTGCTGCTGCTGCTGCTTCCGCGCCTGGTGCGACCGGGGCAGGAGCAGCGCAGGCAGCACCTCAGGGTGAGTATTTGCGAAATCTGCTAACTTCTACCAATTCTTCAGAATTTACCGTTCCATTTCAGTGATGTATTTAAGGCTTCGGATGGTTACCATTTTCCGCATACAGTCAGGACTCAGGAGGTTGCAGCCGGATATTTGCTCAAATTTTCCGAATGAATCGATGTCGAAAGGTCTCATCTTGTTGTGTCCAGTGCGGCCTCGTCACGCTCGCATTTTTTCGGGAGATGCGTCTTTTTCTGGTTTCCATTATCCATCCTGTCTCGCGCCTCGCAAATCATGGAGGCGTTAGATTAATTATTGATGCGCTTGAAATATGACCTTATCAAGCTCGCATTGTTTCCAGGTAGGCGTTTGTCTGTTTCTATGATCCAGGTTTTATCGCCTAGTTTACCCGTCGCCGCATGCAATGCCCTGCTGAAGACACTGCTGTCCTCCGTTACTGATTACGTTACCGTGCAAGCGAACGAGATTAGCCGATCTCTTGGTTTCGATGATACTGGTTACATCTCCCAAGAAGCATAATTTCCCTTATCCCTATTTCCTGTTCCGCGTCTCCTTTTCAGATGACCAATCGCAAGGCGGCTCCTTAAAGCCGTGCTTTCTCTCGAAGCTTCAGCAGAGCACGCCGAACTCACCGTCTCTCTCCTCCCCCACAACGCTCCCTGCCCTCAAGTCGCATGCCCCTCCCTTCTCACCAACCCCATCCTCCTCCTCCCCGCAAGTCCTCTCGTCGTCCCTCTCTTCCTCCGGCTCTTCCCCCCTCACGACCTCCTCCCGCGACTCTTTCTCCGCCACCCCCGGCAACTCCGCGCAGCTCGCCTCGTTCCACGGCCGCTCCCCCTCCCCCACGCCCCCGGACCCCTCGCGCATCTGCCTCAACCCCAACGCTGCGGCGTTCGTTCCGTGTTTTTCCGGCGCAGGCAGAAATGGCGGGAGCGACGGAAACCGCGGAACCGGCGCGGGCCCTGAAGTGGGTAGCGGAAGCGGGGAAGACGGCGGCGGCGGAGAAGCGGGAGTGGATGGTGTCTCCGCGGGAGGGAACATGTATGCGCAGGGGAAGGCGCACGGGGAGGGTTCCGCCGGTTCCGCCAGTCGTGGATTGACTGTAGAAGAAGCCAACTACGAAGGTTCCTCATTAGATAGAATTCCATCTAACACCTCGGTTTCATCTGACGACGAGTATCGTCGTTACGTTAGGGATCAGCTTCCAGACGAGCTTATTAGCTTCGACGAGCAGGACACTCCGAACCTCAACGGCAGCCTTCTCCCGCCGGACCTAGACGGGCTAGGCTCGGCAGAATCCGAACATGGAGGCGGCAGGTCCGGGCCTGGGGGTGGACCTCGACCCGGCGCCGAGCGCGGGGCGGCGGGGGAGTTTATGGTTCATAGTAAAGTGGGCTTGCGGGGAAGCGGGGAGGGGCGAGGCTGGAATCTGGACGCGCGGAGTTACTTGGCGGAGCTTCCCCCCGACCATCCCTTGCACCACACCTCCCCGCATCAGCACCATCTCCCCCCGCACCTGCGCCAAGACCCCGGTAGCGCTTCCGCCAGCCCCATGTCCCACGCGCGGCATTCCCTTGGCGGGCCTCCCGCTTTCTCCGAGCACGAGTTTGGGGCCGGCTCCCCCGCGTCGTTTCTGCGGAACCCTCCGCCGTCCAGCCCCGCCGCGGCTGCGCTTCTTGCGCGACTGGACCTTGGTGGGGGCGGGGGTGGCGGAGCAGGCGGAGGACCGCTTCCGCCCACTGCGCAACAGCTTGCGGAGCTGCTAGACGGTCCTCCGCCTGGCCTTGGGGGCCTTCCCGCTGGCTCAGGGTACCCTTTTGATAACTACCCTCGCCCGCATTTTGAGCACTTTGGGGGAGGCAACCACCCGCGCCCGCCCAACTCCCTCCCCGCTTCCCCCGCCCCCGCTGGTGCGCACCGCTTCAGTCCCGCTCTCCGCGGCAGCCCGCTCCATTTCTCCCCCGCCCGCCACGGCCCGCCGCCTCCGCCGCATCACATGCTTCCGCCGACACAGCTGCTGGGCGGAAGAGGCGGAACAGGGGAAGGAGGGTGGGGGCTTCCGCCGGGGATTACGGAGTCGTCAAGGCGCGGGCAATTTGGACCGCCGTTAGATGGACCAGGGAGAATGGACGGCAGGATGGATAGCCGGATGGACGGCAGGATGGAAGGGAGGGTGGACGGTCGGATGGATGGCCGGATGGACGGCCGGATGGACGGCAGGATGGACAACAGGATGGACGGCCGGATGGACGGCAGGATGTACAACAGGATGGACGGCCGGATGGACGGCAGGATGGACAACAGGATGGACGGCAGGATGGACGGCAGGATGGACGGCAGGGGAGATGGTCCAACCATGGGCCCCCCTGGTAGCCCTATGCCCGGGCCTGGGGGACCTCCTCCCCCTAACGCGCTTTACCAAGGCCCCGCGGGAAGAGGCGGGCGCGGAGGCGGACCATTAGGCCCCGGAGGGATGGGCGGTCCTGGCGGGCCTGGCGGAAGATTTGCGCCTGGTCCGCCGTTCAGCCCGGAAGTAGGCCCGCGCCTGGGCTCCCCGCCGCCCCCCCACATGAACCCCACCAGGGGCGCGGGGGGCGGAGGCGGAGCTGGGAATATGGGTCCCCCAGGCCCCTCTAACAGCTTTTCCCCTTCTAGATCCCCGCACCCGCGATACTCCAGGCCGGGTCCGAGGCGGGGAGCGGGAGAAGAGCCGCCGTCGCCACTTAATCAAGGTATAGGCAGTCTAGACCACCGTAGTCCGATGGGCGTGGGCAGGGGGGGAGGGCATTTGCGCCACCCGCAGCAAAACCGGCGGAACAGCTTGGATCAGCGCAGCCCCATGCACCCGCTGCGGGACCCGCACCAGCAGGGGAGGAGAGCGGGGCCGGGGGGAAGAGGGGGAGGCGGCGGGGGAGGAGGAGGGGGACCAGGCGGAGGAGGAGGCGGAGGGGGAGGAAACGGGGAGGGCGGCGGCGGAGGGATGCCCCCGGGAGCGGGAGACAACGGCGGGCACTTTCCGCCGCCGTTTGAGCTTCCCCCAGGGCCGGCGGCGCGGATGCTGGATAGAAGGTTCCGCGGACCTTCCGCGGGGTGGAACCCTGGTCCGCTTGACGAGGTAGAGGAGGGTCCCCCTGGCGCGGGGGGCCCAGGCGCGGAGTACAACGCGCATGGGGGGTTTCCGCTTCATGATCCCCCTCCCCCGCCGCCTCCCCATGGCCTCCCCCCGCACGAGCTGGGGGGGTTCTACTTAGACGACGGGATGCCCCCGCCCCCGCCCCCCCATCATCTCCCCCCGCACCATGCGCGCGCGCATCCCCCAGGGCCTCCGCACGGGCACGCGCCTTCCCCCGGGGGGCATCTGCGCGGAGGGGGTCCGCCCCCGCACCACGGGATGGACGATCCGATTCTGGTGCTGGCGGCAGAATTTCCGGATTTCTCGATGCAGAGCTTGGCGGACGCGTTTTTCGCGCATGGGGCGGACCTAGGCGCGACTATTGAGGCGCTGTGGCAGCTGCAGGTGCGCGGAAGGCGGTTGGGCACGGGGGAAATCGGGGGCCAGGGTAGGTGGTGTGTGGGGAATGGGGGAATGAAGGACTGAAGGGTTAACTGGAATGCCTGGGCCAACGCTTTCGACTAACCTGTGTTTCCTGCTTCCTTGCCTCCTTCCCTCTCTTCCTCCTTCCCGCCTTGCCTCCCTTGCCCCCACTGCGCAGCAATACCAAGAGGACGGGGACCCCTCACTACACTCCGGCCCTCCGCGCTCGTCCCAACGCTCCCCCCCTCTCGGCTCCCTTTCGAACTTCGCCTCGCCTCCCCCTCCCCATCACTACTCCTCTGCTGCTGCTGCCGCCGCCGCCGCCGCTGGTAGGGCGGTTGCTGCTGCTCATTCCGCCTCCTCCTCCCACCCTCACCGTTTCAGCGCCCACATAGGGAATTCCCCTGGGGGTCCTGGGGGAATAGGTGATTCGGATGGAGGTCCGGACGGTGGTCTGGACCCGAGCCTCCTCTCCCGCTCCATGCCGAACCTGAAACCGTTTGGCTCAGCCGGGCCTGAAGCTCCGGGGCTGGATGAAATGCAGTGGTGGGTTCGGCAGCAGCAGGGGGAGCAGGGGGGGGAGAAGCAGGGGTTTCAAGGCAACAGCGACGCATATGCGAGCTTGTATGGCGCTGGTGGTGCTGGTGGTGTGGGTTCAGTGTGGGATATGAGTCCGTGCAAGCCAGGGGGTTTTGAGCGAAGGCGAGGGGAATTTGAGGAGAAGCAGCAGCAGCAGCAGAATTTGCTTCGTGGGGAGGAGATGTTTAAGTTTGAAAGGACGGGTGAGTTGGGGATTGAGGCCGCATGAAGCCGAGTTTGCATTCCTCGTTCTAACATGCCGAGGTTTTGTTCCTCGTTCTAACATGCCGAGTTTTCATTTCTTGTTCTAACATGCCGAGTAGCGATGGCTTGCAGTGATGTTTCTCTGCTCGAGTGCCCACCAAAACATTCGTCCTGGTGGCCTTTCTCTGGGTGTATGGCATGCTATGGGTGCTTGGTTGCATAGCAGGTCTAGACATGGTGGGTTCGAAGGAGGGTCAACATCCCCTCTCCCATACTCTCCCTGCCCGCACAGCCTCCCAGCCCTGCAACAAGGTAGATACATGATTGGTATGGGTGCGTGGGTGCATGGGCGCATCGGTGCGTGGGCGCATGGGCGCATGGGCGCATGGGCGCATGGGTGCATGGGGGCATGGGCGCATCGGTGCGTGGGCGCATGGGTGCATGGGTGCATGGGTGCATGGGCGCATGGGTGCATGGGTGCATAGCATGGGTGCACAGGTGCATGGGTGCGTGCATGGGCGCACAGGTGCATGGGGGCATGGCATGGGCGCATGGGTGATAGTGAATTGCCAGTGAAGGCCCCCTGCCTGGTCCATTCCGTATCCCTTTCCCATTCCTTCCTTTTCCCATTCCCTTTCCTTCCCTTTCCCATTCCCTCTTGCTCTCACCTCTTTCTTTGACCCTGCCTGGTTCATTCCCATTCCCATTCCTTCCCTTTCTTATTCCGTATATCCGTGCTCCACCAGTGGGCCCCTGACGCCAACACCAACCCCGATCCACCGTCAGGCTTCAACCCCCGGAGGAGCCTTGATGGCAAGGCCCTCGCATACAGCATCAGCATTCCTTATCCATTTTCCAATCCCTTTCCCGCCTCTCACTCCTGCCTGCGTTTCCCTGCTCCACCAGTGGGCCCCTGATGCCAACACCAACCCCGATCCACCGTCAAGCTTCAACCCCAGGAGGAGCCTTGACGTTGACGCGCTCGCATATGGCATCAGGTGCGTGCTCTCTTGAAAGGAAGGCTGTCTTGAAAGGAGGGCTGTCTTGAAAGGGGGCATGCTTGCACGGATGGCATCAGGTGTGTTCTTCCTTGAAAAGAGGCCCTGTAAGCTGAACCATGGGTTTCATATGGCCCTATTTGTAGCACCTTTTACCCCCCCACCTCACCTCCCCTCCCCGTTTCTGTTCTGCTTCCAGCTCCTCTCCTGTCCTTCGCTGTAAATGCGCACTTCATGTCTTTTGGTGCCTCATGTTTTGTTTAACGCCTTGTTTCCTTAGTGTGTGTCCTGTTTTGTTTCTTCCTGGGTTTCTCGCTTGTTTTCCCTGTTGCTCATTGCAGGGAACTTCCCTCCGGCTCGCTCTCGTCTGGGACTGCCGAAACTGGCAGCTTTGGCAGCAGTAGCTTCGGCACGATCAGCATTGGCGAGTTCAACAGCAGCCGCAGCAGCAGCAGCATCAGCAACGGGTTCAGCAACAGCAGCGTGAGCATGAGCAGTGCAAGCAACAACGGCGGGGGCAACAACACCGCTGATGGCAACACAAACGGCGGCGGCAGCAACGGCGGCAGCGGTGGTATGGCCAGCGGCGGCAGTGGTATTGGCAGCGGAATGGGCAGCAACAGCAGCAGTGCTGCCCGCATGCTGACATTTGACACCCCAGACGCGTCTCTAGCCCAAGGGGGCCGTCTTTCTGCCTCTCCCGCTCCTGCTCCTGCTCCTGCTTCTGCTCCTCCCGGTGCTCCTCCTCCTGCTCCTGCTTCCCCCGCTCCTACGTCTGCCCCTCCCCCTCAGCCCAGCATGCAAAATGACCCGGCGCGGGTGTTGGAGCTGAGGGGCATGCACGTTTCCAACGCCGTGTGCCTGCTGCAGCAGGAGGTGTCTGCCCTGCGGTTTGCTGCTCAACGTATGAAGTCAAGGCAGCAGGTAAGAGTGCACTGTACATGTGTTGCCAGCTGCAGCAGGTATAGGGTCACTCACGTGTTGGAGCTGAGGGGCATGCACGTGTCCAACGCCGTGTGCCTGCTGCAGCAGGAGGTGGCTTCTCTGCGGTTTGCCGCTCAGCGCACCAAGTCCCGCCAGCAGGTACGCAATCTCTATTATCTCATCAATGCATACACCTTGCGCTCCTGCACCCTCTCGTCCTCCCCCGTCTCCATCCCTCGCATCTAGCCACCCCTGCCAGCTCTATGTGTGTGTGCGATCGGGGTGACTTTTGAGTCGACTCAGAAGTCACCATCCCTCGCATCTAGCCACCCCTGCCAGCTCTATGTGCGTGTGCGATCAGGTCTCTACACCAGCGACAAGGCGATTTAACACCACCCAGCAGCGGTGGAGCAGTATCATACAGAACAACTCCATACCTCCCCCATCTTCCCTGCCTTGTGCTGCCTTTTCTTTCCCCCGTCCAGCGCTACGTGCGTGTGGGGTCAGGGCTCTACACTAGCGATCGCGCCCTGCAGCACATGCCAGCAGTGGTGGAGCAGTATCTGTGGATTTCCATTCCATGTATCCCCATGCATCTCCCCTGAGATTTTACTGCCCATACCCCTCCCTTACCACCTTTCCTGCCTCGCCTTGTGCCAGCTCTACGTGCGAGTGGGATCGGGTCTCTACACCAGTGATCGCGCCCTGCAGCACATGCCAGCCAGAAGTGGTGGAGCAGAGCGGTGGAATGCCATTTCCATACCTTCCTGTCTTCCCCACTTGTGCTGCCTCCCGCGTCCCTGTCAGCTCTACGTGCGAGTGGGATCGGGTCTCTACACCAGTGATCGCGCCCTGCAGCACATGCCAGCCAGAAGTGGTGGAGCAGAGCGGTGGAATGCCATTTCCATACCTTCCTGTCTTCCCCCCTCGTGCTGCCTCCCGCGTCCCTGTCAGCTCTACGTGCGAGTGGGATCGGGTCTCTACACCAGTGATCGCGCCCTGCAGCACATGCCAGCCAGCAGTGGTGGAGCAGAGCGGTGGAATGCCATTTCCATACCTTCCTGTCTTCCCCCCTCGTGCTGCCTCCCGCGTCCCTGTCAGCTCTACGTGCGAGTGGGATCGGGTCTCTACACCAGTGATCGCGCCCTGCAGCACATGCCAGCCAGCAGTGGTGGAGCAGAGCGGTGGAATGCCATTTCCATACCTTCCTGTCTTCCCCACTTGTGCTGCCTCCCGCGTCCCTGTCAGCTCTACGTGCGAGTGGGGTCGGGCCTCTACACCAGTGACCGTGCGCTGCAGCACATGCCAGCAGTGGTGGAGCAGTATTTGGTGGACCAGGAGGGGCTTCACGTGCTGGAGCCGCAGCCAGGGCTACTCAGAGTGTTCATGTGAGTCATAGTCTGGTACAGTGCGGTGCCATGCGGTGGTGGTTGGTGTGGGTGGGTGGGTGGGGATACCTGTGTCAGTCTTGGGGGGGGGGGGGCAGCACATGCCAGCAGTGGTGGAGCTGTATTTGGTGGACCAGGAGGGGCTTCACGTGCTGGAGCCGCAGCCAGGCCTTTTAAGAGTGTTCATGTGAGTTCCGTGCGGTTCAATGTGGTGCGGTGCAGTGCAGTGGTTTACGGTGGTGTGTGGTATGGGTGGAGATATCTATCTCTGTGTGGGGGGTGCAGCACATGCCAGCAGTGGTGGAGCAGTCTTTGGTGGACCAGGAGGGGCCTCACGTGCTGGAGCCGCAGCCAGGCCTTTTGAGGGTGTTCATGTGAGTTCTGTGCGGTGCAATGAGGTTTAGTGTGGTCCAGTGTGGTGGAGTGTGGTATGAGTGGGGATATCTGTGGTGCTTGTGCACTTCAGCACATGCCAGCAGTGGTGGACCAGGAGGGCCTTCGTGTCCTGGAGCTGCAGCCAGGCCTTTTGAAGGTGTTCATGTGAGTTTTTGTGCGGTTTGATGCGGTGGGGCGGGGTATGTGTCCGTCTGACTTGCTGTGCCCGTCCATGCCATATCCCACTGCTGCTACAGGCATAACAAGGCTTATGCTTCCCCCCCTCCTCCCCTGCATCTGCCCCCACCGCCTGCCCCGCCCCATTCTCCCACAGCCCATCTGTGCCGTAGCCCACTGCTGCATGTGAGGAAAGAGGAGGGGAGGGGAAGGGAGGGGAGGGGAAGGGAGGGGAGGGGAAGGGAGGGGACGGGAGAGGAGAGGAATGGAGCACCTTTACTCAGTCAGTCTGCAAGGAGGCATGATGCTTGCTCTGCTAACTTCTAATGCCCATGAATCGCCACAGCTTCAACCAACAACCACCACCAGCAGCAGCACAGCAGCAGTTGCTGTCCAACTCATTGATACCGCCAACCAACCAACCGCAGCCTGACACGTGGACAGCGCAAGAGCTGCCCCACCAACCAACCAACCACAGCTGCGGTCAAGCTAACACCTACCCCTTTTTTACCAACGCCTCAAAACCCGACGTCCTGAGTCCTCGCCACTGGCTCAGAATGGGTCTTTCCATGGCTTACGTGGTCACTGCTCTTACCGAGGTGACTTTTGAGTTGAGTTGACTCCAAAGTCACCTTCCCAGTGGCTCAGAAAGGGTCTCCACCAGCTGCTTTTACAGCCCCAATGTCTTCCTAACACCTACCTCCTAACATAGAGAGCAAGCCATGTCTCCACCTGCTGCTTACAGGGTGACTCTGACTGAACCTCCTTTTTACTCTCTGGTCCTGAGGCACTGTATTTCCAGCTTTGCCTGATGCGTTTCAGCTTTCAACTTCAGAGTTTTGAGGTGTCAACAACTTAATCCTGCTGCTTACAAGGTGACGCTGATGCTGAACCGCTGGGGTTTCAACTGCTGTCTCTGGCTCTGAGTTTCAACTTCTGAACCGTTCGGTTTCGACTTCTGAAGCAGTAGGGGGTTTCAACTTGCAGCCTCCAATGGCAGCAGCAGACATTGGGTGACAGCGCGGCTAAGAGGGCTTGCCACTTGGTGTGAGGTGCTGACTGCTCGCTTCTATGCAACCGGCTGCTAACACCTGATGCAGCGAATCTAGACGTAAGGCAACGCCAGCAGCAGCAGCAACAACGCCAGCAGCAGTAACAGCAGCAGCAGCCGCCTGGTATTCTCTCCGTATTGCTCTTGTTCAGATTCGATTTGGTTTTTATTTGGTTCATGCTTCCTGCTTGTTTGGTTCTCTATTTTCGTGATATTTTAAACAGTTCAGGTTCGTTACTGCTTTATTCGCATCTGTAGCTTTAGACTGCTATGCTTGCCATATTCTATGTGATTGTTTACTGTAGTGTAGTGTAGGTATGCTTGCACTGTAGTAGGACATATTACAGTAAGGTGTTTTAATGTAGTACTTTTACCATATGTCTCTCTTTACTGCATATTGCATCCTTCGTTTTATCCAGGCTTGTTATACAGTACCTCCTGTTACCAGATGTACTGTATCAAGCAGGTTTCAGGGGTCTTAATTGACCCTGATCCCTAGGTTGTTCCCCCTTTCCCGGGGTTTTGCTTTGTCTGGGTAGCGCCGGCGCTGCAATCGAGTACGGTACATTCCCTCCCGCACATACCATACCTACGACACAAATTCCTATCTATAAAGGCAACCCAGGAGGAATACGCCAAGCCATTTGAAGGAATACTATGTGCCGGTACCGTACTCTGATCTCGTCACAGGCAAAAGATGTACCGTATCATTTGCCTGCCTTCTCTTGCGGTTCCAGCCGGTTGTGGAACTGAGATGAGAACCAAAGGTTGCTCCTACCCGAGTGGGTCATTGTAAACACTGTCACATCAGATTTCTTAATCCCTTCTTTATTGCCAGGAAACTGTGCCAGAGCCACAATTGGAGGACAATGCTATATACAAATGGCATGACCCACACCACACACCCCGTAACATTCATGGTTTGGAGGAACAATTGGCCAAGGTCCAACCGATCCTTGCGTTCTCGTTATCATACACCATAAGATAACCCCGCATTACAATATCTGTAGCACATTGATGGAACCAAGGGAAAGGGGGATAAAAAAAAAGGCAGTCGTTACGATGAACTAGCAGGCAAGACTGCCACGACAGAACAGACGAGAGGTTGCGAAAGCATTTTTGCATAAGAGAAGGAAAGATGAAACCACATCGACAATGGGTACCAAAGAGGGGCACCTTAAAGGGTATTCGTACACCCCATAGCGGTGCTTAAAGCACCAGCATAACTTCTCGCCTAAAGAATACCGTAGCTGACTTCTGAGACGTCCCAAAAAGGGCCTGAAGCGCAAGCATAGTTTCTCGCCTCACTTTTGAGACGTCTCAAAAGTCGTCCAAAAAGGGCCTAAAGCGCTAGCATATATTCTCGCCTCAGAAACAGCTTGGCAAGATGCTGAATCCTTGACTGCGTTTCTTGACATGGTGTGGAGTGGATAACCGAGTTGACTTTGAGTCGACTCAAAAGTCGACTCAAACATCGACTCGTTTTTTTACATGGTGTGGAGTGGACTAAAGTGGAAAATGCCGTGCCTCCAGTAATGGTCCGGTGAACCATACGAGTAATCGTACCTCCGACAGTGGTCCGGTCTGGCACGCATTACCGTACCTCGGATGCTGGTCCGGCTTAACCTTGCATTACCATACCTCCAATGATGGTTCGGGGAGCGCCTTCCAATGCGATTGACTCCTCTCCATTCAGAATTCCAAGGCACACTGTGCCATGCCTCTGTGGCACATTAGGGGTGAGGGGGGTGGGAAGACAGGGGAGAGGGGTGGAGGAAGAGAGGCGAAGAGACGGGAAGAGAATCTAACACAAAATTTCCGTCTCCCATCTTAATTTCCAAGAGAACTGCTCAAACAAGGTGGCATGACTGTTGCTTACCCCCAAAACCCCCCTTTCATTTCTCAGCGGTGAGAGGAGGTACATAAAAGAGCAACGGAAAAATCAATTGACGAGGAGAAGATTGAATGCGAGTCAAAAGAGAAGGTGATTGGAGAGAAATGAGAAGCAATTCTTAACCAACCACCACCTTACCAAGCACCGACTCACCCACCCAGCCGCTTATCAGCCCCCACTGTCATTGTCACAGTAACTCCATCACTAACCGGTGTAATGAGTCGTGTTTTGAGTTTTGAGTCGACTCAAAACACGACTCACCCACCCAACCCTTTATCAGCCGCCACTGTCATTGTCACAGTAACTCCATCACTAACCGGTGAGAGGAGGTACACTGGGTCGTGTTTTGAGTTTTGAGTCGACTCAAAAGTAACCTCGAAGGTACACTGAAGGGGAAACGGAGAGATGAGCTGACGAGGAGAAGATTGAATGCAAGTCAAAGGGGAAGGTGAGCGGAGAGAAGTGAGACGCCACGTGATTATCTCTTACCCACGAACCACCACCCTACCAACCACCTTTGTTTCACCACTCACCGGTGAGTGCAGGTACGTGGAAGGGGCGACGGAGAGATCAGCCGAGGAGGAGAGGACGGAGTGTGAATCAACGGAGAAGGTGAGGGGCAGAGAAGTGAGACGCCACGTGAGCCTCTCCCACCCACCCACCACCTTAGTTTTGAGGCGCCTCAAAACTAGATTTTTTTAGGCACCTCAAAACTAGATGCCACGTGAGCCTCTCTCACCCACCCACCACCTTACTAACAACCATGTTACCCACCATTGTGACAGGAACTTACCGGTGAGATGAGGTAAGTGGAAGGAGCGACGGAGAGATCAGACGACGAGGAGAAGATGGAATGTGAGCCAAAGGAGAAGATGAGGACAGAGAAACGCGATGCCACGTCAGCGACAGAACTGAGAGGAGGACATGGAGGGATGGGGTTGTACGGGAATGCATGGGGATGGCAGAGCAGGAGAAAGGGGTATGGTGAGGGGGGTATGGTGAGGGGGGCATTGTGAGGGGGGTATGGTGAGAGATGTGGGGGAAAGGGCAGCAGATACGCAAACACAAAGTCTGTACTTCACGTGAAAGAGGGATACAGCACAGACGCGTCCCCAAAGAGTTGAGAATCAATACATGGGCAAGGCACGGAGCAGGAGGAAGCACGCGAGGAGACGCACACATATCCTATACGTGCGTCTCCTCGCGTGCGATGAGGCGATTTTTTAGTCGACTCAAAAATCGCGTGCCTCCTCCTGCTCCACGCCTTGCCCATGTTGCTCGCACCTGATCTCTGCACCTCCTTTCCCCGCGCGCCAGCAGTGGGGTAGCACAGTCACGGTGGTGTCTGCCTGCAGGCCTGCTGCTGCTGCATCGGCTGCTACCTGGGAGGAGAGGGGTAGGAGAAGGGTAAGAGAGGGGAAACTGAGGGCTATCACAGGTAGATTGATGAAATGCGTCATTGCACCCATACGCCAGCAGTGGGGCAAACACAGTCGTGCTGGTGTCTGCCTGTATGCCTGCTGCTGCATCGGGTGCTACCTGGGAGGAGAAGAGGGAGAGGGGAGGATCCAAGGGAAATGACAAGGCAGCAGGACAGGGCATGACTCAGTGAGTGTCCTCCCTTTCTCAGTGACTGTCCCCCCTTTCTCAGTGACTGTCCCCCCTTTCTCAGTGACTGTCCCCCCTTTCTCCACACGCCCACCCGCCAGCCGTGGGGTAACACAGTCGTGCTGGTGTCTGCCTGCATGCCTGCTTCTGCGGCTGCGTCAATTGATACCTGAAAGGGACGAGAGAGGGGCTAGAGAGGGGCGAGAGAGGGGCGAGAGAGGGGCTGGAGAGGGGCAAGAGAGGGGCGAGAGAGGGGCGAGAGAGGGGCGAGAGAGGGGCGAGAGAGGGGCGAGAGAGGGGCGAGAGAGGGGCGAGAGAGGGGCGAGAGAGGGGCGAGAGAGGGGCGAGAGAGGGGCGAGAGAGGGGCGAGAGAGGGGCGAGAGAGGGGCGAGAGAGGGGCGAGAGAGGGGCGAGAGAGGGTAAAAAGAGCAACAAAGGATTCACCAGTGGCCCTTGCAATACCCGCCCACCAGCAGTGGGGTAGCACAGCCATGGTGGTGTCTGGCTGCATGCCTGCTTCTTCTGGTGTTACTTTTGAGAATTCTCAAAAGTAACACCAATGTAGCACAGCCGCGGTGGTATCTGGCTGCATGCCTGCTTCTGCTGAGTGTGCTGCTACCTGGGAATAGGGTACGAGAGGGGCAAAAAGCGGCACCTGAAGCGTCGCGATCACTCACGAGTTTCCACAAACCACCACCATTTTTAGCAACACCCCAGAGGGAGCAGCAGACAAGTAGGCAAACGAACAGACATCCATCAATCACCAGCCTCTCTTTCAAATGCATCTGAGGACTCTCACTCACTCACCATCTTTAGAAGTGCCTCAAAGCAAGCAGCAACGCGATGACAAATTTGTTCAGAGATGTCTCAAAACAAATGCATCTGAGGACTCTCACTCAACATCTTTACCAGCGCCTCAAAGCAAGCAGCAGCAGGCAGGCATGCCAACAGACGCGCATCACCTGCTTTTCTTCCAAATGCATCTAAGGACTCTCACTCACCATCTCTAATACCTTACCCACCAGCTTTACAAATGCGTTAAATGGCGCAGCCGGCAGGTAAGCGAACGACGACCCAGAGTCAAAAACAGCAGCCGGTAAGAAATTGGTAGTAATCTCACACTCCTCCCATATATCTCCAAAATCACACTCACCATGTAGTGAGTCGATTTTTGAGTCGACTCAAAAATCGACTCACTACACGCACATTCCTCCCATATATCTCCAAAATCACACTCACCATCTGTAGCAGAGCATCAAATCACACCCACCATCTGTAGCAGAGCCTCAAATCACACCCACCATCTGTAGCAGAGCCTCAAATCACACCCACCATCTGTAGCAGAGCCTCAAATCACACCCACCATCTGTAGCAGAGCCTCAAATGGCGCAGCCGGCAGGTACGCGAACGACGACCCAGAGTCAAAAATCGCCCCTCCGCTTTCCACTCCGCCATCCTCGTTATAAGCAGATGCAGACGCCGTGGTCTTATCGTGGAACGCCTTGAGATTGTCGATGGGAAGCTTCTTGGAACCATAGGACATGCGGAGGAGTGATGCGTGGTAGTAGCGGCTGGGATGGGTGAGGATGGGTGAGAGGGGATGGGGAAAAGGAGAGACGGGGATGACTTCCGAAGATAAAATAAAACCATGACTCCCTCGAATGGTCCCTCACTCACACACTCACTCACTCACTCACTCCCTCACTCACTCACTCACACCCTCACTCACACACTCCCGTACCCACTCACGCTTCACTTGTGGCAGCACGGGGGTCCAGGTGAGAGCGCTGGGTAGGTTCGCTTCCCCAATGAAGAAGTAACCTCCCCCAGATGCACCCGAATCCCAAGGGAGGTGAAAATGCACCATACCAGCATTGGCCAATGGGGTATCATACTCACGAGTCACTCATTGCTGCACGGGGCGTCCACGTGAGGGTGCTGGGTAAAAGCGCTTCCCTTCCCCGATGAAGAAGTAACCTCCCCCAGATGCTGCCTATGTCTCAGGGGAGGTGAGGCACCATACCAGCCTTTCATCTCCCACCACTCACGAGTCAGTCAATGCAGCACGGGGGGTCCACGTGAGGGTGCTGGGTAAGAGCGCTTCCCCAATGGAGAAGGGAGGTGAGGTAGCACACGAGAGCTAGAGCTACTCACTCACCCACTCAACAACTCACGAGTCAGTCAATGCAGCACGGGGTGTCCACGTGAGGGCCCTGGGTAAGCGCGCTTCTCCAATGAGGAAGGGAGGTGAGGTAGCACATCAGAGCTAGAGCTATTCAACTCCCACTCATAAACTCACGAGTCACTTAATGCAGCACAGGGTGTCCAGGTGAGGGTGCTGGGTAAGAGAGCCTACAAATGACGAAGGGAGGTGAGGTAGCACATCAGAGCCAGTGTTTTCATCACAAACTCACTGCAATATTGAGGTGATTTTCGAGGCGCCTAAAAAATCACTTGCTGTAGCACGGGGCGTCCAGGTGAGAGCCTTGGGTGAGGGTGCGTCTCAAATAAAGAAGTAACCTCCCCCAGATGCTGCCATTGTAACAAGGTGACTCTTGAGTTGACTCAGAAGTCGCCTTGGGTGAGGGTGCGAGTCCCCAATGAAGAAGTAACAACCTCCCCCAGATGCTGCCTATTTCCAAAGGGAATTGAGGCGTGGTACCTGAGCTAGAGGTAAAGCCCACGAGGTAGGAGCTAGAGCACTGGGTAAGAGTGCTTCACTCACGAGTCACTTAATGCAGCACGGGGGGTCCACGTGAGGGTGCTGGATAAGCGCGCTTCCCTTCCCCAATGAAGAAGTAGCCTCCTCATAAACCCTTAAAAAGCGAAAGAACCAACCTTGTACCTCTCCTCTCACACTCACGTGTCACTCATTGCAGCACGGGGGGTCCACGTGAGGGTGCTGGATAAGAGCGCTTCCCTTCCCCAATGAAGAAGTATTCTCCCCCAGATGCTTCCTCTTTCTATAGGAGGCGTGGTACGGTACCATACCAGAACTTGAGCCCTGGGTAAAAGTGCTTCACTCACGTGTCGCTTGTTGCGGCGCGGGGGGTCCAAGTGAGGGTGCTGGGTAAAAGCGCCTCCCCAATGAAGAAGTAACCTCCCCCAGATGCTGCCGAATCGAGACAGTGGCCAAACACGTTGCGCCCCGCCCCTGCTCTGGACAGCTGCTAGTCTTGAGGGGAGGGGGGAGGGAGGGGCAGGAAAGGGGGGGACGAGGGGAGGAGGAAAGGAGGGGGAGAATATGGGGAGGGGAAAAGGAGGAAACAGCACCAAACACTGGTAAACCTGATTAGAGTTGACCAGCATTGACCAGCATTGACCAGCATTGACCAGCATTGACCGGGGTAGGGGAACCCTCAGTGGCAAGAAGGGGGCACCTGGGCAGGGAGCGAGAGGTTGGAAGGGCCGAGACCCAGCACCCCATCGGAGCGAGCAGGAGAGACTGCAAGGTCCCCCTCCTGGTCGTAGGCACAGCTGGTTGTGGGGGCAGAATGGGACGGGTGGAGCAAGGCGGAATGGGAAATGGCTGGTTGTAATTGGAAAGGAGGATGAGAAAAAGCTCCTTCCTGGTCGTACAACCAGAAAAGTGACAAAATATAGCAGAACCATACGCTGCTTATAACTATGTTATATAATCTCACCCGAATGTGAACTGCGCGGCCTTGAGTGTGCCCGAGGGGTGCAGGAACAGTAACCTATCCGTTACAAGCACACCCTGGGAGCTGCTTCCGTCAGCGTACACTATGTCATAGTCACACTGCCCGCTGCTGCTGCTTTCACCCTCGTTATTGTCACCCTGGTTACTGTCCCCAGCACCACCAGCAGCAGCAGCAGCTGCTGCAACGCTGCTGGTACCGTTTGTAACCCCTCTGGACGCCTCTTGTAGATGCCGTGGCTTGGTATGAACCCCCTCTCCGACCCGTCCCGCATCCGCAGCTTCGGCACCCTCCGAGCCTGAATGGGTGTCTTCCGAGCCTGAGGAGCAGCCTCGGATGAAGCCTGTCTGTGCGGCTTGGCAGAGGTCGGAATGGCAGTCCACCAGAGAGGCATGGGAGGGGTCGTACCATGGGTTGGGACCCTGAGATGGGAGAAGGGGAGGAATGAAAGCAAGAACAACACGAGGAGCAATCCGGGGGTATATTGAGATTACTCAACGATTTTCGAGAATTCTCAAAAGTCACTCCGGGGGTATATTGAGATTGCTCAACGATTTTCGAGAATTCTCAAAAGTCACTCCGGGGGTATATTGAGATTGCTCAACGATTTTCGAGAATTCTCAAAAGTCACTCCGGGGGTATATTGAGATTGCTCAACGATTTTCGAGAATTCTCAAAAGTCACTCCAGGGGTATATTGAGATTGCTCAACGATTTTCGAGAATTCTCAAAAGTCACTCCGGGGGTATATTGAGATTGCTCAACGATTTTCGAGAATTCTCAAAAGTCACTCCGGGGGTATATTGAGATTGCTCAACAATTTTCCCTCAGGTCGGAATGGCAATCCACCAGAGAGGCGTGGGAGGGGTCGTACCATGGGTTGGGGCCCTGGGGGGAGAGGGGCGGAGGGGGAGAGAGAGGGGAGGAATGAGAGCAGAGAAGAGGAATGCAGATGAAAGAAAGGGATGAGTATGGAGAGGCTCGGCAGAGGTCGGAATGGCAGTCCACGAGAGAGGCACGGGAGGGATCGCACCAGGGGGAACGCAAGGAGAGCAACGTGAGCAAGGGGAAATGAGAGCAGAGAAGAGGAATGGGGATAAGGGTGTGTGTATAAGCAGGGAGAGGCGGAGCACGAGAGAGGCAGGCATGGGAGGGATTGTATCGTACCAGGCGTTGGGACCCTGGGGGAGGGAAAGAGGACTCTAAAATTACAGTTTGGTGAGGGAGAAAGAGCAGGGGGATCCCAGCACATGGTACACTGTATTGTACCACAGTTTGCCGGGGGGGCTGCAGTCCTCTGGGAGCTGGGGGGGGGGAAGCAGTGGGGTTACAAAAGGTACGCACAGAGATCCACCTGAGATGAGAACAACAAAATTCTCACCTGAGCCCAAAATAAACACACCTGAGCGCAACAGAACCCCACCTGAGCGCAACAGAACCCCACCTGAGCGCAATTAACACAGGGAGCATCGCAGGCCACCCATGATACATGGCTGCCGGTGGTTTTTGAGAATTCTCAAAAAACATGCGCTGAGAATTCTCAAAAAACATGCGCTGAGAATTCTCAAAAAACATGCGCTGAGAATTCTCAAAAAACATACGCTGAGAATTCTCAAAAAACATGCGCTGAGAATTCTCAAAAAACATGCGCTGAGAATTCTCAAAAAACATGCGCTGAGAATTCTCAAAAAACATGCGCTGAGAATTCTCAAAAAACATGCGCTGAGAATTCTCAAAAAACATACGCTGAGAATTCTCAAAAAACATACGCTGAGAATTCTCAAAAAAACATACGCTGAGAATTCTCAAAAAACATACGCTGAGAATTCTAAAAAAACATACGCTGAGAATTCTCAAAAAACATACGCAGGCCACCCATGACACATGGCTGCCGGTGTCTATGTCGAGAAAGTAGGTGCGCGGGGGGTGTGGGGAATGGAGCCCCAGATAGGAGCCAGCCAAGTCTTCCGAGTCAATGCAATGCAATAGAGCCTCACCTGGGCGCAGTTCACGCAGGGGGCATCGCAGGCCACCCAGGAGACATGGCTGCCCGTGTCTATGTCGAGAAAATAGGTGCGCGGAGGGGTGCCGAGACCCACTGCTATATAGTAGAGCCTGGAAGAGGGAGAGACAGGGGAGGGGAGCGGTGAGAGGGACACAGGGGCATGAAAGGGGAGTGACAAGCCACCCAGGACATATGGCTGCCCGTGTGTATGTCGAGGAAATAGGTGCGCGGAGGGGTGCCGAGACCCACTGCTATATAGTAGAGCCTGGAAGAGGGAGAGACAGGGGAGGGGAGGGGTGAGAGGGACACAGGGGCATGAAAGGGGAGTGACAAGCCACCCAGGACATATGGCTGCCCGTGTGTATGTCGAGGAAATAGGTGCGCTGGGGGGTGCCGAGACCCACTGCTATATAGTAGAGCCTGGGGGGGTGAACATGGGAGAGAGGAGAAGGGGGGAGTGGGGGGACACAGGGGCATGGGAGGAGGTGGCAAGGCAAGCCACCCGAGACACAAGTGCCTTCCCCCACGCCCATCCCCCCACACGCCTTCCCCCACACTCATTCCGCCACGCCCATCCCCCCACACCCATCCCCCCACATCTCTCATCCCTCCCTCTCACCCCTCAGGGAAGATACGTCCATGAATGCGAGTCACTGCTGCCGACGACCCCTTCACCAATCGCAGCCCGCCACCTGTCACCGTGGCGCCTGCTGCTGCCGCCATGGCTGCTGCTGCTGCTGCTGCATTGTGTTGCCTGCTGTGCACCTGATAAGGTTGGTGGTGGGGAAGGGGTGGAAGGGAGAGAAAAGGCGGAGGGGAGGGTGGCCTTTGAGAGAGAAAGGAACCAGCAGCTCGCAGTTCGAGAGACCTCTCACCCAAACTCTCTCCTGTACTCTCACCTGAAATCTCACCTGAACTCTCACCTGAGCTCTCACCTGAACTCTCTCCTCATCTCTCTCCAGCAATTGCCTCAGCCTTCTCAACCCCGCCTCCTCCCTCCACTCCACTCCCTCCCTCCATCCCCCTTTCTCTTTCCCCTTCCCCAACCCCTCCTCCTCCCTCACCTCCCCCCATCTGGTTCCGCCTCCCCCCCTCCCTCTCCTCCTCCTTTCCCACGTTCTTCTCTCCCTTCTCCCAGCGTCGTCACCGCCCCCTCTTGAGGCACCTCTGCTATAATCACTAAAACTATACTCCCCACCTCCCATAAGAACCTCTTTGTTAGAGGCGCCATTGACCTCGCCTTCCCCACTTCCGCCAACGTCTCCCCCTCCCCTTCCCCCTCCCCTTCCCCCTCCGCTTTCCCCTCCGCTTCCCCTCCAGGCTCCCCCTCCCCCGCACCGCGATTCCCAATGCGCGAATTCCGCCTCGCCCTCAAAATGCGCGCCGAAGCGCGGATTCAGCTGGTACACGTGCGACAGGACCATGACAGAAGCGGGACACGTGGCGCCTTCGGATTGGAGGAGGGAGGAGAGCGCTCGAAGGAGATTGGCGGATTGAGGAAAGAAGAGGAAGAGGAGAGAGGGGCAGAGGAAGAGGAGGAGGGCCAATAGACAAACGACACGTGGCGAATAGCGGCGCATATCTAGTAACGAATGGGAATAGCTACGAGGTACTAAGGAGGGAAAGTGACTGGAGATGGAGTGAGATGCCGGCCTGCCGAAAGCACTTGTAACGGGTGTGCTTGAAGCGGAGCAAGAGCAGGAGTTTTCGAGGTAAGTTGAGAGGAGGAGGGGGACGGGCTGAGGCAGGTAAGAGGAAAATCCCGCAAGAACGAATCGCCAACGACTTCGCGAGCCGCGATGACACGTGGCACTGTGAGCGCGATTCGGTGAGGACGGTGTGGTTGCATCAAGATCGAGTTCGAAAGCCTGGAATCGCGGTGGATCCGGCGGAGACGGCGGGATAAGCGGCGTGATTAGAGGAACGGACGCGTCGAACGAGTCGGCGTGCGGCCGTTGCCGGGCTGCCGCGACGTCCGCTGCTTCTGCTGACATGGAAGATGACGTGGATGATGACGTGGCCATGGAGTCATACGGCGAGGGCTCTACGGGCTTCGCCGCGCGAAACGGAATCCGTCTCATGCAGTTCTAACTGATATATTTTCTCGCGCGACAGAACTACAGCAGCTAATGTATTTTCTTTCACCCCCCCCCCCCCCCCAACAATAGTCAATGGCGCTTCACGGACGCTCGATGAGAGGCGACGCGACGCCTGGAATCGAGTGTCTGACAACGCAAGCAGTCCACACAACTTAGTTGTCTTGGACTAGTGGTTACACACAAGGGATGTGGTGGGATGAGAGAAATTCTGGACGCAATGCGTTTTAGTGGGGTGGGGTAAGGTGAGGTGGGGCGGGGTAGAAAAAGTGGCAAATAGGAGCAAGATGTGCATGCCGCCGGAGTATGGGGGGAAGGGATAAGGAGAGAAAGCAGGGGCAGGGCGCGGGGAGGAGCGGACAACAATCGGAAGGCCAAGATGCGTTTCCTCGAGGAACTGGGATTCTGAAAACCGTCGATGCGGGGGCCCAGAGGACTGTGATACACACATTTCGCTTTGGGCGCACCCCAATTCAGGGGAACCTGGGCCGCGAAGGGGAAGGGGGAGAGGAGAGAACCCCAGTTTTCGCCAGCATCTGCGCTGTGCACCACAATTTTGGGGACTGAAATGAGGGATCTGATTGGTGCATTGACGTGCGAGGGGGGCACTACTTAATTTCAGCACACGTGGACCCCTGAGAGAGGTTGGCCCCCAAGTGACGTCTTCGCCAGGAGAAGACTGTATTTCTCGCCATCTTCGCAAAGTAACGGTTTTGGAGATTACACTAGAAACAACCTCCGTTACAAAACCAAATTCAAAAGGAAAAATATGTCACAAGTAACCAACATGGGACTCGATAACGTGAATGGTAACAAAGTACGCGTACGGTCACTGTATCGGGTTTGCTGACGGGTTTGGTAAGTGGGGCCACGGATTCAGTCACTAACAACAGGTGAAAAATCACGCGAATGCTCACACATGTAACTCCCGCCAAAATTTCTTGAAACTCTACAAAATTCCCGCTCGCGCCCAACCAATCATCTAATTTCTAAAAATACTAAAACCCAATCGGAATCGGATGCGGTTTGGGAACAGATCAACCCTGAACACCTGGCGAGTTGTGTTTAGGGTTGATTCATCCGAAAATGCATCCAGGTTCATTTTGGGTATTATCTTTTTTGGGTGGGAATTTCATCTGTCTGTCACCATTCGCGTTATTTTTTCCCAGTTGATTGTGACTGGTTCCTTGAAACGTTTTATCAAACACGCGAAAACACCCTTTGCAGTGACCGTACCCGTTTTTTTTTTTGTTGCCAAACATATTATCGAGACCCTTGTTGATTACGAGTGGCATATTTTCCCAATTCAAAAGGTTCTGCTTGTCCTTCCTAAACAAACACCACTCACGTATGGATTTTGGCATTGAATGGAAACGTTTCATCAATACTGAACTTGAAAAAGGGTTGCGCGAAGGTTGACGAGGGGAGAATTTGCCCGAGGCAGGTGGCGAAGGCGGAATGCTCCACAGTGGATCGCAACTTCAAGAAACTTGAACAAACAGTAACGACAAAGCCAAACCCAACCTCTCTCACGCAGCTCACAAATCAGTGTCAAATAATATTTATATATTTTGTTAGTTTGCTAGGCTATAGTGAGTTGCCTAGTATAGGGTACACAAATTCCCTCGACATTCCTTCTTGTACCTCTTGCCCTACTAGTCGACCAACCTATTCCGCTAGTACGTTGAGATGGTATCACGCTAGTTTCTTCCTTGGCCTAACTTACCTCCTTAGCAACGTTCCTAAGCTAGTTTAGTCCTTAGCTTCATCTCCGCCAGCCAGCCTTTGCTAGCGTGGCGCCTCCGCCAGCCAGCCTTCCCGTCGACTTTAGTGCAGTAGCAGACGCGCGCTCCCTTCTAGCCTCTCGAACGCGCGCCTGCATTTTGCACGTACCAGCACAGCGCCCGCCAGCATAGCGCGCTCATCAGGGCAGAGCACGCCAGCAAACCGCGCCTGCATAGCGCGCGCGCCAGCACAGCGAGCGCCAGTGATGCTCGCGCACCAGCAATGCGCACGCGCTCAGCAGGCACACGAGCGCCAGCGCGCAGCGGGCACACGAGCGCCAGCGCGCAGCGCGCCACAGCAGCATGCCCTGCCGCAACACGCGCCGTAGCGCACACCGACACTGTTGCGCGCGCTGCACCCGTAGGCACTCACTGCTGCCAACCGCCGACAGCTATGCTAGCTGCCTGCACCCCAGCTCGCCGCCAGCAGCAACTACGCTAGCCGCCAACCCGCCTCTGCCTCAGCAGCCACGAACGTGTAGCGCTGCGCACACCACGCTCCGCCTGCTGCTCGCACGCAGCAGCACGCGGCTGCATTACACGCAGCCAGCAGAAGCGCTAGCGCGAGCAGCACTCGCTGGAATTTGCCGCTAGCAGCAGCAACTTACCGTCAGTAGCAGACAACAGCCGCCCAAAAATCTTTCCAGCTGCCCACAGTTCATCCCAGCCGGCCAGAGCCTCTCCCAGCCGCCCACAGCCCCTCTTAGCCGCCCACCACCGCCTAATTCCGCCCATTTTTTGCCTACTGCCGCCCATAGCCGCCCATCGTACCACTACTGCCCATTGTCTAGTGCACGCCTCCTGTCTTTGGCATCCCTAACCGCGGCGGGCAGCCGCAATCACTTTTCCTGGCGTAGTTTTGGTTTGTGCCTCAACTGGCATTCCTAGCACCCCTTGCCTAGCCGTCTATTCCTAGGATGGTGTCTCTTCTTCGGTAGTTCTTAGTATCACTCCAGCCATACCTTGCTCCAGCCGTGCCTTGCTCCAACCGTGCCTTTCTCCAACCGTGCCTTGCTCTAGCCGTGCCTTGCTCCAGACGTGCCTCGCTCCTAGCTGTTCTCGCTCCTCGCTCCTAGCTCAGTGTGCTCCGTGCTCTGGCTGTTCCTCACCTAGTTTCACTTGGCGCTCCTTGCTGTTCCCGCTCTTCGCTCCAGCCGTTCCTTGAGCCCGTAGTTTCTAGCCTGGCGTTTCTAGCTCCGGCCGTGTCTCACTCCAATCGCTCCTAGCTCCAGTCGCTCTTAGCCTACCGCCCCTGCACCCAGCTAGCCTTTACCATGGCGTCCACTAGATTTCTCCAGCAGCAGGGACAGCAGCAGCGGCAGTTTCAGCAGTGGGAACCTCAGCAGCAATGGCGCCCTCAGCAGCAGTGGCGTCCTCAGCAGCCGTGGGGGCCTGGTGGTTCGGGTAGCGTTGGTTGCAGCAACGGCCCAGCCAGCTTGGGGGCTCGTCTTAGTGGCCGCGACGTCGGCCCCGGCTAGTTCGGATCCTGACCGGCCCTGGTGCTGGCACTACCTGCTGGCGTCCCGACCACTCTGCACAGCGCTGCTATAGCTGCCTCAACGACCGATACCGTGAGCGTTTTGGGCCTGAGTTGAGGCCACCGATCTGGCCCAGTTTGTCTCGTAATGGTTACCCTGTGTTTGATATGTCTATGGATGCTGCTTATTCTGTCACGTATGGATCTCTTGGCTTGCGTGTACCTAGCTTAGGACCTTTGCCTGTTGCTAGTGTAGGTACTTATGCTTTTAGTGTAGGTGCTTGTGTAGTCACTAGTCTAGCCGTGACGACTGCTGTCGCGTCGCTCTCCTTTACGCTGGACTCAGGCACGTCGCAGTGCTTCTTTCGCGACCACATCACTGTCACACCTCTTTCGGCTCCAGTCCCAGTTGTCCTGGCCGATCCTACTTCAGCACCAGCAGTCGCTCGCAGCTCGACCACTCTCCCGTGCCTGGCTGACCCTTCTGATTTCCTCACTGGTCTCTACATCCCCTCGTTCTCTCGGAACTTGGTGGGTGTTGGATACCTTCAGGACTGTGGGATCACAATCACTTTTCCTGCGCATGGGAGGACGACGATCTGTACAGATGCTTCCACCGGGGCTCTTCTTGCCACGTTCACCAAGGAGTCCCACTCAGGTCTCTTCATTCTGCTCACTGCGTCCCACCAGGTTACAGGCACCTACGTTAACGAGGTTCCCCCATCTGGGGCGAACATAGTCGATGGCATGTGGATCTTCAGGGTGAAGCGGCCGCCGGGTTCTCCGCCTGCCTTCAAGGCGCGTTACATTGCTAGAGGCTTCAGCCAGCGACAGGGAGTTGACTACTTCCAGACCTTCTCCCCCACCCCAAAGAAGACTACTCTTCGGGTGTTGCTGCACGTCGCTACTCAGCGTGACTACGAGTTGTACTCTTTAGACTTCAGCACAGATTTCCTGCAGGGCAGCCTGCACGAGGAGATCTGGTTGCGGCGCCCACCTGGTTTCACTGAGTCTTTTCCTGCAGGTACTCAGTGGAGTCTTCGGCGGCCAGTCTACGGTCTCCGTCA